CCATGTCGCAATTGGTTCCATACTAAGAAAATGTAGAATAATGTTAAGATGTTAGTAATCTTGGTTAATATATATCAACATGTATTAAAAAATATTTCTGAAAGTACTTACTCATCTTGCCGTATAAAATCCAACAAATCATGTGCTTTAGTCTCATCCACTTCAGTCATTGGATCGTACGCTGCGATGGATAGAGATACACCGGTAATGATCCGCTTCACAGTAGAATTTCCCACAAACGGATAGAGTTGACTCGAAGATAATTTGGGTTGGCGCTTTGGCAGTGAGGTATCATCTTTGACGCCACAAATTCCAGCTACCATAAGATTTAATCCAGCACGAAATCGTCTATGTACCGGGTTTGAAAACGTCTCTGAAGAAGTAGGTTCTTGTTTTATTTTCTTCTTCTGGTTCGTGACAGTAGTTTGAACTTGTTTTCCTTTCAATTTGGCTTGCAGTTCCTCCACTGTTTGCTCCTTGGTGAGCTTCTCAATTTTCTTGCATGGTTTGTTTGCATTTTTAACGACAACGTGGATAGGCAAATCATCATGTGATGTAGACTTAGCATGCACCATCCATGGCTGCACAAATAATCATGAAAAATGCATGTATAAATAATAACCAACATTTTGTAACAAGAAGAGATAACTAACGTACCATAGAATTACTAGTGACATCATCATCTATGTTAACATTGGAGCTGCCGGCTTCTTTGGTGTCACACTCTCCTAAACGTTCTCTTAGAAATTTCACCTCCTTCTCAAGTGTGGCAATCTTCTCATCCATGGGATTGAATCTCAGTTCAACCTTCGCATCAACTTTGGCATCAATTGCTCCATCTAAACCAGTCAACACCTTGTTAGCAATATTGGTTTCCATGTTGTCTACTTTTGATGTAAACAACTTCATCATATCCACGAGACTGGTTTGATCATCTGATGTCTGCAATATTAAATAAAAGTGTAAAACACAAGTAAACCAGCTTATATTAAAGAGTACACTTTCTTTCAAAATAATAGTATCTTTTTTACTAACCGCTGTAACTCCTTCAAGTTTTTTCTCTTTCTTTTTCGTTTTTGTAGGTTTCTCATGTTCCTTGGAGTCAACGTCACTATGTTCGACAGCTTCTTTACGTTTTTTTTTCTGGCTAATATTAGCTTTGATGACATCCCAAGCTGATTCATCTAACCGATTGTGATGTATATCATCAAGCAAGGTCTTCACGTCTTCATCCTCCTCCTCATCAACCCATTTCGCACTGGTTTCTCCGTCAAACAGTGTAATAAAGTTCCTAACACGAATCTGGAAATATGTTTTCCATTAGACCTTTGTATAAAAAGATATATAGTTTTAAGATAATCATCACTCACAACAAACAATGAATACCTTATTTGCATGACTTTTCTTCTCTTTCCGGAAGAAGTCTGACCACTCAATCCTTGGACGGGAACCGCCCCAAGAAAGAAGAGGAACCTCGTCACCAGCCCTTTTATTCCCATGCAACTCTCCTATACCAGCAATTGCCTCATATGCCCATATGAGCAGAACGTGAACACATCCGCTAAGTGTGTATGTTTTCTTCACACCGTAACTTAGCATCTTAATTGAATCCATCAAACTCTTACATGCAACTCGACCCCACGGATAACTCTCAAAAGCTTCTCGATTTAGAACTCTTTTCGCTTGATGTAAAGGGATATGACTGGACGGAGAGAGGCCGTAGATGCCAATGGACAAGAGACACAACAATCCTACCATTCTCCTCTTCTCAAAAGTCCAATCTGCACTTTTAGAAAAGACCAATTCCAACTGATCCAAGGACGGTCCTTCCAATGTAGAGACATTTAGTTCTCCCCAAAACTCTTCATGATCTAAATCCCATTTGTTCTCATCCTTAAATGGCTCACAATTTAGGCCCGTAATATCACCGAATTCCAGCAAAGAAAGACGAATTGGCTGGGTGTCAATCAAGGACCATATCTCATAGCTCTTCTTCGTTTGCAACTGATGTGTAAGCAAGTAATGCACAATCTTGGCAGAGAATGTATACTCAACATCTTTAAGCTTAGCAATCACTCCAATGGAAGACTCCTTCAAAGACTCCCACACATCCTTTCCAACTCCTGTTTCTACCATTTTTATGTTAGACACATAACAATTATAATTCATGCTTTTCGTTTGCGATGGTGCCTTTCCCTCTGCGTACATTCGTCGAGGGTATTTCTTCTCACCACTTGACGAAGCCATAGCTAACAACACAAAACAACCAACACGTACATTCAACACATAAAGTCAACCAAAGTGATTAAAAAAATATTATTAAACAAAGCATAATCTACTATTTCAAGAATAACAGTTATCAATCTACCAAATTAAAACATAACTTTGTTAAAAAAGGCCAAACAGGAAACATTCGAGAAATTCAATCAACTCTGTTTCTCAGTTATACTCAATCGGTTATCTCTTTCGCGCATAACAATTCAGAGTCTCAAGCAAAGCCTGAAATTAAAATCACACCCGAAAACAAATTGAATACGGCAATGAGAAGAGAAAAAAAAACTGAACTGACCTAACGGACGTCGGATTAGTCGAAGCTGATACCGGAGTTAGCGACAACGCTGCCGGATTCGTAATCGGAATCGTGTTGACTTAATGGCGGCGGAGAGACAAGTGACAGATTCTCTCGTGAAATGGTAGACATTCTTTTTTATTTTACCTAAAATGCATCTTGTAACGGTTTAATTTTGAAATTTCATTTTTTTTTAATTACACCAAAAATTGATTACAATGGCATGGGTGTAATTATCAATTACTACATTGGTTATTTGGACTTTTGACACAAATTGTATGCTATTCTAGTAAGTGTTTTTTTATGGGTGCTAATCTAGTAATAAACTGTTGAATTAGTGTTAGATTAAGTAATTTTCACTTATTTCTTATATTGTTTTTTTAAATATAATTTATTTTCTCTTTCGACAAGTGGAATCCATTTTTCCGTTCGATTTTTTGAACTCTTTATATTCCTCGAAATCTTTTGTACGTACCAATATTCATTTTGTATACTGTTTTGTACTTTTGTATACATTTATTTATGAATGTTTTGTTTGTCTATGCGGACTCCATGATTACTAGAAAAAGAGTTACTTTAGTAAATGGCAAAGATGATAACTTATTTTGTGGTATATTTAAGTATTGCCCAAAATTTATCTTAAGTAAATGATAATATCTTCAATTGCTGTCACCAAACGTACAAATGTATCTGTAACAATTTGGGTACGCAATTTTCATCCCATTATACAACTGGATCATATAGTTCCAACTCATGAGAACAGACACCAATGAACAGTAAATCAACACAAATATCGACCCCAACGTTATAGATAATTCATTATACGTTTGATCATACGGTCCACAACTGGAACTCAGAAGGAAACATTCCGCTACACTGTTTGGTCACAGGGGTCCAAAACCGTTACCATAACCACTGCAAAAATCAAAATATAAACAAATCTATACACCATGGGAGACTTCACGGGCACTCTAGTCGATCTCTACATCCCTGGATCCTAAAATCCTACTAGAAAACTACTGTTGAGTTTACAAAATCTCTCATCGACTAACAATTAAGCTTCTTAGGAGTTGGGCCCGTTACAGGCCTGATTCAATTTGAGTTTAGCAAGCCAAAACCGAAACCAACATAAAACATGAAATGTCCAAATATAGTTTCCTTTTCCGCTGACGCAGAAGTCGTTTTCTTTCTTTTGATATTTTCTTCCCCAAAAAAGTTACCAATGGGAAGTAGGTACAAGCCGAACTTTGTCAGATATCTACTTTATTGCTTGGCATTCACATGAAATCTCACTTACTCCCTCAGTTTGTAATCATTAGACATAATTTTAGCAGTAATTTTAACCAAACCTACCTACTATACAGTATACACCACATAGGCACATACCCTTTTTTTCCCAAACACTACGTATATAACCTTTTGTTCGCCACTATTTATAGGTCTCCATGCCCGCTTTCGGCATGTGTATGCGTGAAAAATGGTATTATGAGATTCTTATCATATACTTTTGGATGCGTAAAATGATAGAGAAAATTGCATTCATAAGAAACTAGTATCAAAATATTTCGTTGTCAAGAACACTGTGTGTCTTGTTGTGTTTTTGTTTTATATTATGAATGCTTGGAAATCTATATTTTTTGTTGTTTAGCTCGATCAAGCAAAGTAATTTATTGTTCGAGTATAAGCTCTCATCTCAATAATTGCATTGAAACACATTTGGATTAGATGCAGCCACACATTTAAATAAAATTGTTTTGAATGAAGACACAAATGCATTTGAGCCACTCCATGTGATGCAATTAAAATGTTGGGTCTCGCACACTCCCGAAAATCCACGTCTCTTACAAGTCAACAACACCATATTCACTGTCACAAGCTATGCCTTTTCTTATTTATAGCCTCATCTAGCTTCTGCTCATTTTTCTTTTTCTCATTTATTAGAACATTCTTGATTACTATTCGTTTCTTGGGTCTCAACCAAAAGAGTGGACAAAACTAGTTTGTGCATAACATCCACTCAAATGACAGATGTATGAGTCTCCTCCAAACATGTGATCCAATATTTAACACTAATATGCATATAGTTTTGTGCATAAATCCCATTGAAAAAAAAAAAAAAAAACATTGGAACAAAATGAAAAAGAAGATGAATCCCGTGATATATTGAATGCAATCTGAAAACAAACAGTAAACTCAGCAAAACTAAATCCAAATGTGACATAACAGCACAAAGAACAAATCAGAACTCTATTTGATAATCTTGTCCCCTCACAAAAGCAAATTTTCCTCATATCATCAATGCTTCTTCAACCACACTCTCTCTTTCTCTCACTCACACAAATCTCATTAATCCACTGAATTAACCACTGTTCATTCTCTTTCCTTAAGTGTCAACTCACAAAAAAAGCTACTTTCAGCTTCTTGGTAAAAAATGTCCAAGAAGAAGAAAGGCAGCGACTTTAACCTCCTCTCTCTGTTCCTGTTTCTGTGTGGTTTCATTCAGACAGATGCTTCTTTTGGTGTAGGAGGCGGCATTGGAGTCGGAATCGGCGGTGGTGCCGGCGTCGGCGGCGGCGGGGTTTGGGTTGGCGGCGGTAACCGTAATGTTGTTCCGGTAACGGCTCCAAACAGTGTGGCTTACGTTGCTCTTCAAGCTTGGAAATCAGCCATTACAGAAGATCCTTCCGGTGTTCTTAAGACATGGGTTGGATCAGATGTTTGTTCTTACAAAGGGGTTTTCTGTTCCGGTCAATCCATTACCGCCATAGATCTTAACCATGCAAATCTCAAAGGCGCCATTGTCAAAGACCTCGCTTACCTCTCTGACCTCAACATTCTTCATCTCAACAGTAACAGATTCTCCGGGCAAATCCCAGATCCCTTCAAATCGCTAGTTTCTCTCCAGGAGCTTGATCTAAGCAACAACAGATTCTCTGGCTCTTTCCCTCTGGTCACAATCTACATTCCAAATCTGGTTTACCTCGATCTCCGGTTTAATAATTTCTCAGGATTTGTTCCCGAAGCTCTCTTCAACAAGCGATTAGACGCGATTCTCCTCAATAACAACCAATTCGACGGAGAAATCCCACGGAATCTCGGAAACTCTCCGGCTTCGGTGATCAATCTCGCCAATAACCGATTTTCCGGCGAAATACCGACGAGTTTCGGCCTCACTGGATCGAGAGTGAGAGAAGTTCTGCTCTTGAATAACCAGTTAACCGGTTGCATACCGGAATCTGTAGGAATGTTCTCCGAATTAGAAGTCTTTGACGTCAGCTACAATTCCTTGATGGGTCATGTCCCCGACACGATCTCTTGCTTGTCGGCGATTGAAGTTCTGAATCTTGCGCATAACAGATTCTCCGGCGAGGTTCCCGATTTGGTTTGCTCGTTGAGGAATCTGTTGAATCTCACGGTTGCGTTCAACTTCTTCTCCGGGATTAGCTCCGAATGCTCCAGGATTAGTTTCGGTTTCGATTTCGCCGGAAACTGTATTCCCGGTAGGAATATGCAGCGGCCACAGCCGGATTGTTCCGGTTATTCCGGCGGCGCGTTGAGCTGCTTCAGGATGCCGACGCAGCCTCTCGCTTGCGCTGCGATAAGCGTGGGACTTAGAGAGAGTTTCAGTCATTACCGTTCGTCTCCATGAATGTCAAAAGTTAAGACTTTTTTTATGCTTTTAAGATGATAAGATCTGTCCTTTTGCAAACTGAATTAGTAACCAATTTCAAGTCTGTTTCTGTGTAATGCTAATGTTTTTTGTAACCATAAGATTTTTGTAAGAATATGGTGGCGCCATTGTAATTAGAAACAAAAATTAGTCTAGTTGATTTGATTGTACTTTCAAAGTTGCATCATGACACTTCACATCTTGTCTTTGATACATCAATCAATTTGTAAATCAGATGATAAGTTTGTTACTAATCAACACATGAATCAAGGAATGTAGTACATCGGATTGGGGACTTTGAAAGAACGATCAGCCACCGCAAAGCCTAGGAGGTCACTCCATTGATCGCCGGTATTGCCGTGGATTTTGAAGCCTTTCTCGATCAGTTTTGATCGCTGCTCCGATTTGTATTTTGTAGCTGATTTCCCTTGATCTTCTGGACCTCTGCAAATTGAACCAACAAGCTTAGGTTAATACCGGTTCATTGATTCAGTCTAGATGGTTAGAGATGATTTTGGCTTAGCATACCTTAAGAGGAGGCGTTCCCAGTCTGAATAACCGGCGTCTCGGAGATTGGTCTCGGTGCAACTCCGTTGGTCCTCGTCCCGACCGGTTAGGAGAATGATGGTGAAACCAAGTTTCTTGAGAGCATTGTACAGTCTCAAGCTCGCATCAAAAGCTGGAGCTGTCCCTTGTACCACCCACTCATTGAAGCTATTGGACTCGAACGCTTCGGACCTAAACCCACCAAGAAATTTCAATCGAATTGACCCGGTACGATTGAAAAAAACAATGCAATTGTAATAGAACCGGAAATCTTAAAACGAGAACCGAATCTTTAACCAACAAATCCACCTATCAATTTGGAGTTTGGGTCAACAAAATGCAGATTCCGGTTTAGTATAAGGTCAACAATCATCTGGACCGTTTATGTAAATCTAACAAAATCCAACGGCTAATAATAGAGAGAGCATACCCGTAACCATGAGCCCTGTAGTAGTCGATATTCGTGAGGAGCGTCTCGTCAATGTCGAAGATCCACACGTCCTTGCCGTCGCCGGAAATCTGAACCGTTTTAGCGAAGGCGAGCGCGTAATCGGCGATAACATCGTAATCGGATCCGTACTGGTCTCCGTTAAGATACTCGGCGAAGGAATCCACGCACATGGACGGAATCACATTCCAGGTTCCGGCGTTATTGGTCTCAACGGCCAATCTCCAGCTCGAGCAGAAAGTATCCGCAGATCCGTCGCTTCCAGGGAGCTTGATGACGGAGGTGCGAAGAGAGATTGCAGGATTTATTAAGAGTGCGAATAAAAAGAGGACGAAGAACGAAAGGCATCGAGGAGGAAGAGACGCCATTGGAGAGATCTTTAGAGAGATAAATGAAACTACTCCGAATTATTGTTGGTTTAATCTTTTTGCAACTCTTACCAAACCAATTCTTTTTAACAGATTTTACTATTCGTAGAAAGATAAAGCAATAACGTGGTGGTGGTACATTAAGATCGGTTATTTCCGGCTAATCACGAAATACAATTCGTAATCTCTTATTAATACATAAATTATGAAATTGCATGATGCAAAGCAACATTTAAATAGCCGATGATCAAGCAATGAAGTACATTGGGTTTGGGACTTTGAAAGAACGATCGGCGACGGCAAAACCTTGGAGGTCACTCCACTGATCGCCAGTGTTTCCATGGATTTTGTAGCCTTTCTTGATCATTTCTAATCGCCGCTCTGATTTGTACTGTGCAGCTGCTTTGCCTTGATCTTTGTGATCCCTACATTAACCAAAACAAAAACTTAGTTGTGTTTTGTACTCATGAAACCGGTTCATAAGTTTAGTCTTTTAGATGGCTGCTAAATTAGTGAGTAGATTGGTAAATTAAATATTTAGAGCTGTTGAGATGTTAACATCACTTGTATTTTCTTTAACTTTAAAGTAAAAGTTAGCCATGCTAACGTATTAATCTTAAAATCATTAGCAACGTTAAACTATTATTTCTTTTTGTTTTTAAATGTTGATAGTAGTTAGTAACATATCACCATCACACATGTTTAAAACCATAATTTACAGCAAGAGTCGGTAGATCAGGACAAACCAATCAACTCCTAGATATATAATATTTCTTATCAGTTTGGTAATGATAGTGGTTACTGGTTTAAGATTTGAAATATTTTGGTAGAGCTCTTTACCTCAAGAGGAGATATTCCCAACCGGAATAACCGGCGTCGAGGAGATTTTGTGTGGTAATACTCCTCTGGACCTCGTCTCGGCCGGTTAGGAGAATGATAGTGAAACCAAGTTTCTTGAGACCTTTGAACAGTTTCAAGCTCGCATCAAATCCTGGGGCTGTTCCTTGTAGCACCCAATCATTGAACTTCTTCGAGTTGTACGGCACTGACCTAAACCCACCAAAAACAAATCAACCAAACCGAACGGTAGGACAAGAAAAATGTAATAAAAATAGCACCAGTATTAAACCAATAACCATATCTGAATCCAATAATCTTGGGGTTTGATTACGGTCAACGAAGTTAGTCAAACAATTATCATGATCGTTGATTTTATTTTCTTTCTTTTCTTGTTATCCAATTATATTTTCAAGACAAGACCATATTATTAATCCTCGAAGTCTTGTAGAAAGCTGAGTATTCTTGTCACTTGAACAAACCAATAGGCCACACACTTTCTTGGTTATTACATATAGATAACAAAATCCAACGGCTACTATACTTTAGTAGAGTGTGAGCATTTACCCGTAACCATTAGCCGCGTAGTACTCGAGGTTCGAGAGGAGCGTCTCATCGACGTCGAAGACCCAAGCATCCTTACCGTCTCCGGCAAGCTGGATCGTTTTAGCGTAGGAAAGTGCGTAATTAGCGACTACATTGTAATCCTTGTCGAACTGACCTCTGTTGTAGTAGGTTTCAAGGGAGCTAACGCATTTGGATGGAACCACCGTCCAGCTTCCGGCGTTGTTGGTCTCGACGGCTAATCTCCATCCCTCGCAGTAAGAAGCAACGGAAGGGCGAGATTCGACGGTGCTGACCGGGAGCTGGATGAAGGACGACACGCGAGAAGAGATGGTTGGGTTGATAAAGAGGGCGAATAAAGCGAGTATGAAGAAGGAAATCGAGCTGCTACGAGAAAACGCCATCGGAGAGAGGCTTTTGCCTAGTGAGTGTGTTGTGAAGATGGAAGAAGAAGATGACTGGTTGCGAATATAAAGTAAATCCAAGGATGGTCGAATTAAACCACGTGATTTTCGTTGAGGATGTTGTATCAAAGCAGGTATGAATTTATCTTCGACGTTGCTAAAAACACAGGCTGGATAAATATGGACCATATAGGTAACATATTAGGACGTCTCTAAAAATAACAACCCCATATTGATACTAGAGGATAATAAATGTAGACGTTGGTCTTATAATAAACCATACTGATACTACAATATAATAAATGTATAATAATCTCGTCATGAAGCGTTTTTGGTTATGTTGTGTTGACTAATTAGAGAGTAGTGCTTCTACTTATGGTAACATGTTCAATTCACAAGAACATACAATTTTTTTGCATTTCAAATGTCCAAATGTTTTGGAGGTTCTTCTTCCAAGTCAAGCCCTATTATTGTACGTTTGAGTTGTCCGCTTTCATCCGCTGTGGTTCTAAATTGAGCATTGAGTCGTCTGTCATTGTCCGTCGTTGTGATCCATACTCTATAGACCTGTTCGTTGTATATGATAAGTCATCATAAACTTGGCTGCAGAAATTCAACTTTTTTTTATTCATATAAACTTAGGTAAATATATTTTTAATTAAAAACATTGTTATTTAAATTTTGCCTCTCTACAATTATAAGAACAAACACAATAAGTTTCTCCGCTCCTATCTTTAACACAGTTTCCAGGTCCATTGAACTCGTTTAAACAGTTTAGAGTACAATCAGGATGGGTACAATAATTTTCTCGGTCAATGGTTTTAGTACACCACCTTCCCTCAGCTTTTGGAACCACTGAAAATACTACAGAAATAAAATATCATATTATGATTTAAAATAATATTTATGTGCATGTTTAGATAATTTATGTAGTGTAGATTATAAAACTAAATTGGGTGTTTGAAAGTAAATATGATGAAATTACCAGAGAACACAAGGATGAGTATGAAGAAATAGGAACATGCTGACTTAGCCATGATCAATATCAAAACAAAAGAAAGTGACTAATCTTTTATGAGATAGAGATGATAAAGAAAACTATTTTATTTGCTTTATTGTTTTTTGGAAATGAATGTGCTCTAATGTTTGTGTTTATATAGTGGTACATGTTGTTTTTCACATAGATATGTTTGAATGAAAATCCTAAAAGGAATGTAAATGAATGCTGAAAAAGTAGGGTTGACTATAATGATTAATGTAGTCAATCCTATTTTTTCATATATATGTTTCATAATATAAGCATTTTTATTCAAAAACACAAAATTAAGAAAATTACTTTTCATCAAAAGATATCATCTAATACATAGATTAAATATAAATCATGATAAAACGTTAAAAACGACAAAACACAATTAGTCACAACAATATCAATATCTTAGTAGGGGGATTTTATTGTTGTTCACTTTAAGAAAGATATTTAAGCGCATACATACATATTTAAACAGAAAGCAATAAAATGAAAGTGAATGGACAACAAAAAGAGGGTTGATTATATTTAGGAGCATGTACAAAATTTAGACTAGATATTCACGTCAATATACAAATCTGATTATAGTTATAATTCTATAAGGATTAATTTTTAATCAGTATATATGACAAGAAAATGATTAAGATTAAGTGAATCTGTTTCTTTTTGGTGTATATTTTCATATAAAGTAAAATATCTAAGCATAACAAAACTGATAAACATATTTGACCACATCACTGAAAAATGTATGATTTTTTACTATATAGAATATGTAAATTATCTATTGTGACTCTCTTCAGATAAGTTCTAAAATATGTTACCTATACATAGTTTCTCTCATCAATAAGATTAGTCTATATAAACGTTCTTTTTGAACCCCACTCTCAATATCAAAATTTCTCCTCACAAACAATTATTAAATTAACATTATCCTCTAATTATTTCGCAAGCTATGGCAAAACTATTGTGTTCATATCTGTTCATCTCCATCCTTGTTCTCTCAGGTACAAATTTATATGCATCATATTTGATTGAACATGTTATAAAAATCAAAAGTTGTATGACTTGACGGAGTAGGTAGGTGATTAGATATGGGATGATCAATTCGCATCAAAATATTCGTTTGTACCATCACATATTTTTATACTTGAAGGTTTACATACTTTTCAACTAATCATTTCAAATAAAAAAAACAAAATACATATGCTCCCGTTCATATATAAGTTAATTTGTATCCTATATTAAAGATTTTTTGTTTTTTTATAGCTTTTTTGGCTTTGCCAAGTGCCGATGGAGCGGATATAAGAAGATGCAGCGTGACCTTGAAACTTAGCAAGCCATGCAGTTTTCAAGAATGCCAACCACTTTGTATTCAAAAGTACAAGGGGACTGGCCTTTGTCTCGGAGAAAACAACAGTGTTTGCAGTTGCCTCTACAATTGCTTAGCTTAAATATGTCTTGTATGATGTTAAGCGGTTAATGTTATGGTGCCTTAATTACCTTGAACCCACATGTAGTTGGAGCCTTGGAGGATATGGTCATATGAATAAAAATCTTTTATATAATAACTGGAGCTCGATATTATTCTATAACAAACTAGTTTTTGTTTTCACCCCAATTCAATAAATGTTGCGAAATCAAGAAGTAACAACAAAATTTTACACTTTCGTATATGAACTCATGTCAATTATATGAAAACAAGTGTCATATTGGCCTCTTGAAAGTAACATTCTCTCTCTTTGATTAGGCTAATGAAGAAAGAATAGAAGAATCTCAAATCTGTTTTAATTGGTGGCTAAGTTGATTATTCTAAACAATTTGCTAAATATCAGTGGATACATAGAGCTTTGATAGACAAACGTACAAAAAAGAAGAAGTAGATATGGTTTATAAATGCCCCCATGTGATTCCAGTCTCATGCGTACGAATGGTCAGGAATTCAGGCACGTTTTTCTCGGATTTTCCTTTCCACTGTTGGCAGTAGTAAATCCAATGATTGATCTACATATATTTGTACGTATATGAATACATATACATCTCTATTTGGCCATGCATGTTTGTATGGTTTTTGGATTCAATGTTTAAATTTTTTTGATTAAAAATCTATAGCAAAATAAAATAAATAAAAAATATTGAAGTTTTCACAGCACACCAAATGAAGGAATGATTGTAATAAAAAATCACATGAATAAGCAAAACATATAGTTTCGTCTCCATTCGCATCGTTCAAAATATAAAGATCAATATTGGGATAAACATGATTATAGGTTATGCTAGTCATAACTAAGGCTAACTTTCCCTCATAAGACGACATGATAGTAGGTCCAGAACGAATATAAGTCTCGGGAAACTTTATTGGAGGATTGAACTTTTCAGATTTGACATCCAGTCTTCCAGTCTTGGCACCTTTCTTTGTAGAACAAATTACAAAATCTGAAGTGATAGAGTGGGTTATGCAAAAGCAAAGTAAATAGATAATGTATGTGTCTGCATGAATTCTCTATGAACGAATAAGAAAAAGAGTTAATGTTGATAACTTGGGACATTTTCTTTCTGAGCAACGCAAGCGCGTATAAACTATAAACCAATAAACCATGTATAGCAATAAGACAAATTAGAAATGTGTCTGTTTCTGCGTATTTCCAAAAAATGGAAAAAAAGAAGAAGACAAACTTGGTCTAACGCGACTTCTAGTCCAACTCCATGCATGAAACAATGGTGGATCCAGAAAATTATTTAGCGTGGGACACTTTTATTAGAAAAAAACTCAACTAATAATAAAATATAATTTGTTAAAAAATAGTACGATATTAAAAAGGAGCTACGACCAAATAAAAATTAAGATAAAAGAAATATCATATGATGAAAACATATATATTTTTTTTTGTATAGTATTTTACAAAAATTTAGCATTAGTTTAGACATAGTTTAGCAAAAAACGAGCAAATGTTTCTTATGTTTTAAATATTTTCCTGATACACATCTTTTTTTTATATGTTTTTCTATTGATAGCATAATTATCATTTAGGCTAACATATTAGAAAAAAAAAACAAACAGAACAATCTATTTAAAACAAAATATGTAATAAAGATATTATGTATTTCATTCATAGAGATATCAAAAGAAAACAATATGTATTTTTGAAAATTGACACATAAAAAGATGATTGATTAATCTAATTGTTACCATTTCTTATCGTTTATATAACGATTGTGTGTAATTGGATGAATGTAGGCTAATTTTTTTATGTCATAGTTCCCTGAGATTTTTTTTCGTAAGAGATATGCTTAAGTTACGTCACATATTCTCTCTATTTAATTGTCACTGGGGTCCTTTATCCATTTCTAGACAATGGGATTATCTACACTCAATTGTGTTTCTCGTTTGATATATTCTTATTCATGGGAGATTTCTGACTTTTATTACCTCCATTTTTTTTCCTCTTCTTGTTTCTATCCAATATTAGCAAAATCATGAAACAAACTTTAATCTAAGTATATTCTCTATTCCCGTACAAATATGAAAACTTGACCAGTACTAGCAAACTGGTTCCCAAGTAATTCTAACTGCTTTAAAAGCAAATTTGCTTTGGAAATGGTTCCTGAGTCATCATTATATTGTTCTTGACAGCGTATACAGTCACAAAAAATTTAAAATAAAGGAATTGTTTTTTTTTTTAAATGTCAAAATATATGATATTTCATCAACTTAACATCAAAAATAACGTTTGATAGATAAAAGTGAAACGATACATTGGAGATATATAAATTATACATCCAAACAAACAAATGTATCCAAATAAATTTCAAGGACTCCAAGCAGTTATCAGATGATTGTTGAGCACATATTCAAAGAACAAATTTTGTAAACAAATAATAGATCAAACAATGAGAGAGCAAGATGTTTTAGGCTTAAACAACTAGGTCCGAGCCTTGTTTCTTTTTCAAAGTTGGGCTTAGGATTTGGGCTTTGGTCTTAATTTGTTAAAGCGTAGCTTAATAATCGCCTTATCCTGTACGGCTCTGCCATCAATCGCCTCTACGGCGGAGAAAGAATCCGATCTCGATCAAAGGTCTGTCTTTTTATTCCTCGGAATTTGATCTTCCTCTGCTGCGGAGATAGATTTCGATTTTTGTATTGTACCGACTGAGTTCAATTCAGTTAGAGGGATAGAATCTCTGTGTGATGGCAACGAAAAAGATGAAACCTGGGTCTGGAGATGCAATCAGCTCTCTTCCAGACGAGATACTTGCTCAGATGTCTTTTTCCAGTTTTCTAGAGTCCCACACTTTCACTGTCGTATCATCTGATGCAGTAACGAAAAAGCTATAATCGCTTGAAGTGGAAATCATCTAAAGATTTGAAGCATGTTGATGGAGAACGTAGAAAGATTTTAGAGAAAATTGTGATGGTTGGTTACCTTCATATCTGAAAGAAGTGGATTCCAGCAACAGTATAAAGTATGCAGAAATGGTGAGAAGTAGTTTGGGAAAACAATTCCCACGTAATTTTGGAGGTAGTCTTCAGCAGATAGGCGTGCTTCGGGTTCTAACTGAATCATATGAAGAATCATCTTTGCGAATGCCCGGATCAGGAATCTGAATCCAATAAAAAAAAGAGAACACCAAAAAAGATGAATAGAAATGAGGTAAGACAATCAGCCAGAAACAAATCCAACTCAGGACTACAGAAGTCACAAGTCCCATGTACCACTCAGATATACGGTGAAAGTAATGTTATTTGAACATCAAAATAATCAATGTGAAAAGCTCGTAAGAGAGAAAGAAATAGGAAATACCTTTTCCAGGTGTTGGCTAGGATCATGTTGCCCCTCTACGATAAGCGAGAAGCTGAGCCAGTTCAAATAGTGGCTGACCCTCAAGAAAAAGCTCTGCTATCACACACCTGAAACATTAATGTGAAACTATTACAATATGTTATCAACTCGCGACATAAAAAAAAGTTGGTATATAAGCTCACCCCACAGCAAATATATCCAACTTCTTCAATGTCATGTTTCCGATCCACTTGAACCGATCCGTGTCAGGCACGTCAAATGAGCTCACAAAGAGCCACTTCGGCGGTTTGTCCCTTTGATCTTGCTGAAACCTAAATATATCTGAAATCAGAAATGTCAAGAACATCATCATCAAAAATTAATCTCGTGTACGAACATAAGCTTGATTCAAAACAGCTTGTTACCTTAATCATCGGCAGAAAAGAGAGGGACGCCTGATTCTTTATTTGCTATGAGCAAATTAAGAACCTTCTTTGCCAACTCATACTCTCCCACTTCGAAACAATCTGCCAAGTTGATTGGCAGTCCTGATTCCTGGACAGATGCTGCAAGCACTCTGTCAAATTGAGAGCAGTAATCATCACCATGGAGGCGTTGCCTTTTGCAATCAAAAAGGCTACATTGCACATCTTGGTTTTCAGAAAAAGCAACTTGCTGAGGAGGCACTGGACCATTGAAGTTTGTGACAGCTCCCAGTTCTGGATCATGCAAGTATTTATACCTCATCGTGTACACTGCATCTCCATGTATCTGGCCCGATGAATACCTTGACAGCTCCCACTGTTTGGATAGTCTTGGATAGGGTGTGCATCTCTGAAACATCCACTCGTCTCACAGTTTCCCCTTTTTGGTTCTTTCCTCCCATAAGATTGTGTTATTTCCAAGAACTTTGCGTGAGCTACGGAATAACCAATTGTTTGGTTCATCTTCTCCAAGATCGGTAAAGAAGACCCTTGTATCTCACAGCTAAATCTCTTTGAGTTGCTGCCATGTCTCTCTGCATGACAGAACAGTAGGCAATATTGTGCTGACGCCCCACGTGAACAATCAAATCTACAGCACTGTATTCCTCTGGAAAAGGTCACTTAGTTTTGTGCCACCAGAGTAATCGCAGATGAAGACACTGAAGACACCATGTGTACAAATTGTGTACAAATTTAAATTTAAATGTTAACAATTATGATTGCCTATCAACTAAAGTTGTCCATCTAGATGAAGAATATGTGAAGATGGGCCACCGTCATCTCCGTTTTACAACACTCATGTTGTTAAACTTGGACGACCCATTCACTAAAAAGTATCGTATTGTAATATTAATCTGATTATGTTTGAAATGTGCGCGGATATGGTGTTTTCTAGTCAAAATTTATGCATACTTTATAATTACAAAAATAAAATTATAAATTATAAATTGTTACATCTAACTAAAGCTACCACTTCTTGATCCCCCCACCATCTCATCTTCATCTCCGTACATGTCTGATTTTATCAAGGGGCATAAATAAGGCTGAGAAGATAAAATAGAGGATAATACATATGTGAAAGAATTCAGTAACGAATCAATTAAAAGAATTTAATTTGTATCAAATTGATCGAGCAAGGAATAAACACTTGTAACTAAAATCAGCCAACGTGATTTTAAAATAGTGAAAGTAAGAATGTTGAGAGAAGCAAATAGAAAAACAAACTATGTGTACCATCTTTTATATGGTGTTCGAAAAAGAAGAAAAAAGTGTACCGTCCTATAATTGTCTAGACAAATACTTCACAATTGAATATTGGAATTGAGTCACATCTACAAATATTGGCATTGTGAAGCATTTGTCTTTTTTTCTTCTCTTTTTCTAATCTCTTCTTATAGGAGTATTGTTTAATCGATCTCTACATATACATGAATAAAACATACATTAAGAATAGCTAGGGAAATGTCTAGTGAAGTGATAAAACAGAGTATATTAAAGTTACATACTTGATTCATTGAAGAGGAGATAAATGGCCTAACATTACTTTGAACTGCCTAGCTTTACTCCTCGACAAACTAACAATATTAATCTTCATTGTTGGGTCCTTGCAATCAGTCCAAAGTGTGGGTGTCCTCCAAGTTCTTCAGGAATTTGAGATTATATCCAGCCTGGCTGTTACTATTCAACCTGGAGTGCAAGATCATTGCCTTTTTGCTGGCAGGCTTCTGCTGCTGAACAGAGTTCATTTCTGGAATCGCCAATTTTTGGCGCTCTGCTTTAACTTTTCCTAAAGGTTGCATCAGATCATTAAACTCAGCGTATAGTGCTTACATTTGGAAAAGAACTTTAGAGGGCCACCATTCTCCGAGAGCATCTGATAAGAACATAACCGGTGTACATCGGTGCTCTTTGGGTTATTCCTAGATTGTGATCCCACTACTTCACGTATGATAGTTATTTCTTTCTTTCTTGTGTATTTAAGTGACATTGGTCGTTGAGGAATAAAAATAAGATAAAAATGTTGAAGTAACTTGTGTCTTATATAAGAACCAAAGTGTTCTTATTCTTTGTTGTTCTTGATCATCATTGGTTTTGTCCTAATTTGGGACCTAACAGCATCTTGGGAGGTTATCTTATCACTCACGCAAAAGAAGAGAAAGGGCCCGGAATCCGAGACTTACACACCTGGAACCAAAGCTTGCATGTTGAAACTCACTTGGTTGCTAGCTTCTTGAATGGCTGCATAAATGATTTCTGGATCAGGAAGACAAGTCAAAGGAACTCATGGTTGGCCAATAAAACGTTCTTTTGACATAAATCTTATATATAATGAGAGGATAACTCTCTCCAGAGAGTGACACCTCAACATTTTAACTTCATTCTGGAAATGCCATGTGGCATCTCCTTACTAAAAAAATTTATACTTAATGCTACGCCTGGTCATTTCACGGACCCGACCCGAACCGAAGTCGACTCTAAAAAACCGGTTCGGATCCGTGACTATTACTCTATTGGGTCTGATTTTTTTTGGACCCATGAGTGTCAAGGTCGGTTTTAACCCAAAACCCGAAAAGTACCAAAAAAAATTAGTTATTTTATATTATTACTCATATTAAAAGAAATAAAAGAGTAAAAATATATATATTGGGCTTAATGTTCAAGAAGCCCAACAATAACTATTAATGTACAAATGAGATTTTGTTCTTATATTTATAGAAGAAAACTTCTTTGCTTCACTTGCTTTGTTTCCGATGTGGGACAAAAGTAAAAACAAGAATTAAACATTATAATTTATCCCACATCGAATTTATATGATTGGAAAACTCATAACTTCTTCTATATAGATTAATATATTTTGATTCAATAATCACATGCAGAAAACATATTATAATAAATCAGAAAATCGATATATTTTCAGAGTTTTGCATTTAAATTTTTGTTTTCACAGGTTTTGGGATAATGATTGGATTTTTGGTATAAAAAACCCAAAAAAACTGACCCGAATGAGACCCCAAAATCAGACCCGAATAAGAACCGAGGATCTAAAAAAATAGTCCCGGACCAATCCAAACCCGACATAAACCGAACCAAACCTGACTGGAAGCCCGAACGCCCACTATTGCCTCTTCACACTTCATCTTGAAGCCGAACCGCCATGATTGGACCAATCAGAGGCAAACTACCTAGAACGCAATAAAATGTATAGGAACCTTAATTACCATAATCGCTTTCATCCAATAACTTATAACTTTTTTTGCTTTTCTTTTACCATAAAATGTATTGTTTTGCTTTTCTTTTTTATCAGACCGGCGAATCATTTAATCATATCAACGAAAGCGATGCCGGAGAAGGAGAAGGAAAAAGATCCACAACAAGAGATTAAAGAAGAGACTAATCTGTTGCTTGATGATTCTCATCCCTACAGTGAATTGAGGCTGCGGAAAGTGACGGCGAGGGTGCGGAAGAAGATCCATTTGTATAAGTGTAGAAAAGGTCTGATCGATGTATTCAAATCTCGGTGGTTGGTAGCAGAATCAGCTCGAGGTTCGATCTATTCTCAAGACTACTCTCTTGCTCGATGATTCTCACCCCTATAGTGAATTGAGGCTGCGGAAAGTGACAGAGACGGTGCGGGAGATGGAGATCCATCTGTATAAGTGTGGAAAAGGTCTTATTGATGCGTTCAAGTCGAATCTTGGTGGTTGGGAGCAGGATCAGCTCGAGGTTCGAACTATTCTCGAGAAATATAGATTAAAATCCATCTTTGCTTTCAACGTTTACAAATGTCGCTTCGAACTATTCTCGAGAAATATGGTTATTTATCACCCAAAATAAAATAAAATATATCCATAACCCAAAAAATACTCAAAAATCCGAAAAAAATATATTTGTAAATACTGGAAATATATCTGAAAATCAAAAAAGAAATTGAAAAACAAAAAAACTATTATTATTTATAATATCAAAAATTATCTACAATATCCATAATTCAAGTAATTTGGGTGTCCGGATTACCCAATATCCATATTACCCAATACCCATGGCTATTAAATATTTACCCAATGGATGATTTGCTATATATCCAAATCAATCAGGTACGGGCATTTTGGGTCGGTACGGTTTAGATTTTCGTGTGGAGGTTAAAAATCTCAGGCATACCGCAAACATTTTACAAAATTTGATTTTGGAGAAAACAATTAAAATATAAATAATAAAACTTTGTAATAGTCACAACCCGCGCATCGCGCGGGCTTAACCAAAGTGTTTATAAAATGAATATAAAATAATTTATATAAATGAATAATTAACACCCAATTGAAACCCCCCACCCACACCCCAAAAAAATGAATAAATAAATAAATAATATGATACATACAACACAAGGATCGTTGTTTGTGTATCTTCTTACATATCAAATTTTCATATATATAACAAATTGATTCCAAAAATTCAATAAAACCCGAAATTAATCATGAGAGCAGTCATGTGGATCGGCCCTTGTTAAGTCAAAATGCAGTACTGTCTCAAGTCTTTACTGTTTTCTCTTTCATGAGAGTGAACTTTGGTCGTCGTGACAAAGCTCCTTACGGAGTTTTCGAGAGAAGAGCTGACACGCATCGACACTTAAGTCAACAGCAGCTGAGAGAGCGACGAAGAGAGCTGCATCCGCCATGCAAGTCACGTGCTGTGCTCCCACGTGCACCACCGGCTTGCTCACTTTCCCTTCTCCCTCAACACTTGATCCCATCACGAAACCTTTCACCGGTGATGACCTTGCCGGCGACTCTCCCTGCCCACTCACTCTCCTGTCAATGCTGAACTTCCCTCCTTGTTTTGTGCTCATTGTCCCTATCCAAACAACATATCCATTATTAGATTCGTTATGCTGATATGTTGGCTAATGGTAATTCTAATTTTAATACATGAAGACATTACTGTATATATTATTATTATGATAACAATTACACCTACATTGTGTTAAAGATAGATCAAATTTTACCTTCTGCAATTGGAATGCCGGTGCTAGTACTGTTATCCCTCACGAGCTCAAACTTGTAACCCAATCCATCGATGGCCCCTCTCTCACGCCATGCCTCGAGCCGTCCCCACGGTTTCCAGCTACTGACACAAGTCCCATGCGGCCGTAGGATCAGCCACGCGCCTGGGTTCGATCTTGACACACGGTCTGATCCTGGAGACGCCACGAACGGAGTGATCATCGAAGCTGCTGCTACAGGAGACCCTGACAAGTCGTGGATCGTTATCATCCAACCTTTTCTCTCTCTCGCTTGTTTCTTCTCCCATTGGTCACCTGATAGTGTTCTTGTGATCCATCCTCTGCTACTGTATGTGAATCCCGAAGGCAGAGACCTAAACCAGAACAGAGCAAAACAGAACAATCATCATCAATTGCAAAATTTCATAAGGATGAATAGATTGGTTAATATTGGTTCAGTTAATTAGATTACCGGTTTGAGTCTCCTTTAGCTTAACCGTGTGTATATATATAGTAACATTGTACATTTTGAAGAGAATAAGAAGAGTTTTAATTAAAGGTGTTACCGAGATCTTCCGTTACGATCGGAGCTGAATTTGCAGCTGAAGACAGGCTGTTTGATATTCCCCTGAATCTGGTAAACCACAGGGCTACATTCCGGTTCACCTCCGAATTGAAACACGAACCGGGGATCCGGTTCAGCACTAACCAATAAATGTAACCGAGCCGACGGTTTGTTATCTCCATCTCCGCCGAGTTTCATCCAACCGCTGTGAAACGCGACGGTTCTAGAAAGCGCCGACGCGAGATCCACCGCTACTTCGACTCTGCCTAGAAGCTTCCCGGAGGCGACGCCGCAAGTGTGTCCCGTACGGCCGGCGTAGACGGAGACTCGGAGCGAGATCTTCTTACCGGAGACTCGTCGGATCGCGTCGGCGTCGAGGTGGAATCCGGGAGCTGAAGTGGAGGATTCCGGCGGAGAGGAGGCGTCGGAGAAGGAGGAGAGAGGGAGGAGAGCTTTTTGCGAGGGGAAATGTTTGATCCGGAGCTTGCAGTAACAAGGCGTTGTCGAAGGATGTACTTCGCCGCCGATTTGCTTGTTCGTCGCTGTCTCCGGTAGTCTAAGTGCTAGTGAATCTATTGTAAGTCGTACAAATGGACATGGATCCATCAGAATTCGTTAGAGTTTTCTTTCCTCTTTCTAGTTTCGGATTTCGAAATGTGTGTGAGCTTGAGTGATGATCAATTTGAGAGAATTTGGAGAAGAATGAGTTAGTTGATCTTTCATGAGGTGATGTGGAGAAAATGTGTCGTCGTCGTCGTTTTCTTGCTGGTTCTGGGTTTTGTAGCAACATGATGGTAGTGGGCCCGGTGGTTCTCTAACAATAATTTAATTTCGTATTTTTTTGGGTTTGTTTGGCCGTATATTTCATTTTTATTTCTCGCGGGAAATTCGGCGGCACAATAAATCAATTACGTATTATTTTTTAGAAAAAAAAACATTTAATTTTTTTATTCATTTGGTCAGTTTTAATACATTTTCTTGTTAATGCACAAATGTATGATGTATCATGATTCATGAATCTTGCATACTTTGATTATAAACCAAATAAATGTTCTTTCTGTCTTTTACTTTGTGAATTCAATAGAAAAACATTGCTTAGAAATTTGGATATGTTTCAAAACAGAAAATAATTGATATTAAATCACGTAGAAAAACGAAATGTATGGTAACCGTAAAATCTCCACCTTTATGCGGCAAATAAATAATTATATTTTTATAAAAATACACACGAAATATGATTTGATTTATTTCCATAAAAAAGAAACTACTGGAAATAAATAAATAAAATGATGGAAGAAACGAAACAGAGAAAGCGATAAGTTTGCATGGAGGGGTTCACGTGGGCCCAATACCAGCTGTATTGAGTTGTTCGTGGGTGGTGGCTACGGTAATTTGGGCTAAGTATTGGGCCACTAATTATACTTGCCATATTAAAATAGGATAAACTAATCCGTCATCGTAACGCCGTCAGGATCGTCGGCGGGAGAGAAGGAGGAGGTGGCACTCGCTGGCTAATTTTGTCGTCTTCCGTGCCGATTTTGTTCGGCGCTTTAGATCCTCCTGTTTGTTGACGGCGCTTTGAGACTGGTAGTTGGTGGCGGTTTGACTAACATTTATAAATTGTTACTCTCTATTGTTTTGTTAAATTAAACTTTATTTGTCTCAGTGATTTGATAGTTAATTCGTTGCTAAAACCATATTTCTGTTGTTTTCTACTAATTTTAAGCCGCCACCATTTTTTTTGCTGCACTCTTCAGATTGCAAAAAGAGAACAAATACTCTAAAATTAATCTAAAACAAATGGCAATAAGAAAGTAACACATGAAAACACCTGTCTCGAGTCGAGTGTATACGCATGAAAACACATATGCCTCGAGTGTATATACGCATGAAAAATTGAAAACACATGTCACGGGTGTACACGCATGAAAACAGATATGTCTCGAGTGTAAGCTCATCATCGTTTTCAGGTTTATACGCATTTGTATCTCAATGCCAACTAGTAATTTTATTTGGGTATTTTTTTTTCTTGATTCAGTAAGTAGAATTTCGTCACGCAATAACTAAACTGTTGTATGATAACGATCATTACATTAATTAATATATAAAGGTTACAACTATGTAATTTTTCACTTTATCACTGTGAAATTTTCTGTTGTATCATATCATTTTTGTTGTCCTTTTTATGAATTATCGATCTATATAAATTAGCTCAGAAGATTTCTTTTTTGAAAAAAAAATATCTGGAAAGTTGCTATGATACATCCATTTCAAGTCGAAAGCAACTCATTTTAAAAATTATTTATTATATTGATATATACAAGTACAACGTTAAAAATACCAATACAACTGTTAAACAATAAAATATTAAATACTATAATAATTACAATTATATATAGCATGCAAAACTCATTCATACCATATGATTGACGATTATAGTACAATATCTCATCGGAAAACCCAAAAGAAAATATTATAAGTACTACTATAATAAAGTGGCATTAGTATTAAAACAGCAAGTTCATAACACTTGAAAACTGAAATCATATACTCCCTCCGTTTCAAATTAGTTGTCATTTTGACAAAATGTATCTGCAAATATTTGGACGTATCTGCAATGCAAAACAGATCCAGATATGTCCAAATATTTGTAGATACATTTTGCCAAAACGACAACTAATTTGAAACGGAGGGAGTATGTATAGTTGACCTTTATTTTTATAATAGAAACCTTTTTCGCTTTCTTTTTGTTTAAGGATCAAAGAACTTGTATATGAAGCTTCTTTTTAATGATGAGTTACAAACTTACAATGAATTGATTAGTGGAGAAAGAAACTCGTTATTCGTTAATAAAAGTAAAATAGAAAGAAATTCGCTATTTGATGTCTAAGAAAATGTATATATTTGTTGTATCTGTAATTTTATGCTTTGCCTATGTAACTATGTTGATCAATGGTCGAACTTATCTACCATCATTTATTTACGGGAATGGTCACTGTTTGCCATTTATTCATTGTCGTCCAAAAAAAAACTATTTAGTTTAGGTATCTTCTGCTTTAACTTGGATATGTGTTAGCCAAAAAAATGAAAACATCTCGATCACATGCAAAGATATGGCTCTCTATTTTTAAATGTCAGTCGAGGACAAATCAAGATCATCTTCTATTTCGCATTTGGCAATATTAATATAAACAAAACATTTGGCCAAGTTGCTAATTCTTTTTGGTTATTTTTTTCCTTTTACTGATGAAAATTCAAAGGATTTGTGTCAGTACTCAGTAATAATACTATTGCCATAAATGAAAACAAGGCCTCGAACAATCTAGTTACCTGCTATGCGCTAGCTAAGCTACTACTAGACACTAGCTCTTGACGATCCCAACTTAAACAAAACCCATTCCCATATGAATTTTGGTCGGATTCGTTTCACCCACGGGATTCCATAATTTGCTTTTGGAAAACTATGTTCCGTCATTTCCATCCACAGGATTCAAGAATTTAGATTCTTAACGTATTCCTAGATTTATAGCCATAGACATATTTATTTATAACTCGAACGATACACTGCTACAAAAACCAGTTTCAATTGTGAGTTTGGCGATATATGTGCATTGTCTAAAATATATTGACATTGATGATATAGATACATACGCTTATTTCAGGTAGAAAAATCGACATAGGACACTCACTAAACTTGTCATTGTTCATTACGAACGCAAGGAAGAAAACTAATTTCCGTTTTGTCCGACAATAAACATGCGAATTACTGAAACATAGATAGGTCCACCATTATTTATTCGCATTTTTGCCTTGTTCATAAACTGATTAGTCTTTCTATCACTCTTTTTCTTTCTATCATTTTTTTTCGTTTGGTTGCAAGAACGTCGTTTTCCTTCCTCCCCCTTTTTACGGGATTTAACTTATCACATTGTAATGGATTGCATGTTCCTCTCTCGTCATTGGCAAGTTCCATTGAAATGTCTCCATCAATAGGTCAAACGATCCAAAAGGAACAACACCCTTTTTCTTTTCCTCGCATTTTAACATTCAAGATATTTTTATTTTATAAGGTAGACCTTTTTATTTTAAAAGTCTCTATCGGTTTATTTAGAAGTGTTTGTGAATTGTGATAATAAAAAAATTGTCTTCTTCGAGATAAACTAGATTGTATCTATCTAATCCTCGAGAAAGTTGAAGACCGAAGACAAAAAAGATAAGATACAGGTCATGGTTTCTTCTTGAGTAGAAGCGGTTTATAACCGTTCAAAAGCTTGTTTTCGTGATCATGCATGAAACTACTTAAATATCCTTCAACTACCAATAAACCTCTTTAACTAGTGAACATTATGGTCACATTTAATAAACTATATATATATATATATACGGTCATGAAATTAAATCTTGTAACGTATCTAACTACTCACATGATCTATATACCATGACACATTTTTTATCAACCATATTTTAACCGCCTAAGCACTTAACACTACTCTTTGATCAAACTTATTTTTCTTCATATATATAGTCCAAAAGAAACCAAGTGGCATATTTCACAATGTGGCGCCAAACAAAAGCATATCAACTTATAATTCAGATATTGTCTCTGTATCTTATTTTAATATCTGTAAATCTGTTTTATTTAGTGATGTATATGAATAATATCCTCGAAGAAGAGTGGACTGAAAAAATACCCAAAACATTAACGTTTGGAATGACGTGAGCATGAGTCAGCAGACAAGAAGTGATACCAAATCGGGTCAAGATTATCTGGTTGGGACCCGTCACATGCACATGGGCCCTCCCTACCTAATCCAGGTTAATAATCTTGATTCTCTGTTATTAATACCTTGAAAACTGAACATATTATAATTGTTGAGATTAATAATTAACTTCGGATCTTTGGTTCCGACCATACTCAATAAAATCATGCTCACGACACAATGCTTATGTTTCTCAAATCTTGATCTTCCTTGAGATTAGATTCCCTCTGCATTGTCTTTTCTTGTTTCTTGTTGATTTGTTAGAGTTTGTAATAATCCTATTCCTACATTATTGGTGGAGTTTGAAACTTGTATAAAGGAAAAACAAGAACAAAACAAGATAGAAAAAGTATTTGGGCCTGCGAGTCGAGTGTCGGTTAACGGGTCAAAGGAAAACCTTCTCGGCCCAATTCAATAATTGTTGGATTGTAGAGGCACATTAGAGAGAGAATAAACATTTGATTTATTTTTCTGGATAAAAACTCTAAATTACACGAACCCTTTTTCTTAAACCATCTCATTAATCGAAAAATCCCCAAAACTACCTTTGATTTGATCGAATTAAACTCAAGTTAGAACTATATATTCGATGCATATTCCACGATTGGTCTAGAAATTCGCCAAGAAAAAATAAACCAAATTATGAAAGTAGAACTAACTTTGTTAGAGCATCTCCATGCTAAATATGACATATATGCTATTTTGCCATAATTTTTGCTCCAACCCAATTGCATATGCTATTGCAAAATAGCATCATGCTATTTTTGCTTCTATATTTGGCATGAGATTATGCAATATGCTATTTTGCCATTGAACTTTTTTATTTATAAAATAGTCCTTCAATTTGTAATTACTTTTAATTTAACAGTTTAATTATATTGATTATGATTTATTTAAATAAATAAACAATACTCATAACTTTTTCAAAATATAAATAATATTTATTTCATAGAAATATAAAAACATAACCATAATAAACTTAAAATTTTATTTTTAAAAATACTGAAATTCAAAAAACATAAAACAATAGGTTAAAATCTTTGTTTTCTATAATTTTTATGTAATATGATGTATTTTGTTTTAATATTATAATAAAAAAAATATAATTCTGGTTGTTTTTGCAAAAAAAGAAAAACAAATGATTCACTTTGTAAAATTTGAAGAAATCAAGTAGTTTTAACAATTAATAATAAGTTGGAAAAAAATTATAGCATGATATATGGCATGAGGGGTTGGAGAGAAACCCAATGCTATTGCTATATTTTTGCCATTTGCAATAACATATGGCATGAGGGGTTGGAGATGGTCTTAAAGACTTATAAAAGTACTTTATGTTTTGATAGATTTATGTACACAATTCGAAAGCTAATTAGGCGATTACCGGTATAACAAATTAATCCCGATGGATACACGCCTTCTTCATTAATCACCTTCGTCGTGAGCCAATTCAGTCGTGCCACGCCATCATTTTGTAACTCAATAGCGACGTGGCGAGATATCATTGGATAGGTCACGCAGTTGCCTAATTAAACAAAGTGATTAGAACCTGGAACGTTCTCTAGCCTTCGTTTGTGCGGTGCTTCTGCTCTCTCTCAACATTTCTTATTTGGGTTAGAGAATTTAGAAAAGCTCAATCAATAAAACTTCTTCTCTGCTTTCTGAATCTTCCGGATCTCTCGAATCGTACTCGAAACCTCAGATCTTCGAATCCGACGAATATGTCATCTCCCGGCGAGTAAGTCCTCCATTTCTCTCTTCATCGACCTTCGTTTGCTTTTAGCTCCGATTCGACTTTGACCGCGAAATTGTTAGTTGATTGAAGGAATTTCATGATTTCACCGTTGATTTCCTTTAGCTTCTTCTTCTTAATTCGAGCGTATTGTTCAACACTGAGCGCGTTTGCGACTTGGGTGAACGCTATTTTAGTATCTAGTTATCAGTTTTCATAGTCATCATTTGCTATCTTGGAATCTCATAGCGTCTTGAAGCTAAAGTCTCCTTTTTTCAACTGCTGTGTGTGATATTGTGCTTGAAGATGCTTATAATGGTGACAGGAATTTGCTTTTGAAAGGATCCTTAGTTGTTGATTTAGTGTTCAGGAATGAAAAAAATAGCTTGTGAGCTGAAATGTTCATTACGTTCTGCTCTTGTGACAAATTCATATCCTTAGCTGATGATGACTTGTCTTGATTGCAAGTGTATAGATAGATAGTATACGTATGCCTCAAGTGCGTAAGAGGAGTAGTTTTTTAATAGCACCTGTTTGTTGAATAATAGTCAAATGTTGTGTCTTTCTCTCGTGACAATGCTATGTGCTTAGCTGATCTTGATGGTATGTATGCCTCGAGTTCATAGTATTGTTTCTTATAGCACCTGTTATTTGGTATTGTTGATTGCAGATTTTATAACTCACTTCCACCGATAACCAAGGCATATGGTACTTTGTGCCTCCTGGCTACAGTACTCTCGCAACTGGGTTTAGTTGCTCCTATTCACATTGCTTTCATTCCTGAACTTGTAATCAAGCAGTTTCAGGTAAAAAAGTCTTCTTTTTTATGATACTTTTTTTTTGACAAAACTGTGTCGTCATAACTTTCTAATTCGTCTTGGGATTTGATGTTTGCAGGTGTGGAGGCTGTTTACAAACTTGTTTTTCCTCGGTGGTTTCTCTATCAATTTCGGAATACGTCTTTTGATGATGTGAGTATTACTTTTTATTCAAAAATATTTGCAGAAACAATATTTTGCTTTTATTATAACATCCTCTCTGAAATGATTGCACAGAGCAAGATATGGAGTTCAGCTCGAGAAAGGGCCATTTGAAAGGCGTACGGCAGACTTTTTGTGGATGATGATCTTTGGATCCTTGACTCTATCGGTATGTAAAGCTCTCCTCTTAATCTATGAGAACTCCAGTGTTGGTTATGTTACGCCACAATGTAGATACTAGCTGGTACATTATTGAATAAGTGAGACAAGCTTTTGGGAAATGTTATTCTTATACTTGTGAATCCGTGTGTTAGAACTCCTACCTTGTTCAAATTTCAGTTATTATCAGCCATACCATTTTTCTGGACACCGTTCCTTGGAGTTTCGCTTGTTTTCATGCTTCTATATCTCTGGAGCCGAGAATTTCCAAACGCCAACATCAGCCTATACGGTCTTGTCACTCTTAAGGTATTGAATGTGTTTCTTTTGTAAGCTCATCTAAAAACCTACCCTCTCTCTAGTACGTAATGCTAATGGTAAAACATGGAATTACTCCACAGGCTTTTTACCTCCCATGGGCAATGTTAGCACTCGATGTTATCTTCGGTTCTAAGATCATGCCAGATCTCCTCGGCATCATAGCCGGACATCTATACTACTTCCTCACAGTCCTCCACCCTCTCGCCACCGGGAAAAACTACCTGAAAACCCCAAAATGGGTGTATCCTTGATTAGCTCCAAATGATTTCTCTGCTCTTTTTGCTTTTTGGTTATTGTTTTGTTGTGAGCCCTTGACTTATGTCGATAGTAATAAAGTGGTAGCGAGATGGAGAATTGGAGCACCAGTAGCAGCGGTTCGACAAGCAGGCGGTGTAGGAGCAGGAGGACCCGGAGCTGGAGGAGGAGTGGGAGGAGGAGGTGCTTATTCAAGCGCTCGTGCCCCACCGGAGAGCTCAAACACAGCATTCAGAGGCAGATCGTATCGTCTCACCGACTGAAATTATAAATCCTTTTCGGGTTTCGTTCGTTATCAATCAGGATCATCTCAAATCGTTTCGAAAACAATGCCACTAACAATTAGCTTGTAGCTTCATCTTTTTAAGAGCAGTACAGTTTTTGAATATATGATGACTTTGTAGGCTATTATCTTTTGAGGGTTTTACTACAGTGTTGTATTCAAATGCTTTTGCTTAGTGACGTTTTTAATGATCTCTTGAAGAAACTTGGTCTTCAAACAACAATTTAACCCTAAAAAGTAAAAACTAAAAAGGGTCTCAATAAAGTGCGGTTCATATTTCAAAAATTTGTTTGTCTATAATCATATCATATCCCAGTTACAATGGATTTCGATGAATTATGAACATTATGAATACAATCAGGCGAAATTGGTCCGGAACAAGTTTGAACATGTAAGATGTGATTTATTATTGGTTGACAAAAAAGATTTTTTTAAAAATAATAATTAGTCTTTGAAAATTCCGTTGGTGATCGTTATAAATAGGGGAAATCATAAAAAAGGAAGAAAGTTGACGTGGCAATTAGGGAAATGATGATGAAGCTATAACAAAGGCGAGAAGTGAGCAACATTAATTGAAAACGATCCTTGATTTGAAAAAAATTGAGACGTACGTCCGGCTGAGAATTCGTCTATGTGATCCAACGGTTGACAATCACTAATAGCGTAATCTTGCTCTTCCTTCTCCTATTTATCTGAACGACAAAGTCCCCACGCTTCACATAAAACGAAGGAGAGAAAGAGAAAAAGAAGAAGAAGAAGAAAAAGAAGGAGAAGGAGAAGATGTCGTGGCAAACTTACGTTGATGAGCATTTGATGTGCGATGTTGGTGATGGTCAAGGACACCACCTTGCCGCCGCAGCTATCGTCGGTCATGACGGTAGCGTTTGGGCTCAGAGCGCCAACTTCCCTCAGGTATGGAGATTTCTATGTTATTTTTGTGTCTAGGGATTTCGTTTTGATATATTTTTGATCCGTCTCTTTGATTTAGATCGTGGATCATGTTTTGGTTAGATACTATATGTTATAGATCTATATACACCTAATGAAGGATGGATGCATGGGATAATTCATTTTCTTTTGAAATGCAATTAATTTTCACATGAACACTGGTCTTAAATTGATTGATGTACATTTTATTGTTGTCCAAATATTCATTTTTATGTAATTAAAACAATGTTCTCTCATGTTAACCTTTCTTACTCACTTTTTTATATATATTTGATGATAGTTCAAGGGACCAGAGTTCACAAATATAATGAAAGATTTCGATGAGCCGGGTCACTTGGCTCCCACGGGGCTATTCATAGCAGGAGCCAAGTACATGGTGATCCAAGGCGAGCCAAACGCTGTTATCCGTGGCAAGAAGGTATATATATGTATAACCCATTGGATCAACAGTTTCATGAAATATTCTGAAAACGTTATATATATTAATTTGTTGGTTCGGTTTTGAATATTTGATGATGATAGGGAGCAGGAGGGATAACCATAAAGAAAACAGGACAGTCGTGTGTGTTTGGGATCTACGAAGAGCCAGTGACACCAGGACAATGCAACATGGTCGTCGAGAGGTTGGGTGATTACCTCCTCGAACAGGGTCTCTAGATTCTTCCATTTGCTTTCTCAAAACGTTCCACATTCTACAATTTTTCTTGTACGCCCATTGTTTCTCTTTTTGTTTTATTTTTGCTTTGTTCTTTCCCATAACTATATAATTGTATTGGGCTTCTGAAATGTTGTCGCCTTAGCAAATTTATGAAAGCCGAAGCCTAAAGAGGCTGAGATTTCAAACATTTACGTGTTTTTGTTGTTGCTGTCAATCGTGTTAAATAATTTTTCTGTTTTGCTTCTTGTTTTTTGACAATTGGATTTTCCTCTGTCTATTACATTCACTCATAGTAGACTAATAGTAGAAATCTATCATTTACAACGACCATATATACCATTTTGCATGTGTATAATTGAATTTGCATCATACAAAACCACAAGAGATGATTTTATATGTCGTAGTATATGTACTAGAGCTGTCGAAAAGGTAACTTTCATGGAGTCATACGTAGTATTTAATCACTAGTCTCACCAAGAGATTGAGAATAAGTACTTTTTGAAAGCATTTTGAACTAAAGATAGAAATGTTTAGCAAACAAACTTCTTATCTTTCTAACGTAATGCTATTGGACTCATCTCTAGAAAACAATTTCCCATCTACAGTAATTACCAAATGCTACTGTGCTCAACTTTAGAGAACAATTTCTACAAGAAATTCCTTTTGTAAAATAATATGAAAAAGATTGTAAACAGTTGATGCATAAGTCATTCATTAACTTTAATAATAATACAAAGTTATTGTCGGAAAATCATTCCCATCCCATCTGTCTTTATTATGTTCTAACAGCTCATCAGATATGTCGAATCTGATTTACTTTCTTTTTACAATGGAAATAGTATATTCGAAAGTAACGAAATTGTTTTCCAATCTTTCTTTCTACATTTTGTATCATACATTCATACGGTGCACAAAATATCTCTTACTAATATCAATTAAAGAGATTATTCTCTGTTTTTGTTTTTTTTTTAAATTGTGGTCTTAAGAAACATTTATTGACATTAGGAAAGGGTGGACAGAAATAATGGAATATTTTGTGTATGGCACACAATGCAAGAGCATATCCACCCTGTAAACAATGATGGCCATACTTTAGTTTGATCTCCTCACTATGGTTTTAGCAATTAAAAATCTGTAATTTTAATCGTTTTTGTAGACTTAAGTTGGTCATGATTTTTTCTTTTTCTTCAAAATCGAAATATTCAAACCGAGATTATTTTTTGACATAAAAATATTTAACATTTTCACAGATTCAAATATCACGATCGACTAGACATTTGATCAAACTGTATAAAAATATTTATCACAATCTAATGAAATCTATTAACATGTGCATGCAAGATATTATATGCGTTTTATTTCCCTTTGTTTGGAGAAAAAAATAATAATGTGAAAGCTGAAAATGACTGAATGAGAATGATTTTACATAATTTTTTTCATTTTTTAAAAATTTATCTATCAAATCAGTTATGTTCACACATATTTTATAAATTTAATTATTATGAAAAATATTGGTTATACTTTACAAACATTTTCTAAAATTTTAAGATTTTTTTTAATTATTATTTGTAGTTGTATACTTGTATTATTAAATTCAGTAAAGTAGGAATGCAATCATGCATTTATTTTTTTATTCGAAGATTTTTTTTATTGGATGCCTAAATCGCGTTATTAATTTAAAGCGTCAAGGTTTCAACTTTCATTCCGAGTCCACGAAGTAAAGCTCGCAGAGAAGAATCAATCAATCAGTCTCACCGGAGAAGAAGGAAGATAAGATGTCGTGGCAATCATACATCGATGACCATCTCATGTGCGATGTTGAAGGCAACCACCTCACCTCCGCCGCCATCCTCGGCCAAGACGGCAGCGTCTGGGCCCAGAGCTCTAATTTCCCTCAGGTTCTTCTTCCTCTCCTCCTCTCGCGATTTTCCGATCCTTCGTTTGAACTGAAGTAATCTGTTTCGATCGTCTATCTTCACGATTTTTCTTGTAATCGGATCTGAGGAAACTTGGATCTGCTTCGATTTGTTAGCTCGTTAATCAATTGTTTCTCCGAATTAGCCGATCCAAGTTTCCGTATGGTTCTGAGATTTTCACGGTTCCTGTAGTCAAATCGCGTTTACATCTGTTTTCTGGGCTCATGTATATGATACACAAATCTATCTCTTTTCAATTCATCACATAACAAACTTTCACCAAATTCTTTTAGACTACTTAGTACTAAACCAATGGATTTGACATTTGAACTTGAATATATTTGCATAAGAACCACAAATGAGGAAATTCTTATCGAAAATTTGCCTTTGCTGAATATTATTGTGTAACCATTGTAAAGGATCTAGTGTAGTGGTTAGTATCATTTGCTGAATCGGCTGAAGCTGATTGTTTGTTGTTGATGATTATGTTATAGGTGAAGCCTGAAGAGGTAGAAGGAATCATGAAGGACTTTAACGAACCAGGACATCTCGCCCCAACCGGGCTATTTCTTGGCGGAGCAAAGTACATGGTTGTTCAAGGCGAGGGAGGAGCTGTCATCAGAGGGAAAAAGGTAACTCTTCTTCAATAGAAACCGAACTCGATTGAGCAAAGTTTCATTTTTTAATGATCAGCAAGTTCTTAAGTTCCAGGTTACTTCTCTCGTCTTTGCAGGGACCTGGTGGAGTCACTATCAAGAAGACAACTCAAGCTCTAGTCTTTGGTATCTACGATGAACCGATGACCGGAGGACAATGCAACTTGGTGGTGGAGAGGCTTGGTGATTACCTTATTGAGTCTGATCTCTAAAAGTTTGCTTTAGTAAACCAATATCAGTTTCAGGTTCTGCTTCACTACTACTGAAACACTCTTATGTACCGTATTGTGATTTGATTGTTGTTGTGCATCAAACAAAGTTAAATTGATACTCTTATAAGAAGAAAAGAAACAATCATATTTGTGTTGGTTTTGACTTTTGAATCCCTTGATGGCTTTAATATTTTTTCTCTGCTTGTACTGTGTTTCTTAATGTACCTCTTGTTTTCGATTTGAGTAATGAAAATAAGTCCGGTTTGGCAAAAAATTTGAGTATGTGAACTGGTCTCTCACATGTACTGCACTATATTTTACCTGGTTCGGGTTCTCTTCATTTGTGATTTTATCTCAATTGCAATTTGAACCGCACAATACATCAATCATACAATAGTTCGGTTAAATTCCGGTTTAGCTCACTACTCGGTACTTCACAGGCAAAAAGAAAGCAACAGAGCAAACATACGTACACTGTCACCAAAGACTCGCACTAGCTACAAAGCACGGTAACAAAACAGAGACTGCAACAGAAACCATTGTTCTTCTGAATGCTTCACTGCTCGAAGAAGGCGAAGCCAATGGCGAATCAATGGCGGTTATGTTCCCCGTGATATTACCCGCCATTGTTTTGTTCACTCTGCGCAAAATAACAACATCAGCTTCTATGTCATTCACATACTCACACGATTAACAAGACCAGAGAGAAAGAGAGAGATAACACTCACCCTTGAGTAGACGGAGCAATCATGTACAAACAGTTACCATAACCTGCAAAATTGCATTAACATATTGAGAGTTGGCTTCACATTTTACTCTATAGATGCATTTCGAAAGTAAGTGTATGTATGCAAATACTTACTAGGGTCCTTGTCGACTTCAACGCTGACTCCTCCAAAGCTGCAAGCTACGCTGCTCGCTCCACTCTGCTGGTAATAAGTGTTGAACGCGTACGATGCGTGTGAGAGAGTAGTGTCTGGCTCAAAGCAAGGTTGGTCTGGTTGAACAGCTGAACAATCAACATTCCCAGGACCGCAAGCCCAGTCCAACGCGCTCTGCAGATCCGTCACCGAAGCTTGCGTTGAAGCAACACACCATTTCCTGATCCCTCCTCCTCCTCCTCCTCCTCCTCCTCCTCCTCCAATGATTACTGTGCTGTTACCACTGTTGTTACCCGGACTTGAGCTTGGACTTGGACTCACACCTATAGTTGCATTTGATGGAGAAACAGGGACGGTGCTCTCCCCAGTGAAGTCTAACGCGTAAACAGTTGTCCCGTTAGCGTAAAACATCCCCCAGTTCCTCTCTGACTCAATCCCAGGCTTCCGGTTCTCGTTGAACAACGAGAACAAGTACACATCTATCTCTTCCCCTGGCTTAGCAGGAGTACCTAACACCAAAAAGAAAACAAATCAGTTTACGAAAACGTTTCCATCCATCTATCTATCTAAAAGCTCATAACTTTGGTTACCTGGATCGCCAATGACGTGGCGTATGAGGTTAGTATTGTAAGCGAGAGCGTTATCAGGAGTCGCAGCCGTCTCTTTAGGCGAACCTCTGCTCGGCCACCCGGACTCAGTAACCATAACCTTAACGGTCTTGAAGCTCATAGCCATCAGTGCGAAATAGATAGCGTCAAGCTGAGCATCAAACATGTTGGAGTAAAGCAAACCGGTCGCAGGATCAACGACCTGCGAAGACGACTCGAACAGAGCGTACTCCAACGGAACCTTCTCAGCGGAGTCTCTGTAAGCGTAATACGGATACAAGTCGATCATGAAGGGAGACTCGTTCTCAGCCAAGAACTCAAGCATTGGCTTCAAGAAAGCAGAGTGTTTCTTGCTGAATGAAGCTGATGAAGGAGGGAAGGAGCGTGACAAGATGGCTAGCGAGTGGGAGCTAGAGATCTTGATCTTTTTGTCCAAACCGGATTTCTTGAGAGCGGTGTGGATGTTCTGCATCGCCGGTAAGACTAGACCGGTGGCGTTGTCCGGCGCTTCGGTTACTTCGAGACCGACGGAGATGGAGGTGATTTTGGTGGATGGGTAGTAAGGGAGGATGTTGTTGTGGAGCCAGGTGTCTACGTTTGATTGGAACTGAGCGAAGGCGAGTAGGTCGGCGTTGGGGACGCCGATCATGAGCTCGATTCCTGTGTTGGCGAAGGCTTTGAGGACGTCGATGTTGGCGTCGTAGATTCGGACGAATTTGATGTTGAGGTGTTGGATCAGCTCTGATACTTTGTTTGGGCTCGGGAGATTGTCTGCATTTCTTCCGTAACATATCCCTATTTTGCTTGCGGTACCAAAATCTGCAACATTTTCAGACAAGACAAGACATTCGAGATTCTCAAATTCTCGATTCCAAACTAAAAGATTCGAGATTTTCAGACAAGAACTAGATTGTAGGAGAGATCAATCAACCTAACGCAGAGCACAAAGAAAAGCACCCAACTTTGACATCGGGAAGACAAAATAACAAAACCCAGAAGAGGAAATTAGAGGAAAATGGAAACTAAAGGAGGGATTTGAGTGAAAGACATACCCAGAAAGGCAAGAATGGAGACACAAATCCAGAAGATTAGCTTCGGTCTTCTACCCATTTTCTTTCTGAGGCAAGAATCTCAGTGAAGTTTTCTACTTGAGTGAAGTGTTCTTCTTTATTCTCACTAGAACCCAGAAATGTAACGGCTCAGTCTCAAAGAAGAGTGAAGTAGGGAGCACAGAGTGAGAGAGAGAGAGAGTGAAAGAGAGATGTGTCTTTCTAAATTATGTGTGTTGTCTGAGTCTTTTCTCAATCAGAGTTCGGATTCCAGCTGAAAATATAAAATTGGGTTTATAGAAACGTCTCGATTCCGTTAATTAAGCGAGCATGTTTGCTCTCTCTCTCAATTTGACTGGTGCAGATTTACTGCTTCCGAGAAGAAACTTTTTTTTTTTTTTTTTTTTTGTGGGGGACGTAATAATTAATTTAAAAAAAAAAAAAAACATATTATCTCATATACAAATGGGTATGGGTTCCAGTGCAAAGAGTACGGACAACAGTGCTCTGCTTTATGTTTTGTTTTTACTTAACGGTCCAATCTCCACTCAATGCAACTTTTGCATTTACCAAAATAATTTGCAATTCACACCATTCATAATAGTACTCCAATTTCCCTCCATGTATGCGATGGATGCTTTTTTTTTTTTTCATTCTTGATCTTGAATTCCAAGAAGAGGTTGAGGACAACACTGCTTGGCCTAGCTTTCTAAAGTCAACATCATACTGCAAAAAGGAAATATTATAAGATAAATGTAAATTCCAAGGTATAAGAAAAAAATGGATTAATAATCAAAGATAAGAGAAATTTTCCTAATCGCATAAAGGTAAGGAGTTTAACGTCCTCGCATATAAATAGAGGAACCTGATTACTTGAAGATTATTCAAAAATCATTAAGACCATAGAAGAAGCTAGCCTCCTTTAAGCTTTTAGCCTTCTACCTTTTTGTTATTCATCTCTTTGTAATCTTTGAGTTTTGATTCGATTAATAAAAGAATTCTTCTTAAACCCACAACTATATATCGTTTATTTTATATAAGTCATAGATATTACGGCGTAACCCATGATCCTTGAAGAAGAAGTTACCGGAAAGCAGAAAGAAACGACGACGGATCTTCTTCAGCCACTTTCGTTTTTATCACTCCCACAAGAAATCATAGAGAACATCCTTGCACGTATCTCTAAATGGGATTATCCTTTACTCTCTCTCGTCTCTAAAAGATTCCTCTCGCTCCTCTCTTCTCCCGAACTCTACGCCATGCGATCTCACATCGGAACGAGCGAACCATGCCTCTACTTCTGCTTAAACCTACCCGATCACCCATCTCCCAAGTGGTATACTCTTTGGATGGAACCTCTTGATGAAACCCTAGAAGACGACTTTACGTTGGTTCCGGTTACACCCTCTTCTTCCCAACCACTTTCCGTTCCATGTGATGATTCCGCCGTAGCTGTTGCCTGTTGGTTCGGAAATATACGTACTCGGTGCAGCCTACAACACGCCTCCGTCTTCAGCTGTTCGCATCCTTGACTGCCGGAGCCACACGTGGCGCGATGGTCCTAACATGCTGGTGGCTCGGGCGGGTGCGACTGCGGTTTTTCTCGATGGGAAAATATATGTAATGGGAGGTTGCGGGGAAGACGAGTCGGTGACTTGGATGGAAGTGTTTGACATAAAGACTCAGACTTGGATGGCCTTGCCGAGCCATGGAGCCGCCGAGTTGCGCAAGGAGCGTTGGTTTATAGCCAATGTGCTTGAAGGAAAGATTTATGCAATTGCTGAGATGAAACACTATGCTTATGATCCGAAAGAAGGTACGTGGAGGAACGTTGTGGAAACGCACGAGGAAAGCTGGTGGCTAAATAAGTGGTGTGTGGTAGATGATGTAATGTATTGCTATTCACACTCCGGTTGTTGCATGTGGTTCGACTCGAAAACTAGAAAGTGGTTATTTGTCAAGGGTAGCGATATAGATTGCATGCGTATAATGCCTACATGTGGCTTAGCATCTGGTGTGCTTAAAGTAGCTAACCATGGTGGGAAGCTTTTAGTTATGTGGACCCCCATGTTTGAGGCTATTAACGCAATCCCGATGAGGAATATTTGGTGCGCGAAAATCGCGTTAGAGAAGCGTCATGGAGGTGAGGTTTGGGGTAAGCTGGAGTGGGTTGAAACCGTGCTTACGGTCCCCGAGTCCTTTACTTTCTCAAGTGGCGTGGTAGTTTCGATTTGATGATTTCAAAAAGATGCATGGTATATTTGTTTCTTTATACAATGTATACTCTTGCTGTTTTCTTCGTAAAAAGAAGCTTCTACATTACGGTCTTTCATGAGAAGAATTGAGACCCATATATATAATGCTATTTTAATGAATAATAATATAGTGGGGATGTTTCAATATTTAATTGGTTGGAATGAATGAATAATAATATAGTGGGGATGAATCAAGGCTTGGTTTGCAATTTTGAGGGCAAAATGTCTTTTTATACACGTCATATCTTCTACAAAGCCCTAATTTAGTTACTTAACACTAATTTTATCATCTTTCATCTTCAATATCCGCCGACCATGATCGTCTCCGAAGTTGAACCACCGCAGGAAAAGAAGATGAAGGATTCTCACTCACTTTCGTTTTCGTCACTCCCAGACGAAATCGCAGAGAACTGCATCGCCCGTATCTCGAAATGGAATTACCCTAATCTCTCTCTCGTCTCCAAGAGATTCCTCTCTCTCCTTTCTTCTCCCGAACTCTATACGACGCGATCTCACATTGGAACCACCGAACCATGCCTCTATATCTGCGTACAACATCCTAAACACCAACGTCCTAAATGGTTCACTCTTTGGATGAAACCTGATGAAATTAAGAATGACTATCAGTTGATTCCGCTACAATCCTCTTCTCCAACCGTACCATATGATTCCACCATAGCAGTTGGTTCGGAAATCTACGTAATCGGTGGATCCTACGAGGCTCCGTCTTCCTCCGTTAGGGTCCTTAATTGTCGGAGTCACACGTGGCGTAACGCTCCTAACATGACGGTAGCTCGGGAAGAAGCAACCGCGATTCTCCTCGACCAGAAAATATACGTCATGGGAGGTTGCGTGAATGACAAGTCATCTGCCAATAATTGGTTTGAGGTTTTCGACATTAACACTCAAACTTGGAGCGCCTTGCCAAGCCCTAGAGCTGATTATGATGAGTTACGCCAATATATCGTGGTCAATGCTGCTGTCAAAGGAAAGATTTACGCAATGGCACAGGAAAAGGAGTACACTTACGAGCCGACATCTGGTGCATGGGAAGTTGTAAGAGAGAAATCTAGTCATCTAGACGTTTGGTGTGCGATAGAAAATGTAATGTATTGTTGCACTTACGCGGGGCATTTATGCTGGTATGACTATGAAGCTAAAGAGTGGAGAGAGATCAAGGGTTTGGAATATTTGCGTGGGGACCGTACGTGGGGTTTAGGTATGAGGAGTGGGTTTGGATTGGTTAACTACGGTGGGAAACTTGTAGTTATGAGGCCTAGGATTGAGAAAGAGAGCCTTAAACTTAAAGTTAAAATTTGGTGCGCTAAGATTGCGTTAGAGAAGCGCGTTGGAGGTGAGGTGTGGGGTAAGATAGAGTGGCTTAATAGTGTGCTTAAAGTCCCCAAGTCGTATGAGTACTGCGTGAGTTGTGTCGCCGTTTCGATTTGATGATTGTAAAAGATGGTATACACAACTTTTTGGAATTCTCCAAGGGTTTTTATTTTCTCTCTATGTTCAGCGCAATCAGGGTGATTATAAATATCTTTCCTTTACTTTTATGATTTTGTTACTAAAATTTTCAGAAACAAAATTTAGAATACAAAATATTCCATTTTTAAAATGGGGAAATGAGTTAATTTTTTAGATTTATTGTTTGGTCAAAAAGGGAAACGTGTTAATATATTACTTGAAATCAGGGATATTAGTTTGCTAAATCTGTTGACCAAATCATTTTCATATATCTAAACCCATTTTCACGATCTTTAATTTCCTCAAAACACACTTTCTTCCGCCGCCGACGATGATAATCCGCGAAGAAGAAGAAGTTGAACCGCCGCACAAAAAGAAGAACCTTGCTCGGGTCCCGCCGTTTCTTGTTCAACCATGTCATACATTTTCGTCACTTCCAGTGGAAATCGCTGTGAATTGCATCGCACGCATCTCTATATCATATTACCCTAAACTCTCACTCGTCTCCAAAGCATTCCGCTCTATCATCTCTTCTCCGGAGCTCTACGCCGCGCGATCTCAAACCGGAACCGCCGAGATCTGCCTCTACACTTGTCTACGGTTTTCCACCATACACTTCACGCCGCCAACTCGACGATGGTTTAAACTCTGGATGAGACCTAAACCAAACCTAACCGATGGTATCACTATAGAGAAACCATTTGGAAACATCTTTGTTCCTTTTACAAATGATTCTCCACGTCCACCATATTCTAAATCAACCGTAGCCATCGGTTCGGAGATCTTCTTGTTCGGTGGACCAACGGAAGGTGACTTTGAACCGTCTTCTGCTGTTCGTGTATACGACTGTCGAAATGCCACGTGGCGTAATCTTCCGGACATGAAGATGGAGAGGTCATATGCGTCGTCGTGTGTCCTCGATGACAAGATATATGTGATGGGAGGATGTAGAGCTTGGTACGAGGACCAGAGCTGGTTCGAGATGTTCGACATGAAGACTCAGAGTTGGAAAACCCTACCGGCGCATCCTGAACGTAACGTAAGATTGGGACACACGGTTCGTAAAATCGGTGTGGTTGAAGGGAACATTTACGTGAAGACTGGCTCTCAAGAGCTTAAGGATTGGATCTACGATGTGAAGGAGAGTAAATGGAGCGTAGCAGATTGGTCTTTGAGTGCACGGTGGTCGAATTCTAGGTGCGTGGTAGAGAATGTGATGTATTGTTATAATTCCTCTAGATACGTGTGGTATGATTTAGAGGGTAAGGTGTGGAGAGATGTGAAAGGTTTGGAAGAGTTGCGTAAGTACCGTAGTTTGTGTACTACTGGCTATCCAAATTGTGTGGTTGAGATGGTTAACTATGGTGGGAAACTCGCGATTGTGTGGGATAAGTTTGAGCGGGGTGGTCGTCAGACCAAGAACATTTGGTGTGCCGTGGTTGAGTTGAAAAAATGCCCCGGAGGCGTGGTTTGGGGGAAGACTGAGTGGTCCGGTATTGTGGTTAAGGTCCCAAAGTCGTATGACTTCTTGCGTTGTTTAGCCGTTTCGGTTTGAGTGAGTCTTGTTGCTTTTCAAGAACATGTGATTTGTTTTGTGTTGGCGATGATCCGTCTAACCTCTTTTTATACTTTAGATGTTTTGTTACATATTGTTTCAGTTTGCTTTTTGCATTAGTTTGAGAATAATAAATAGACTGTGACCGTACCCTAAGCATTCTATTTGTTCAATGTATTTAAATGGCTGATTTCAAGTTTAAGATTATTTTTTCTTCCTTACCTAGATTGTAATGTTGGTTCCTTCAGGACTCTTTTTGTACTAAACACTCTTGATTTTTATTTGGCTAAGTTAATACTGAATTCCCTCTTTTATGAAAGAAGATGTTCTTAATTTTGTGTTTGGGAGGACATAACATTGAAAGCCATTTATGGATGTAGTAATTCTTAGTTGAATATCAAGAAAGTAAATTCAACAACACTTAGCTTGAAATCCAAGCATTAGCAATATTTTTTTTAGAGTTATTGTCTCGTTCAATTCAGTTTGGTTTATTTGTTCATATCGGAGTATGTAACCTTCCTTTATCTTTCACAAACTTACGAATCTCATATCAAGCAGTATACTATGGTTTGATAGCCAAAGCCTGTGATTCGCCAAGTTGGTATATATACAACGCAAGTGAGACAAAATGATGAAACTCGTAAGCTTTTACGTTTTGTTTGTTATGATCTCTAATAAAATGTGATTCTCTTGAACATGAAATACAGAAGATCATATGATTGATATTTTGAAGTGTCAATGCTTCGGAGATCCTATTTTACTCAAAAAGTTTCAGAAAAATTGAGAATTTGTATTCAGGAATGATCGGAAAAGATGTATTGAAACGTTGGAAGATTTAACTTTATGCTAGTTGAATCTTAGATTAGTTCACGAAAAAACTTCTATTAAAGTTCCAAGCTCTTAGAAAAAAAAATGAAAAAAGTGAAAATCTGGCATGTTAAAAGTATATTTTTGTTATGTAATAAAGTTAAGCAAAACTAATTAAGAAGAATAAAGGAAACGTGTCGAATTGGGGTCATCCAAATTTTATATTCTTCGAGGCAAATCCGTCCAAACACAAAATTTACTCTTCTTCTTCCTCCGACATCCTCCGTCGCCGGAGACGACTCTGTTTATCGCCGGAACCAACAGATTTCATGTTCGAAGCCAGCTGACTAGTTTTTACCCAATCGAAGGAGAAACAATCAACAAAATCGGCTTATCTAGTCTCCAGTCTTTCAATGGGGAACAAAATCGCTCGGACGACGCAAGTCTCGGCGACGGAGTACTACCTCCACGACCTCCCGTCCTCGTACAATCTGGTACTGAAGGAAGTTCTGGGTCGAGGGAGATTCTTCAAATCGATCCTTTGCAAGCACGACGAAGGATTGGTGCTCGTTAAGGTATATTTCAAGCGCGGCGACTCAATCGATCTCAGAGAGTACGAGCGCCGTCTCGTCAAGATCAAGGATGTGTTTTTATCTCTCGAACATCCCCACGTCTGGCCTTTCCAGGTTCGTGTTATCGATTTCTCTCGATAAGCTTGAGCAATTTGGTTTAGTTGATCCCAAAAACTGCTTCTTCTTTTTGTTTTGTTAAAGAATGGATTTTGGAGTTTTGAGTTACTGTTCATGTTAAAATGGATTGTTGCTTATTTGAATTGTTTGCAGTTTTGGCAAGAGACTGATAAAGCGGCTTATCTAGTGAGGCAATACTTTTTCAGTAATCTTCATGATCGATTGAGTACTCGGCCTTTCCTCAGTCTTGTAGAGAAGAAATGGTTGGCGTTTCAGGTCTTCTTCTTGGTCTTGCACCACTCTGTTTTGAGGCATGAAGTTTTTATCTTTATCTTTTTTCTGAGGCATAGTGTTTGTTGTGCAGTTGCTTCTTGCTGTGAAGCAGTGCCATGAGAAGGATATATGTCATGGTAAGGTTTAATAGTCTTGGTTTTGGAGCATATGATCACCATGATGGTGCACTATGTTGATGCGTGTGGATTTGGACTTTTTATAGGTGATATCAAGTGCGAGAACGTATTGGTCACTTCCTGGAACTGGCTTTACCTTGCTGATTTTGCATCCTTCAAACCCACATACATTCCTTATGATGATCCTTCAGACTTCTCCTTCTTTTATGACACTAGGGGACAAAGACTTTGTTATCTGGCTCCAGAGGTACTACAGAACCATTATCAAAACTTATTCCGTTTATTTGATCTGCCATGAGTTAAACAGATTCTTGCTTATTTACAGAGATTCTATGAGCATGGGGGTGAGACAAAAGTAGCACAAGATGCCCCGTTAAAGCCATCCATGGATATATTTGCTGTGGGGTGAGCTTATTTTCCACCTATTTTTATATCGCTCTGTCTGTTCAAGATAAAGAGGCCCCCATTGGTTCAAGCACACATACCCTTTTTAAGATGGAAAAACATTTTCTTACCTTAAAACATTAGCAAATGTATATTTGAGTTGATAACATATTGTAATAGTTTCATATTAATGTTTCAGGTGTGTGATAGCAGAGCTTTTTCTTGAGGGTCAACCACTGTTTGAACTGGCTCAGCTTCTGGCTTATCGTAGAGGGCAACATGATCCTAGCCAACACCTTGAAAAGGTATCTCCTGTTGCATCTTCCTTTTCCTTTTTCTCTTTATGGGTTCCAATCTTTTCACTCTCCATTATATGTTTCCTTCTTACGACCTTTTCGCATTGATTCTCTTATGTTCAAATAACATTCTTTTCACCGTCTTTCTGAGTGGTACATGGGACTTGTGACTTCTGTGGTCCTGAGTTGGATTTCTTTTGGCTGATAGTTCCACCTCTATTTTTACCCATATATGTTGATGTTTCTCTTTTCATTGGATTCAGATTCCTGACCCGGGAATTCGCAAGATGATTCTTCACATGATTCAGTTAGAACCCGAAGCACGTCTATCAGCTGAAGACTACCTCCAAAATTATGTGGGAATTGTTTTCCCAAACTACTTCTCACCATTTCTGCACACTTTATACTGTTGTTGGAATCCACTTCCTTCAGATATGAGGGTAACCAACCATCACAATTTTTCTCTAAAATCTTTCTAAATTATCTATCAACATGCTTCAAATCTTTTTGCTTCATTATGTTTAGGTAGCAACTTGCCAGGGTATATTTCAAGAAATACTAAAGAAGATGATGGAAAATAAGCCAGGTGATGAGATCGGCATTGATCCTTATGTAAATTCAAATTCAGTGAATGCAAGCAAGGTACAGGAAACTTTTGCAAATCACAAACTGAACACATCAAAGGACTTGATAAAGGATCCTGTAAACTCCAAGGACGAGATCCTTTACTCTATTTCTGATGCACTCAAGAAAAATCGCCATCCTTTCTTGAAAAAGATAACAATGGACGATTTGGGTACACTAATGTCTCTCTACGATAGCCGTTCTGACACTTATGGCACACCTTTTCTACCGGTAGAGGTTAACATGAGATGTGAGGGAATGGTTCTGATTGCATCTATGCTCTGTTCTTGTATCCGCAATATCAAGTTGCCTCATCTTAGGAGGGAAGCTATACTTCTACTGAGGTCTTGCTCTTTGTATATTGATGATGAAGATCGCTTGCAACGTGTCCTTCCATATGTTGTTTCCCTGCTTTCTGATTCAACAGCAATTGTACGGTGTGCTGCCATGGAAACTCTGTGTGACATCCTGCCACTTGTCCGAGATTTCCCTCCCAGTGATGCAAAGATTTTCCCAGAGTATATATTTCCGATGCTCTCCATGCTTCCTGATGATCCAGAAGAGAGTGTGAGGATATGTTATGCAAGCAATATTGCAAAACTTGCTCTTACTGCTTATGGCTTCTTGATACACTCTTTCCAGTTGAGCAACGTAGGGGTTCTTAATGAATTAAATTCGCAGCATGTCTCCACTACACCTCCTAGTGAGACCCCCAGTCAGTTGCAAAAAGCAAATGGCGATGCACAGCTTGCGCAGCTGAGAAAAACTATAGCTGAAGTTGTTCAGGAGCTTGTTATGGGTCCAAAACAAACTCCAAATGTTAGAAGAGCACTCCTTCAGGACATAGGGGAGCTCTGCTTTTTCTTTGGTCAGAGGCAGAGTAATGACTTTCTACTACCGATCCTCCCTGCATTTCTAAATGACAGAGACGAGCAGCTAAGATCCGTGTTCTTTGAGAAAATTGTTTATGTTTGCTTCTTTGTTGGTCAGAGAAGTGTGGAGGAGTATCTCTTGCCTTATATTGATCAAGCTTTAAGTGATCAGACAGAGGCTGTCATTGTCAATGCATTGGATTGCTTATCCACATTATGCAAGAGTAGTTTCTTGCGGAAGAGAGCTCTCCTCCAAATGATAGAGTGTGTTTATCCTTTGCTGTGGTATCCATCTCAATGGGTAAGGAGGGCAGTTGTCACTTTCATAGCTGCCACTAGTGCATGCTTGGGGGAAGTTGACTCTTACGCTTTTATTGCCCCAGTAATACGCCCCTTTCTCAGTAGACTGCCTGCGTCAATTGCTTCTGAGGAAGGTCTACTTTCATGTTTAAAGCCCCCAGTCACAAGGGAGGTAGTTTACGGTATCCTTGAAACGGCCAGGAAGCCAGAAATTGCGGCAAAACAGCGAAAGATATGGTACAGTTCTTCACCTCAGTCCAAAGATTGGGAGACTGTTGATTTCTTTAACAAGGATACTGGTAACTTGAACTCAACGGAACGTGTGGCCGAACAGAAGAAACGTGTGGAAGGAAAAAAACCGATTATGAATGCATCGCAGAAACAAGAAGTTCATGGAAAGCGTGCAGAGAAAGATGCTAAACTGAGAATCCCGAGAAACCCAAGACTCAATGCTTCGAACACAGCTGAGCTACGTGATCCAGAGAAGTTACAGTTCTCTGGGTTTATGGCACCATATATAACTGATCCAGAGAGCATACCTCTCTATTCGTTTAGCATGGACAAACGAGCAGCTATGAATCCTCCAGTGGCTTCTGAGTCTTCATTGCAGATGAACTCTCTGGGAATGGGTTCGTTATCAGTGCCATGGATGGATTCCATGAGTAAGTCATTTAACTTGGCTAGTTCGGTTCCAGTGCCTAAGCTGGTTTCTGGGTCTTTCCATGTCGGTGCCAATTCTAAACACTTTTACAGAGTGGTACATGAGCCAGAATGCAGAGAAAATGATCAAATGTCCTCAGCCATCAGTAAATTTCAAGACCTTGGTGTATCAAGCTCCTCAAAAAGTGCTTCTGTAACCTCAGAAGATGCCTCTTCAACATCAGATCTCGTAGGAGAACCATCTCTCTCAAGGACATCGGTTCCGGATTCAGGTTGGAAGCCTCGTGGAGTATTAGTTGCTCATCTACAGGAGCATCGCTCTGCGGTCAACGACATTGCCACTTCAAGCGATTATAGCTTTTTCGTTACTGCATCAGATGATACGACAGTGAAAGTGTGGGACTCTAGAAAACTGGAAAAGGACATCTCGTTCAGGTCAAGGCTAACATATCATCTTGAGGAGGGAAGCAGAGCGATGTGCACAACAATGCTTCGGAATTCCACGCAAGTTGTAGTTGGAGCCTCTGATGGTGTGATACACATGTTTTCCATTGACCATATCTCCAGAGGCTTGGGGAATGTAGTGGAGAAGTATTCAGGCATTGTTGATATTAAAAAGAAGGATGTTAAAGAAGGCGCTCTAGTTTCTCTCTTAAATTATACCGCTGATAGCCTTTCTGGTCCCATGGTAATGTATAGTACTCAAAACTGCGGAATCCACCTTTGGGATACAAGATCAGATTTAGATGCATGGACACTGAAAGCAAACCCTGAAGAAGGATATGTGTCTTCTTTGGTCATAAGCCCTTGTGGGAATTGGTTTGTCTCTGGGTCTTCAAGAGGAGTGCTTACTCTTTGGGATCTTAGATTTCGTATCCCCGTAAACTCGTGGCAGTACCCTGTCATATGCCCCATAGAGAAGATGTGCCTCTGCTATCTTCCTCCAAGCGTCTCAGTGTCCACCACTATGAGACCTTTAATTTATGTTGCTGCCGGCTGCAATGAAGTTTCACTCTGGAATGCCGAGGGAGGTAGCTGTCAGCAGGTACTGTTGTTTTACCATTATATTGCACCTTACTATAGCTATTGAACCTTCTCAAGTTGCAAATACAAACTATGAAACACCAGAGAACAAACCGGATTCAGATAGTTTGATAGTGGCTCTGTTTTGATATTAGTCCATGAAAGAAACTCAGTTTTGATAGACTAGACCGTTATCATTGAGTTGGATACTGATATGGACTTGTAACTGAGGTGATTTTGTTGGGGTTCTTTAGGTATGGAGGGTAGCCAACTATGAAAATGAGATGGATGCTTCGGAGTTTCAATGGAAGTTACCAAGCAATAAAGTAAATCCCAAGTTGAATCTGCGGCAGAACATGAGCTCCAAATACAGAATCGAAGAGTTGAATGAGCCTCCTCCTCGGCTTCCTGGTATCCGCTCCTTGCTTCCTTTGCCCGGTGGTGACTTGTTAACCGGTGGTACTGACTTGAAGATTCGGCGTTGGGATTACTCCAGGTCCTTATTCTAAAACTTCAACTTGAACCTTTTCTTTATATCAATCAAACGCTTGCTTTGTGACACTTCTTGTTTTGGAACCAACACAGCCCTGAGAGAAGTTACTGTATCTGCGGTCCCAGTTTGAAGGGAGTTGCAAACGATGATTTCTACGAGCTCAAAACCAACTCCGGAGTGCAATTTGTTCAGGTCTGTTTGATTGAATATATCTCTGATCTTGCAGATTAAGGTCACTTACTGTTTGATAAGCTTTAATGAACTTCATCTTCAAATTGTGTATTTGGTAGGAGACAAAGAGGAGGCCTCTGGCGACCAAACTGACAGCGAAGGCGGTTCTTGCAGCCGCTGCAACAGACACAGTGGGTTGTCACCGTGACTCGGTTCAGTCTCTGGCGTCCGTGAAACTGAACCAGAGACTGTTGATTTCAAGCAGCAGAGATGGAGCCATTAAGGTCTGGAAGTAAAAACCCACGATGGTCTTTTGTGTACAGTGTTGTTAGAGTATTTCTTTGTTTTACGTTTTCATTGTAACATTAAATTGCTAAAAGAAACTTTTTAGCTCTTTGTATCTTTCTCTCTTCTATAAGCCTTTTTTTGTACAGATTTTACCAATATAGTGAATCTTTTCATATTTTGCTTACCAATTAATACTTGTTTTTCATTCCATGTTACATATTTTTCACTTTACCTTGCATCTCTAACTCCAGTAGTCTAATCGTTACCATTTCTTAGTGTCTGTAACGATTGCATATTTTATTATCAGGATGCAAATTACGTTTGTGAGCACCGATTGAATAAAACAAATGGTCAAAAAGTCCGACTTGATTGAGAAAGTTACAGCGTCTGTTGATAAACCAAATCGGTAATATCTATAACAAACCGGATATTGAAGAATTCGTACTAAACATCACCCACAACACCAAACAATTCAACACATGAAACGAGAAAGTAAAAAGAAAAAAAAAGATGATGATGATGATGCGTATAATTTGCAAACATAAAAAATAAGATGATGATCAAAATACAAGAGTAAAAAGTAAGTATAACATAAGTAAAATATGCAAATTATAAGCAAAACATAACATGGCTCACCTAAAATCACCCAATTGGAACATCATTAGCGATTTTTGAACCAGACTATTCCACTACTAAAAGGGTAAATTCATGTGGTGGTATCTTTAAGAAAAGGACGTGAAGAACAAAAAAAAACTTAAACAAAAGGTTCTATGTTTTTAAGGTTTCGACAAACTTTTGCTACGATTTCGATTTGATACAACTAAAACTGATTCGAAACTTATATCGGTTATACAAAATTTGATTTTAATTCCGGTTTACAGTTGATTTCCTATGAAAAGTTGAAAAATTCAAGAAAATATTGTTTCATTTTATAGAAGTGTTTTATTTTCTTGTGATATATCTAGTTTGATTTTAATTTTGATTAGAGAAGAGAGACATACGGAGAATGATGAAGCCAGCTAGCCACTTCCCTGAATTGGAACGAAGAGATGGACGACCGTTGTAATCAACAGTCCCATCTCTTGTTTCTTCTTCTTCTCCTTCTTTCTTCTTCATCACCTGCATTTTTCAGTTATATATACACATCAGTTTATTTTATTCATGTCTATATATGTTTTAGCTCATCGTTTCTACGTTTCCAATAAATAAGATGATGATCAAAATACAAGAGTAAAAAGTAAGTATAACATAAGCAAAAAATATGCAAATTATAAGCAAAACATAACATGGCTCACTTAAGATCACCCAATTGGAGCATCATTATAAATTTTGAACCAGACTATTCCACTACTAAAGAGTGAATTCAATTTATTTACAATATATATACAAAGTTCAGTATAATTTTGTCTATATGTTATTTATTAATCATGTGTGTGTGGTTGTTGTGGTAGGATGTTTACCGAGGACCTTTGTACCGCGATGACTCTGAATATAAATCTTTACATGCGGTTTCCATCTATCGCATTACCCAAGAAAATGGAGAAACAATTGCTTATGTTAAGTCTTCTCACGGTGAAGAACTAGGAGATGAAGGCTACTTTAAAGTGTCGCTTGATGTGGAAATGATAGAGGTGCCAAAAAAGGGGGAAATGGATAAAGAACCAGTGACAATTACAGATTTAAAGCCAAGGCGTTTACTCTCTCGTTTGTTAACATGATCACAAAAAAGGTTTGGCTTACTTGCATTTAGTTATGACTCAATCCTCTTAATGTAGTCTTAGTTGGATTTGAAAAAAAAATTGTACTCGTTTGAATCTTATTTCTCGTTACGTTTCATGTGTTCTCTTTACCATTGATTTCAGGAACATGTGTGTCGTCTTGAAGACTAAATGCAGGAGTAGTTTGATTAATATCATGAATAAGTGAGTGCATCGTCAACAAGAGGTTAAGAGCGCAGTAGTTCTAAGAGCATTGGAGCACCGATTGAATCAAAATAAAAGGTCAAAACTCGATTTGATTAAGAAAAATTACAGCGTTTTTAGATAAACCAAATCGGTAATATCTATAACAAACTGGATATTGCAGAATTCGTAAAAACCATCAGCAAAAGACAAAAATATTCAAAACATTAAACGAGCAATAACAAAAAAGGGAGTCTTCAACCCATCCACACGACGCACTAAGTGTTCATCATCTATTTCTCAGACGAGTTGGGTCCTCTCTTCTTGCCAAATCCAACCACTGAAACAGAAGAAGAAGAAAAATCGGAAATTGCTTGGTAACCAGATTGCAAAAATGGAGGTAATCAAATTCGGAAATAATCTCAAACGAGAAACAGAGCCAGTAACTATTAGAGATTCAGCAAAAGTCTACAGTGATGACAATTGACAACAAAGAAAGAAATCTAAAACAGAGTGAATCAGAGACATAATCTCACTGGACTAAATAAATACTAGTATTAACTTAGCCAACATTCATTCAATTACACACAATCGTTATAGAAGCTAAGAAATGGTAACGATTGGACTAATCAACCGCGATAACAATCAATTCCGATTAAGTGATCTAAGAGACGGAGTATATTACCGGCGGTGACGAAACGGCGATTGTGTTGAAGACGCTTGTGGGCACGGCCACGTGGCTTCTTCTTCTTGTCCTGCTTAGCGACTTTAGGAGTCTGTCCTCTCACCTTACCGGCACGAGCCAAGGAACCGTGGACCTTACCTTCATCATTTCCAACAACATCAAAGAGAAACACATCAACAAACAGCAATAACGAAAATTGGAAAAATATTCGAATACAGAATCTTAAGAGTAATTACCCATAGCTGTTTCACGAGGATTCTTCTGGCTAAACGCTGCGACTGACGCGGTGGTTGATCTCTCTCCGACGCCTATAAGCTCTTTTTAGGGAGTTAGGGTTTTCTGTGAGTGATGAGGACGATCTTTATTTATACGGCCCATTCATTATTTCTTAATGGGCCTAAACCGTTATCAGTTAGAAGAAGCCCCTACCACTAAACTCACTAAATTTCTGATTTTGCCACGTAAGCTTAATATTCGTGTAAACTCAGGTTCACTGTAAGCTACGAACACCTTCATTTCATCTCTTCCAAAACCCAACCAAAACCTGTTAAGCTATCAACTTAAACTACTTGCAAGCTCAGAGTCAGAGCTAAAGAGAAGACAAAACAATGCTCAAGTTTCAAAGCTCTCTTCACCTTCTTCAGCCTTTTACGGCGAAGAACGACCACTGGAATCTTTGGTTTCACAATTTCGCGCCGTTTCGCACGATTTCGATACCGAAGATCCAGGTGGTACGTGCGGACTGGTCAAGGAAGAGTGTGAAAGTGAGAGTTAATGGTCTGGGTCGAGAAATGGAAGAAGAAGATGTGGAGGAATTCGAGGAAGAAGACGAGTTCGCGTCGAGGAAGAGAGGCGATTACGGAGGGAAAAAGGCTGATATAAATTACGACAAAGACCCCGAGTTCGCCGATATTCTCGGTGACTGTTTAGATAACCCAGAGAAAGCTCAAAAGAAGGTAAATTTTATATATATATATATATATATATGTGATCAATTGAGTGGTGAATTGATGAAGTAAACGAGATTGAAAGTTTTGAGCTGAAACTTAGAAAGGCATTGGATTATTGAGTCGAAATTGATTGCTGTAAAGTGAGTGGTGTTTATTGAGTTCTTTGCTGTTTTTATGGTTTTGTTTTGGGTAGATGGAAGAGAGATTGAGGAAGAAGAGGAACAAAATTCTGCACACTAAGACTGGTTCAGCGAATTCGATGCAGGTTTCATTCAACAAGTGAGTTACTCAAAATCATATTCATCTAGGTGCTTTGAAGTTATATGTATCCTCTTTGTTAATTTTGGTTGCACATATGTAGTTGTTGATAATTGATAGCATCACCGCCTTGTTCTTCTAGAGTGATTATGTTTTATTTTTTGTTATGTTCTATCAATAACTCTCTCCGTTTTGTTGTTCTGTAAGATTTGAGTACTCGAATTCTTACATGTGGTTGGAGTTTCACAACGCACCGCTGGATCAAGACATAGCCTTGATCTCTGATGTGAGTTATTTTTTACCAACCATATTTTGAGAAGATAGTGAAAAAACCTGATCAGATCATTCACTTGTTTGTCCTGATGGCTAAATTCTTGCAGACAATCCGTTCGTGGCATATCCTTGGACGACTTGGTGGATACAACTCAATGAATATGCAAGTATGTCTCTTTGAAACAAATAAACAAGGATTTTTATCTATTGAGTTTCCTACAATTAGCTCTAAGCTTTCTTTTTCTCTTGCAGCTATCACAAGCGCCAGTGGAAAAGAGGCCAAACTATGATGCTATACTTGGAGCTAATGTTGAGCCCACCACGTTTTATAACATTGGTGATCTTGAGGTTCAAGACAATGTTGCTCGCATATGGTGATCACTACTCTTATTACAATCTTGTCAAGTCTTGTGACTTTTGCAGATTTGCTTGTTTGTCTAACATGAACTGACGGTTTTTGACAGGCTCGATATTGGGACCTCGGAGCCATTGATACTTGATGTTCTGATAAACGCCTTGACACAAATCAGCTCAGAGTGAGTAGTTCAGCTCTGTCTCTCAATGTTCTGTTAAACTTGCAAACAGTTTTGAGTGGACATGGTTCAATTGTGTTGAAGATATCTAACATTGGATGTTTTGTCTGTGTGCAGTTATGTCGGGATAAAGAAAGTTGTGTTTGGTGGATCTGAGTTCGAGAGCTGGAAGGAGAATATGACATCTGAGGAATCTGGTTTCAGAGTCCACAAGATTTAACATCTTATGTTTGTAGAGGAACTGCCTTAGATTAACATCTGTTTCAGAGCCCCAAGATAATGTGTTTCTTACAACATTGCATGTCCGATAATTTGAGGTATACTATAGCCAATTAGAAACACATTGATAAGATCAATGATGCCAAATTGCCAATTGACGAACCATAAATTGTACAACACTGCAGTTACATACATTGAAGAAGTCGACCAACACAAGATGGAATGAGTAGTTTGTAGAATAAGATCATATTTGTGTTAAGAATACTCTTTGATATCATTTTCTTGAAAAAAAAAAAGACGACAGTAAGGTTGTTCAAGCAAAACTCTTAGCTGTTCAAGAAAAATCTTTAACCTACAAGAAGGATAGTCTGAAACTTTCAAAGGCTCAAAACAAGCTTCTCTTCTAGAAGTAAAATATTTCATCCAGTGGTCGTTCCTCTTCAAGCCTGTCTGTTTCTCCTCTTGGGACCAGACTTGGCGACTCTAATTCCTTTGCTGATCACGCTAAGCCTAGCAAGTGCTGCCTTCTTGAGATCAGGTCTGTAGTAGTTGTCCACAACCTGAACAAAAATTAGACAATATATCGATTAATACTCAAAAAGATGAACGAAAACAGTAGCAAAATATGAAATGGTGCAAAGAATAAAGAATTGTATCTCAGAAGCCAAGCGTAACAAATATATTTCATTGAAGAAAACCCCACAGAGGAGTCTTCTTCTTCTTACGTGTTAGCTTTCTCATCACTGATGGGAGTTCCAAAAACAAAAACAAAAAAAGTAATTTTCAAATCCTAAGTGTGATTATGCTTCAATCTTATTATTATTAATCTCAGAAGCCAAGCGTAACAATTATATTTCATTGAAGAGATACCACACAGAGGAGTTCTCTTCTTACATGTTAGCTTTCTCATCACAGATAAAATTCCATACACAAGAAAACAAACAGACATAATCAGTGGCTTCAAAATCAACAGTAAGTAAAAGTTTTAGCTCAGAAGCCAAGCGTAACAATTATATTTCATTGAAGAGATACCCCACAAAGGAGTTCTCTTCTTACGTGTTAGCTTTCTCATCACAGCCCAATAACACAAACATATTACATAGTCTACATTCTTAAGTTCATTAAAAACTAACATCAGCTTAGAATTTTTAGCTCAGAAGCCAAGCGTAACAATTATATTTCATAGAAGAGACACCCCACAAAGGAGTTCTCTTCTTACGTGTTAGCTTTCTCATCACAGCCCACAAAACAAAACCATTTACAAAGTCTAAATTTTTAATTCATTAGATCATTTAAGCATAAGATCTTCCAAATACCAATGAAATATCTTCCAAATACCAATGAAACTAATAGTATTAAACAATCATTGATCTTAAAGGAATTGAGTAATACCTGGTTGACAACAGCTTTGGACATGCTCGTGAACTCCTTCTTGAGAACAGACTTGTTAACAGAGAGCTTAGGCTTGTTCTGCTTCTTGGTCTTGGTGGTACCGAGTACAACCCCTTGATCCTTGTCAGCTGGTTGAATGGTCACTGTCTTTTTGTTGGCCAAACCTGAAAATACAGCAAAAAGATCCAAACTTTTGATCACAATGGCCAGATTCTAATACAAATCAATACACAGATTATCCAAAAACCAACTACATAAACAGCAAAAAATACCAAAACTTTAAGCAGTGGATTTAAATCACATTCAAAATTGAACAGATTTCAATCTCAACCTAACATACTCAATTAGTAAAGGGCAGAAACATATGTTCATAAGCAAGAATCAATCTCAGAGATTAACACCAATCAGCAAACAGATTCAGACATATCATCAAAAAGACAAGAGCTGTACATTACCAGAGTGTTTGTAAGAGTTGAGGTTGCAGAGGTTGTTTCTCTCTTTGCTGAATTGAACCTTAGCATTGCCTCTACCGAACTGTTTGACCAAGAAACAGTTGTTTCTCTTTACGATCTCCCAGACAAGCTGTCCTGGAACTGTCGCCATTTCGACCTTCTAAAACAATTTATCAAAAAGGAAGTACAAATTAAGAACTGATCGAATAAGAGCTAGTGAGGGGTGAATGAAGAACTGAGAACGATCAAATGGATGCCAAGAGTCGATGCAAGCTCACCTTTGCAATCCGAAGAGAGCTAGACGGCGGCGGAAATAGAGGAGAGAATGAGACTCGTGCCGGAGTTAGGTTATGACGATGAGTTAGTATATTATTTATACAGTCTCTGCAAAACCCTAGTTTAAATCTGGGAAGCAACAATTTGTAAGTCAAATATTATTAAGACAAAGATTATAACAAAAGGGCGTTTGGTCTAGTGGTATGATTCTCGCTTTGGGTGCGAGAGGTCCCGAGTTCGATTCTCGGAACGCCCCTTTTTTTTTCACCTTTTCCATATTATTTTTTTCTCCCAATCCGTTATATTAGTTTGATCTAGATCAAAAGTTGAGATGGTTGATTACAACTTACAAAGCTACAAGCCTACCATTAACAATTTCTATGTTAGGAATTCAACTTTTGAAGACAAACAAAATACTTTTAAAAGATCCGTAGCACTAATAAATAATAATCGATCATATCGTTTATCATATGCTTGAAATCTGATGGATGATGGTATGAATAGACTTTTTAATACCGATTTTACATTATATGATACTAAAAAAATCATATGGTTATATTTTAATTATAATTATTTCTTAATTTTTTCTTATGTTTTCCTTATGTTTTTCTCATAATTATCCTTTTTTTTTTCCATCAATGAGGTTGGCTACCAGGAATTGCACGGCGCTGATCTTAGTGTGGTGAAGAGGAACACATGGAAGTGTTTTGACAACTTATGTTAAGCGACTGGTCAATGATATATGACCGTGAGAAGCAATTAGTCTAATATATTCACGTATTTATATGAATCAAACCCAAGCATTTAGGTTTATTATGTACTTAACTCGAAAGTAGCTAGTAATGTAATGTGTTGACGTATAAACATGGCTCACTACGGCTATAATGTAGATGGTATTTACGTCATCGGTTCACATGCGGAACGACGAGTCAAAAAGAACTAAAATGTCTTTGTACAAAGAAACAAAGTAAAAACCTTTGAAAAGTTTAAAGTGTTATCTACATTTGAAGTGATTTCGTTGTACTTGTCTATGACTAAAAACATAACAAAGTTTTAACGCGTGATACTTGTTTATGCAATGTTAACAAAGAGTCAAAAAGAACTAAAATGTCTTTGTACTATTCCATTTGAAGAATACTACTAAACGTTTACCACAAAACAAAATTTGTAAATTCACGGTTTGATACATTTTTGGTTTGTAAATGTAAATGTTAAATTACTAATGACTAAGAGAAAATTGCGGACCATCTATCCGCGGGAAAACTTATAGTTTGTTAGAAAACCAACCGATATTTTGCATTCCTAAGATTCAAATTTCAAAGTGAACATAAAAAACTAGATTGAATGAAATTTACCAACGTATACAAATTTCTCCAAAACCTGTTTTACATGGAGAAGCGATAGATATTACATGGTCACTATACTGTCTGTCTTTATTTCTATAAAATCTCTTAATGAAAGCTTTTAATACAATTCACAAGCATATACAGAATGATTTACGTTTTAATGCGTTACGCGTCATTAGAGAGCCAAATGTCTTCACTTCCTTCAGCCCACATTCCCCATTTCCATCTCAACCTCGGGTTACTCACGGTGCACGCCGAGATCAGATTGCTTCTTACGCTAGGATCTGAATCCTTGTGAATCATCAGTCTCATGTCTGTCAAACCTCTACAGGTATCGAGTATACACCTTATGAAAGAAACTGTTTGATGCACAGAGGTACGATCCAGCGTCTGCACACGCGCCGTTATCTGCTTCAAACTATCTGTCCCCTTCATAAGTACTAGACCTTCGGTTTGGAAATGGGTTTCGAAGCTTGACCAAGTCACAGGACTCAACCTCAGAGAAACAATGCCAGGGAATGCTTCGAGGAGTGTTCCAAGTCCAAGTTTCAGCCTTGGAAACTTGACTGAATCCACAGCAAGGTTTCTGATCTTGTTGCCAAATTGGGTGTTTCTCACTAGCCTGTACATGTCAGGAGATACAAGCTCTAAACTATTCAGATCTTGAAGCTCTGCGAAAGCAACGCCTTCCGCGTCCTCCACGTGAAGATGGAAACTCACCAGCTTGGGCGTTTCGAGGAGAAGAGATTTTGGTTTGTTGCATTTCAGCTCGAGCTCAAGGAGGTTTGGCGCCACTATAGCCAAGGAAAGTGGAGCGTTCGACACCGTCCAGTGACAGCTCTTTAGGTGAAGGAAACTGATTCTCGGCTCCTTTAGTCCTCCAACGCCGATCAAGTTAAGCACTTGAAGAAATGGGAAACACTCATTGACCTTCTCTAGATTCTCATCGTCGTCGAGTCGTATGAACTCGAGCGTTAAGTGTCTGAGATTTGGCATTTGGGTCAAGCCAACAACTGAGAGCCAAGCATTCTTCACCTCTAGCTTCACCAACTTACTACCTGCAACAATCACAATCAATGATTTCCAGAAAATCTGAAGCACAAATATTGGTTCTCTCATTCCATGGAATCAATCAAGAGAAATTTCCTAACAGAAAGCTATCGCAAGCGAATCCGGAATCAACAGGATTGAATTTTGATGGGTTTGGATCGAAACTCACAGTTTGAAGAAATGAGCGCCAAAATTTCCGACTTTCGCCAGCAAGACTGAATCCAGAAATCTGAAATTGATAAGATTTCAAGGTCTTCGCGAACCCTAGGGAGCCAATCCTGCGTGAATTTGGTATCGGTGAGGTACAATTCGTCGGAGTCTTCGTCAATCAAGTCGTCAAAGGACATCCCACTAAGCGCCTTGTCGACGCCGACGGAGACGGAGACAATGTTACGAGAATCTTCGATCAGGCTCTTGAAGACCGTCTTGAACGGCGTGACCGCGGCGATCGAGGAGCGGGATTTCGAGTACCGGGAGACGGTGCAGATGAGGTTCACGGAGCGAACCTCCCGCCAAATCGAGCTCAGTGTCTTGGAAGCGACTCGGCATCGAGCTACGTCTGCGGAATCGTTGAGCCGGTTCAGGATTTTCACCAGGAGCTCTGGAGGTAACTCGTCCATGGTAAATTTGGCAATTCAGGGGAAGGGGAAAGGAGACGACGAGAGAAAAAAGGCGAGAGCTATTTATATTCACGTCTAAAGTCTAAAATACCCTTAAAAGTCTGTAAAATTAGCAAAAGTACCACTACTTGAGAAGGAGAAAACCCTTTTTTGGGCTTTAGATTTTCCGATTTGTGATTGCGTCGGATTTCGACCGGAGAGAGAGAGAGAGAAATGGGGAGGAGGATTTTGAATGATGCGCTGAGGACGATCGTGAATGCGGAGAGACGAGGAAAAGCTTCGGTGGAGCTGAAGCCAATCTCCACCGTCATGTCTTCGTTCCTGAGAATCATGAAGGAAAAAGGTGAAACATCTCCTTTGAAGGATCTGATTCTGTGATTTAGTTTTCGATTAGAAGCTGCAAAGTAGTTTGTGAGACTCTTGATCTTATGTTATATATTAACATCAATTGACGAAGGCATTTTCTATGCTTTGGCTTTCTGGATAAGAATTAATTGTGTTAATGCTGAAGCTACAACAGATTGAAACTTGAAATGAAGTTTAGAGATTTTTGCTTCTACTGTTTCATTCGCTTCTATGAACATTTCTTTATAATGCTATCAGTGCTGCTCTTGATTGCTTTGATGTGCATGTGTTTATTATATCTTAGTTTTTTTTGGGAATTTATACTTCGGTTGGTAAGAAAGTTTAAGTTTTTGCTCCAAAGTTTATGTTTTTGGTTATTTGAGAATTCCACTCTTCTATGCACTTCCTTTCATTTGCTTCTGTGAACTATTTGTATGATCCTTCAGTGGTTTCGATTGCTTTGTTCTGATTATGATGTATGTACCTTATCTTGTTCTGGGAATTCATATTCAGATTGATAAGATATACTTTTGATAGATGGATAGTGTTTACATGTTTCAGGGTGGTTGATATCGGCTTTCTCTAAGTGTGTGTGACTTTACAAAAATGTAATGTGGATGTAGGTTATATCAAGAACTTTCAAGTCTATGATCCACATAGAGTTGGTAGAATAACAGTTGATCTGCAAGGGAGGGTTAATGACTGCAAAGCTCTTACCTACAGGCAAGACGTTAGGGCTAAAGAGATTGAGAAATACACAGAACGCACACTTCCAACACGTCAGGTTTGTCTCCAGCTACCTATCCAGAAATGCAGCTAAATATAGCATTACTACGTTAACAGTTTGACCTTGTTGATATTTTTTTTTCACATTGTAGTGGGGTTATGTTGTAATGACAACTCCGGATGGGATTTTGGACCATGAAGAAGCAATTAAACGGAATGTTGGTGGTCAGGTTCTTGGTTTCTTTTATTGAAGAGCTTAATCTACCACATGGCAAGAGGCTCTAGTGTCAAAGAATTCAACAACAGGTTCGAAATTTCGATCCTTCGAACAACAAGTTATTCCTGTGGTTTTTGTTTTGTTTTGGCATGTGGCACTACTGTCATTGAACAAATTGTCAATTAGAGTACACATTTGTTTGTTGAATCCAAAGATCTTATGAAGACAGCATGTCGAACCTTTTGTTGCTTGATGATATTCAAGGTCCTTTGGTAATTAGTATTGGCACTTGTGTGGTTAACAATTCTGAATTCTCCTTATTATCAGTGTAATATCATATCATGTTCGTCCACCAAAATAGCAAAGAAAATGGACAAATCGTAGACGCGGCTTTCACTTATCATAATTATGTATATGTATATTCAGAAAAATTAATCATCTCTACATGAAACGAGAAAGATAAAATAATCTCAGTGTACTCAAGTTCAATCTATAAGCAAATGATCAAACAAAAGAATGAGAGCAACAAACAATGAACATTGTAGCAACAAACGGGAGGCTGAGCATAAAGTTCACCGACGAAGTGCCCCGAGCTTAGCAAATATGTCGTCATAATCTGGGAGCTTCGGATGAACATGGCTAGCTTTCTCCTTCGCTGGAGTTTCTGACTCTGGTGGTGTCACAGTTTTTGGAAGGGAGCTTAAAGATGAAGCCGACCCTTCTTGCTTAGCCAGTGACTTAACCTCAGAACCTACCTTTGGAGGTGATTCTTGCTGGTGAGAGACTTTCTTGGTTTTTGGAAGAGAGCTTGAAGATGAAGCCGACCCTTCTTGCTTAGCCAGTGGCTTGGCCCTTGGATATACCTTTGGAGGTGATTCTCGATGGTGAGAGACTTTGTTGGTTTCTGGAATAGAGCTTGAAGATGAAGTTGAACCTTGTTGCTTAGCCCTTGGATATACCTTTGGTGGAGATTCTTGGTCGTAAGAAGCTTTGTCTTGCTTAGCCAGTGGCTTGGCCTTAGGAATTAGCTGCTGAGGAGATTCTTGATCATGAGAGACTTTGTCGGTTCTTGCTGTAACCAGGGATGATCTTTTCTCTTGCCCCTTTGTTCTTCGTGAGATGGAAACAGAAGGCTTGGTTTGGTTGCGTACAACATCTATAGTGACTTCTTTATCATCTTCCTCGTCACTAGACAATGAGTGAAAATACGAGGCAGAAGAAGCAGGGGTGGTCTTGTGGGTCCTTCCCTCTTGACTTCTAGTAGAAGCTCGAGCCGGGAGTTTTTCCTCAGAGTCCTCTTCGCTGACACGCGAATGACGATGTGAGGGCCTGGTTCTTGACTCGGTTCTTTTATCTTGATTTCTGATAGAAACTCTCTTACGAAGTTCCATCTCTGTTTCATCATCACTTGAAGATGAATCTGGAGGTATAGAGCTTGGTCTTTTCTCTGGTTTGCTTGGTTTCTGAGTGTAGAGATCTTTCCTGATACTGCTAGAAGAAACCGTCTGCGAAGAAGAAGACCTCGACGGATCAACCTCTGTGTGGACATGCTCTTCTACAGATTTGGACAATGCATTGTCTCTTGGCGGGCTCATTTCATAAGATGGGAGAGTCTCTTCATTCTTGAGTCCACCTGTAGGAGTTTCTGCGTCAAAATCGTCCTGTGGCCTGGAATCATCTTCTTGGTCTTCTGTGTCTGAGGGGAAAAAGTAGCGTCCTAAATCATCAGGAGTTTCAGACACTGAGGACTTATGAGATGTCAGCTTTGGCTTCTCTTCTAGACTTGCAGAAAGTTTTCCTTTGTTGCTCAGGTTGTTTTCTTCCTCACTTTCAGAATCTCGGTCATAATCGTCAAACTTTGGAGACGGCTCAGGCTCATGCTCATGCAGAGAAGCTGGAGGACTTGTAGGACCATCATCAAATAAGGGAGAACTTGGCTTCTCCTTTTCAAGAACCTGTGAGTTTGAGGCTGAGCTAGGTTGTCCCAGAGAATTGTGTTCTTTGAAGCTCCATGAATCTGTCTCTGTTGGCATATGATCAGGTGTTTTGCTGCTGCTGCTGCCAAGCAATGAGAATCCTAATCCGTGTTCTGGTTCATCGCGGTAAACATCTTCTGTGTCGAATTGAGGTTTATCGAAAAACGAGCTATAGTCATCAAAAGCCGGAGCTTCAACAACATCAGGATCGTGATTGAGGCTCTCTGTATCTACAACAGTGCTGTGAAATATGTTATCCTCCAAGATGCTCGGTGCATCGATATGGTCCGAAGCAGCAGCATTATTGTCATCAGAAATATAGCTTCTGTCAGAACCTGATGAAGCCCGGCTTGACAGTTTCTCGAGTGGAACATCCTCTGAACAGCTATGGTTTATATCATCCATTGGCTTCTTCTTCTTCTCTCTACCTATTTCAGCAAAGGAAGCATTTTCTGACACCTCATCAACGGCCTTCTTAGAAGACTCTGCCCTGATTGTAGATTTATCTTCTTGAACTTCTTGCCTGTTACTGCTCTGCACATTTGAGCTACTACTATGTCTATGCGGGGGCTCGTTTTTGGAACTATCATAAGCGGATGAGTTCCGCGACTTTGTTGAGTTCTGCATCGACTTCATCATCCGTTCTTTGCTTGAAAGCTCAGCAGCTGCACGTGCAGCAAAACCCGCTCTTTCAGCAGATTCAGCAGCTGCCCGTGCAGCACTCGTAGCATCAACAAATTCTGTTTCCCATGGAGATGAATCCACATAACTAGGACTTGGATGTCTTTGTTCTCTGGCATCAGTTTTAGATCCTGTACACACAAAAAAGACACATTGTTTGTATATAACGCTTGACACAAACACCAAACAGAAAACGTTTTTTTTATATGAAAAGCTAACCAGAAGGCCTTGGATCTTGATGATAGTGATCACCTGTCTTCCCAACGTTATAATCAGTAGATGCAGTGTGGCTTGAAGATCTTCCATCAACTGCATATGAGTTCTGCGGCACATTGATAGTCTTTGGAGGTTGATTGTGAGGGATTCTTGAAGATTCCGAGTTTCTTCCAATCGCTGACTGAGAGGAACTTGCTCCACTCTGCTCAAAGAAATTGAAAATGCTACTGAGAAAGAGGTAGGTGAAGTTGACAACAAAGAGAGGCTAAGTTATGGTGTGATAAAAAACATTGAGCTGAAGCTGTAATACTCACCGACGATACGGTTTCCTTTGTATCTGATTCAACCAAAGATTCTGCTTCCCAAGTTACATTATGCTCTGCAGCAATCTCTTTCAAAAGTTTGATCTTTGTTGGACCATCAGGAGCTTTAACAGACAACTTATCCACCAACTAAGCACAAGGAGATAGAGATAATCATGAGCAAGAATGGCTATCTTTGTATACAAACAGAAGAGAGAAGAAGGAGAACACAACTTACCAGGCGACTCACACCAGAACTAGGTTGCAACCCAACAGCAGCTGAAACAAAATCTTTCCCATACTTTGCAGTGAATTGCTTAACGACATCAGCGAGCTCTGTCACATCTGATAACCTCTTGGAAGCGTATAAGACACTCCCAACAGATTCCTTTAGATCAGTAGGGCATGTCCTGAAGTAAAGATCACAAACAATGATTCAACACATAACACACAGTGAACCAAAGTGTGTACAAGTTTGATCAAAGAGACTTTCACCACTTACTTTTGTGAGTCGATGACACCCAAACGAGCAACAAGCAGTTCACAATATATACTAAGGAGCTCATAAGCAGCCACTGTCTTCTCTTCTCTCACCACATGCTCCACCTGAGAAATGAGAAAGTGAAACAGAGATTCATTCATGTTATTGGTAGTACTGTGAATGCAAATTCGATGTTGACAAAATGAAAATCCGATTGCTGACTAACCCGGATTTGAGCCGTCTGGGTCTGGCCGGACTCGAGCAATTGAGCTATCTCTCTTCTCAATTGCTTAATCTGTGTATCCTTTTTGTTCTTGAGTATTTTCAGGCGCGAAGCCGCCATTTGTAAAGCGCTTTTGCTTCATTGGAAAGATAGAAATAAAGCAGGAAACTTTAAAAGTCATTCAATCACCCAAAACAAAAAATTTGGTGACTGAAAAATGAGAACCGAATTACCATTTCGCAGGCTTGAAACTTCGATGAAGCACCTTCTTCATGGAGCGAAACTTCACAAGAGAAACGGAAATAAAAATGAAGGCTTTGAAGGTCTGGAGTCTACGAGAACACAATTGAATCTGAGAGCTTGAAGAAAAGAGAGAGATTTGGGGTTTTAGTCGAAGATCAGATGGAAATGGAGCTTCACGGGATCCTGACACGAAGAAAAGTATCAAGCTTTGAGAGAGAAGAAGGGAAAATAATTGACTTTCGGGTAAACAGTTAAATAGCGTTGAAGATTGATGACGCGTCGAAATGTCGATCGATTGGGAAAGAAACTCAGAAAAAACGAGTAAAAGACAAGTGTATGTTCTTACTTGATTTTGTAAGGATATGCAAGTCCAAATCTTAAACCAATAAATTTATAGACATTATTATATTTAATAATCTTTAATACTATATGTTAAATATGTATTTCATTCTTTTAGAAAGATATCTAAACTATAGTTTATCAGAAGTAAATTAATTATTTTACTGTCCAATATCTTTAAAAAATTGTAAAAAAAATTAGATTGTGGTAACCCCACGATTAATTATTTCATTTATAAATTTCATAGTGATATCTTTTTTTTTTTCATGATCGAAAAATATCTAAGAGTTAGTTGGTCACATGTCTCATCCATGTTTCAAATTGTCTTTCAATATGAAGACAACACACAAGCCACAAAAGGGCTCAATCAAAACCAATACTTATGTCAATCACTATCACTAACTTCGTCTAATCATAACTTTGTTATAAACTTGTAATTATTTGACTCTTACAAAACAATCGAACAAAACTTTAAATTTGTAGTTCATGTAAATCCCCGTTGAGTTAAGTTGCCTTAAATACTTTTAAATCCTGAAGTCAATCAGTTAGAATGTACAAAAACACGCCCAATCAAAGCTAGCAGTCTAGCAGACACATTACTCATTTCATCACAATAATGAAAGCATTTACATTTTGTCAAACAAAAAACGAAATTGAAATGAAAAAGTTGAGTAAGAAGTAAGAACCTTTACAAATTAGAATCGATCATACATGAATCTGACCAAACACACACACAGAAAGAGCACAAATGATCAAACCTCTTTTGCTTTGTCTACTTCTCTCTCTATCACCACTTCTTCCTCATGGCTCGCGATCCAGCTCAGCGGCTAAGCACTGTTGTAAATCAGACACGATCTGGTTCATTGCTGGTCTGTTTGATCCTTTCTCCCTGACGCAAGACATTGCGACCTCCACAAATTTCCAGGCTGAGTCCGATGAGAAGTCGTCGCGAAGCTGTGGGTCCACGACGCTGTCAAGGTCTCCGATCTCGAAGAAAGGCTCCACATAGTGGACGACGCTGATTTTGTCTCCGTCGTCGTTTCTAACGATAGCTCGCTGGCCGGTAATGAGTTCAAGAAGCACGACACCGAAACTGTACACGTCGCTCTTCTCGTTCAGCATAAATGTCCTGTAGTATCTGTCACCATGCACACGTGTAATTTCTTTACTTCATTATGTTTATCTTATAGGCCTCCTAAATCTTCTTCTTCTATATAAGTTGATTACTACTAATATTCTTGCTAAACTGAATTAGCCCTAGAATGACTGAACCGCCGGTTTGACAGCCAGATCATATGATCTGTATTGGTTAAATTAAACTGGTGATGTGTAAAGGAACTTACTCAGGATCGATGTAGCCGGGAGTTCCCATGACGGCAGTCTCGACCTGGCTGAGATCATCCTCAGGGAAGACCTTAGAAACTCCAAAATCAGCAATCTTGGCTTCCAAGTTATCGTTCAATAGAATGTTTGCTGTTTTAACATCTCTGTGTATTATTGGTGGCCTGCATCCATGGTGCAAATACTCCAATCCTTGCAAGCGGTAAAAAGAATTACGTTTCAGAATTGAAAAACCGGTTTTGGTATCCCGGTTTAGCTTTGGAAAATCCAGTGAAGATGTCAAAACTGAGACCAACCTTGTGCAGCGTCTATAGCTATATGGAGTCTCTTCTCCCAGCTAAGATCCTCTGCATTCTCACTTGAAAGATAATCTTGCAAGTTTCCATTGGCCATGTACTCATAGATGAGAGCCATACTTCGATCATCATCGCAGTATCCAACAAACGAGGCTAAGTTCCTATGATGGACTGTCAAAAGAAGCTCTGCCTGCATGCAAAACACTTTCAAACTTCAACAACAATAATTAAAGAAATGTCTACACTATCTGATAATTGTTCTTTTGCTGTTCTTTAGATTACCTCAACTTGGAATTCTTTGGAAAAATGGGATGATGATGGTGATGATCCTTTAGATAATATTGTAGATGGAGTATCCTTAATCATCTTTACAGCAATTTTAGTCCCATCTTCAAGTGAACCGAGGTAGACAATACCAAAACCTCCTTTACCAATCACTTTATTGAAGTTGTTTGTAACGCTAGAGACTTCACTATATGTGAACCTTCTCTTCCCTGCAGGCAAGAGTGGTCCTGGTCCTGAATTGCCTCCTGCAACTAAACACATTTTTTATAACCAGTTCGGTTTATCAACCATTAAGTGATAATTCCAAACATCTCACCTCTTTTTCTTTGCCTTAGTACGATCCATATGATAACTAGGACCACAATGAGAACGATCACTGACGTTGCTACAACTATTGGCACGACCACGTTGTTTTTGTTCTTCTCTTGACACGAACTTAAGTTACAAATGTTTTGATCATCCACACTGGAAACAGACAGAGGCTATCAACAAGATTCAGAGAGAGAGTGCTTGATTTGAATATTCTGTAAAATGCTAGAAAATGTTACCTGAGTGCTAGTACACGGTCCTTTGACTTTTTCATAAGAGACTTTGGGATATATCCGGTAAACTTATTCCCTTTCAGATTTCTTGCAACACAAGTAAAGATGTTAAACACGCAAATTCATTTTTAAAATAAACCAAGACTGTATACATTTGAGCTCACTTACAGGAACTTCAAATGTTTAAGATCACCTAAAAAATCAGGCACATTTTGCTGTAGGTCGTTGTCCGATAAATCCCTGAGAAAAAAAAACAATGCATGCATCTCTTATACTCAATCTGAATAAAACGGCACTGGATAGTGTCAATTGTATGTCTTGCATTTGTATACTTACAATGACTCAAGAAGGGACAAATCTCTAAATTCCGAGGCTATTGGTCCATGTAATCCGCTTGAGCTAAGATTCAGGGACTTGATTCGATGATTCGGATTGTTGTAGCTGCATTCAATACCTTCCCAAGGGAACAGTCTTGGAGAGCAAGGATCACCACTCCAAACTTTTTTCACTTTATAAGTTGCTCTTATGCTTTCTATCGCCTGAACTGCATTAACAAGAAAAGAAACGTGAGTTTGAGTAGAGATCAAACAGTATCTAGACAGAGATGGAAACACACCGTCTTCAGTTGCGGTGGGAACTTCATCCAGAGACTGTGCAGTATATATCTCTATAGCATTGAGAATAGGTGGAAGTGTTGAATCTGCCGCCTTCTGAACAGAGATCCGGTGATCTTTACCAGTGAAAGCTTTTAAATTAGACAAAGTCATCGAATACATTGAAGAAGGAACAATAGAAGCTTCGGAAACAGGGAAGCTGTTCCACAATATCTTCATCTTTCTGCTCTCATTTTTCTCGAGCGTTTGGAGTTCAGCAAAGTAAAGATATGCGTAGAACCGAGTGTTTGGATCCTCTGATGTCCAGAAAAATTCCAACGGATCATCATCGCTGTCAGGCGAAGCAGCTGTCTTAATAACTTCATCTGGTGGCCTATAGCCGCTCTGAAAAATATCGATATAACCAGTTGTCTTGATTGAGTTCCAAGAGACAGAAGTGTAAGGAGACCAAAGACGATCATACACATCGTTTTGGTACCGTCCTGTTCCGTTTAAGTAACCTGTGTCCCATCTCTGATAGAGCACCAACGAGACATTTCTTCCAAATTCAGTACCGTAGATTGAGTTGTTCACTGGCCGGAGCTCCAAGCCTGAGATGAAAGGAGTTCCTTTACCTTTGTTCACAAGGCAAACATATATTTTCTCTGACTCTGAAAAGGTTAGTATCTCTTTGTACACTTGCTCAGAAGCATTCTTGAATCTCACTGTCGACCAGAAATTTACGTTTAGGTAGAGGTCGAATTCGGGCAAAGCTTTCTCGTTGACACCACCATCGTAGTTTCCGTACATAAAAGAGGCTCTGATGAGATAGAAATTATCTTTTGCCTTTGAAGGTTTTAACGAGTAGCAGTTTCTGTTTCCTTGAGGGAAAGCTCTTACGTCACCAAGAAGGTAGGGCAAATTCAGGTTTTTCGGGTAACCGTATTCTTCAGAGACGTTGAAATTTACGCCAGTGGTTATGAAATCATCATCGGAGGCGTAAGTGATACCAGTAACACTGTCTTTCTCGAAACCGCTTGAATATACGCCACAATCGATGCTGATGTAACCTGGAGCAGAGGAGAAGAAAGAGAGATGATTACTTCCAACACAAGCAAAACTGTTTGAGAAACGTTCATTTCTTGATATGTATATCAAAAATTTCAAGCATATATCTTCAAGCACACCGCTCAATTTTCGAAATAAAGAAACAGAGAGAAGAAAGAATTGCATGATTACTTGCAATACAGGAAAGACATTGTATGACGTTTTGATTTAAATTTTCAGGAAAGAGAGGAGAAGAGGGAACCTGCTTGGCTTTGGCCGTGAACTAAAATGGAGGTGGAAAGGGCACAAAGAAGGCCGAGAAAGAGAGAGTGATTAGCTCTCATCTTCTTCTCTTTTATTTTTTTTTGTTCTGAAGTTCTTCAGCTTATCATCGTCAAGGAAAAAAGAAGAAAAAATGAGATATAACGTGCAAATTGCGATTAGAACAACAAGAACACCTAAAGTACAAAGTCTACGCCTTTTTTAGTTTGGTGGGGGCTTGTATATGAAGTTAACACAGAAACAATCGGACATAATGGAACAATTCAACTTATTATAGTTGAGTAATCATGAAACGATAAAGATAAACGATATATATTTGTAAGTTTTAGTTGATGATTTTCTTAAAATTGTAAACGGAGGAGTTTTTGACTTAAGTCACCACCATCGTGGTGGCATTCACGTATTAGACTACGTACGGTCACGTTTTGAAAAGCCAACAAACAGAAAAGAGTAATTCATCATCTATGATCTATGTTGACTTGGTGAAGATTTTGGTGATGTGACCAACATCAAAATATTGTAGTAGAAGTTGGATTGTGTCTTGAAACTTTAGAGCTAATTAAATGGGACGAAGTTAAATTTTGTTTTTTTCATTAATCATGATAAACAAAAAAACCACTCGTTTCGTTAAAATGAAATGAAGTGAAAATAGCAAAATATATACGTTTGTTCCATTGTTATTTATCTCACTAAATGTCCACCAGTTTCCATTTACTTAATTTGTTCTTGTCAATTGACTCTTCGATCATGTGGTTATCGGTGGTACGTCGACTGATGTTATTAAAGGCTATCAAGAACACGAGTCATTTGGTCGGCCTTTAAAAGACAAATTGCAGAGTTGCTTGAGATGTGTCATGAAAGAAGAGATCCCATCTTACGATAAGGCTGCGTAACAAATTTCCCAAGTGTGGTTGCACAACGTTATGCATATATGACATTAAAAACAGTTTTTCCTTTTGGAAAACCCATCTCTTAATTTTATTATCATAACACACGTTAATTATAAATATATTCCTATAGTCATATGAATAAGAAAGGAAATCGATATATAAAATACATATATAGGTCAATCGAATAATTGTCAAATGGTTTTGATTTGGAAACGTCAAAGTCTTTTTTTATGATTTTTATACAAAACCAAGTTTCAGAATCTACAAATTTGAGAGATATTTGTGATCACTCTATAAGATGATCAAGAAAGTAGAAGGGCTCATCTTAGTTTAAAGAAGCAGAGACTTTGGAACCTTCTTTTGTTTGAACGCCAACTTTTGTTCCAAGGCCACTCTTTGTGTCCGCTCCACTCCGAGCAAGATTCACCTCCACGACGGGTTTGCTTCCTGGAACCGGAGGTTTAAAGATATTACCTGCGCACGACAAGTAAGTGTTGTCAACAAAAATTAATGTAACAAAAGAGAGAGTCATATGGTTTCCACCACTAGCTTATAGTTTCCGTTATTTACAAGTGCTTCTCCTCATAGTGTTAATATAGAGGCAAGCAAGTTCAATATGAATAAATGAGAGCTCAAGAATATACCAATTCCACTGAAGAAAATGCCGTAGTCCATTCCATTATACATGGTTGGTATCGCCTTCGAATAAGGGCATTGTGTGGAAAATCCAACCTTTTGGCCATTAGATTGTTTTGTTGATTTGTTTACCTTGTTTACGCAACGCTTGAATTGCTTATGGCAGTTCACATAAGTCATACCTACGAAAAAACTATAATTATAACAAAAAAAACAAAACCATAGTTTTTGCCTCAAAAATAAGTCGGTAATAGAATCAAAATATTATTTTTGATTGAGTTACCTTTTAAATCAACACAATTGTCATGGGTCATACAACAAGCATCAAGATCATCACAAGGTGCCTCTCCACGACATCCAAAGTATCCTATCCCACAATACTTCCCATAACGAATGCCCATACCTGAATTAAACAGTGTTTGCTTTAAATTACAGAGAAAACTCTCTAAATTCAAAAGAAGAAGAAGAAAAAACAAAAATCTTACTGTTGCAATTCTGTACAATGCAGCTTTTGCTGCATCCCTCCTGTCATTTTGATAAACTAACAAATTAATATTATCGTACCACAACGCACAAACATGAACAAAGAACAAGCACGAACGCGTTTATAACCTGGCTACGAACGACGGCAAGGAGGAGGAAAGCGGCTAGGCCGAAAGCGACACGTGTCAAAGCACCACCGTGAATCATCTTTATCTCTCGCTATCTCCCGTTAAAGTTTCTGGTTTTGGTTTGTGTTCTCTTCGAAATTGTGAACCAAAAGTACGTCTCCTTGGAACTTGGAACATCTCATTGGTCCTCCTATATTCTCTCTACCTCACCTTCTCTTAAAATGGAACAAGTTATTATTATCGACGTCATTTCTGGTACCTCTTCTAACCAACGAACACGATTAATCTTTATTTAGTGAAATATATCATATGTTATTTATTTTTATTATTCTTTTAAGCTACGAAGAAGATATCAGTTTGGTTACTTGGTTAGTTAAAAACAGATTGCAAACAAGTATTATGGTTCGAATCATCACAGATATTGATATTAAACAAGGCCAAGTGAAAGAAACTTCCTCCGAATTTTTTGTTGGTTATTATTATTGAGAGCAATCTTTTGAAAGAGAGTTTTCGCAAAATGGGTTTTTCTCAGCTTCATAGCCTCTGTTTCCGTATCAGGAGAAACACTGGAAGGAAAAAAAAACTGATTCAGAGAGAATCATAGAAAACTAAAAACAGAGGAGGTGATTACACAATCTTCACAATCTTCAAGGGTAATAGCCTGTGAAGGTGAATCCTCTGCCGACGATTTCACCTGCGCAATACCAAGCGAAGCATTCCAGACCAAACAATGCTGCGATTCCGGCATGTTCTACGTTCAGATCGGCTTTGTTCTTCCATAAGTTCTTTGCGTAGTCTATTTCCTTCCAGAATGTCTCATAGCGTCCGGGAATGCTGTATTAAGGAGTTAAAGAATGTTAGATACTGAGCAAAGCTACACACAGATGGTTTTAACTGAACGAACAACTTAAGCTTGACTACTTTAAAACATAATCCTGCAACTAAAGACGAAGAATTGAACAAGACAAACAGCTCAATGCAAAAGATGGAGATAGAGAGGGATATGCGAGATAACGACCTAGCGAGACGGGTGTAGAGAAGTTGCTTAGAGAGCTCTTGGCATTTCTCGACAGTGGCAGGTTCCTGAATATATTGCTTGTTCTTCTCCAGCAACTGCCTGTAGTAGGAAGTTCCATGCTTAGCCACAAACTTTGAAGCCTCACATGCCTTTGACTGTACTTGTACCAACTTTGACGCCATCTTCACAACCTAATCCTTCACACACACAAGCTAACTTCAGCTTAAGCAATTCAGTGTCAGAAACTAAAAATCCAAAATGAAGTAGCAAATTCTTAAGCAGATAAATTTGATTCATAAAACACAAATTAATCAAAACTTGACATTCGAAAAGCCTTAAATTTCCAACATTTTCCAACACAACCCAGATCCCCAAACAGGAATTTCATGTAATATCAGATTGACCTTCCAAAAGAGGAGACTTTTCAATGAATTCACACAAAATCAAAGCTAAAAGATGCAATGCCTAAACCTCTAATACTAAATTTCCAGAACGACAGATCGAACGAGCATCAGTGTGAATCAACCAATCAAAATCCGTGACTTCAGCGAACAATCTATCGAATCAGGACGAAATCATAGAATATAGATCTACAAGTCAACCAAAAAACAGACAATATACAAGAGAAAAACCCTAGAAAACCCAATAAACCAAATGAAAATTGATTAAAAAAAACCGAATTAAGAATCTGAGATCAGAAAAGTGCGAGCAACATCGGTTGGAGATCGGAACCTCGCCTTACCTTTGATACAATTGAAATGCAGCACCGGTGGAGCTAGAGATGAGCCGATTCGAGATTCGGACCACTAATTCAAGAGCTGCGTAATAATGTCACCGAGTCTTCTCTGTGTTAAAGGTTAAAACGACGTTATAATTGGCGTTCCGAGAATCTCAAAGACGCCCACTTTTCTTCTTTGAAACGACTTCGTTTCCTCCATTTTTTGCGAAACGACAACGTTTGGTGATATAAACGGCGAACGCACAAGCTATTGAAAAAGGCCACGCCGGGAAAATAAACTAATCCCAAATTCCAATCGCCATGTCTTCTCTGACTCCTCCACCGGTTCCTATGGAGCTCCACGCCGGAAACCGGCGGAAGCTCATTGATTCAATACGCCGTCACTTGACTAGTTCCGATCGTCCTCTCCATGGATTCGTTTTACTACAGGTACTTCTGTTTGCTCGTATATTCATAGTTTCAAACGCTTATCCATGATCCGAGCTAGCTTTTTTCATCATCTATAGCTCATGATTTCTTCTTCTTCTTGCTATTGGACGATAGGGAGGCGAGGAAAAAACTCGGTACTGCACTGATCACGCTGAGCTCTTCAGGTACCGATTTGTAATTTTTATGTGAGGATGATTGGACTTTGAAATCGTACTTGGTTCCTTCTCTTCCCAATTTGTTACTGACTCGTTTTCGATGAGATGATCACGATTAGTTTAAATGACTTGATGAGCAGGCAGGAGAGTTATTTTGCTTACTTGTTTGGAGTCAGAGAGCCCGATTTCTATGGAGCTATTGTGAGTTTTTTTGCAGCTATTTCTCATTTCCTATGAACATATGATCGGCTCACCATTTGTTAACCAATAAATTTTGATCCTTTTTTTGATAATGGAAGGACATTGGAAGTGGGAAATCTATCCTTTTTATTCCAAGGTTGCCTGATGATTATGCTGTGTGGTTAGGGGAGATAAAGCCATTGTCGCACTTTAAGGTATCTATTTGAATATTTACAAGTCTTGTTAGTTTGTTCTATGCATAATTCTTTTCTCTAAAGTAATGGCATTTTGTGCTTTTTGTTGCAGGAAACATATAAGGTTGACATGGTTTTCTATGTGGATGAGATGATTCAAGTCTTCGATGAGCAATTTAAGGGATCTGGAAAGCCACTACTGTATCTTTTGCATGGCGTTAACACTGACAGCAGTAACTTCTCAAAACCTGCCAGCTTTGAGGTTTCTGCATTTCATTGTTATGCTCTTCCATTGATGCTGAAAATGAATATCTTCTGGCATAGTGTTTTCTCGATATTTGGAATCTCATTTCTACTCTTTTTTTCACTGTGCTGGTGTCTTATCAGGGGATAGAAAAATTTGAGACTGATTTGACTACGTTACATCCTATTTTGGCGGAATGTCGAGTTATCAAGTCAAGTTTGGAGCTTCAACTACTACAATTTGCAAATGATATAAGTTCCGAAGCTCATGTAGAGGTGTGTATGATATCCTTACATTATTTTCTCTCGAAATGATTTTCTTTTCTCTTGGCTTGTCAACAAACTTTCGTTTTTGTATCATCTCACTACTTAGTTTGCCCACCTGGATTCTTCTTGTCCACTACATGTAGACGTGTTATCTTCTCTTCTTGCAATTTCTATCTTTTAACCATGTGTTTTCAATCCATAATAAGGTTATGAGGAAAGTAAGACCTGGCATGAAAGAGTATCAGATGGAAAGTATGTTTTTGCATCACACCTACATGTATGGTGGCTGTAGGCATTGCTCGTACACATGCATTTGTGCAACAGGGGATAACAGGTAAGTTTGGTGGATAAATCTTGTTATTGCTGACAATGCAGAAATAGTCACCCTCAGGTTTTCAGGTGATTTTACTTTTTACACAAAAACTAATAAAATGATGTTAAACTGTTTTGCAGTGCTGTTCTTCATTATGGACATGCTGCAGCTCCAAATGACAGGGTAAAAGAGCAACCATTCCTTTCTTTTATAGTTCTCTCATGATTCCCTTGTTTTGAAGCTCTTTTTATTACTTCTTTCAGACTTTTGAAGATGGAGATTTGGCATTGCTAGATATGGGTGGGGAATACCATTTTTATGCGTCTGACATAACATGTTCATTCCCCGTGAGTTCTGTTTCTAGCGCCAAACCTTTTAATATTTTTCCAATTAGGTTCTGTTACTTTAAGCATCTTTAAGAGTGTTACTGAGTGTATTTGCACCACAATGACTTGTTTTCAATCCTGTTTATATGAACATAATAATGCGTTGAATTTTGTAATTTAGAGCAAGTGGTGCCTGATATTTATCAAATATTGTGCAGGTCAATGGTAAATTTTCAAGCGACCAGAGTCTAATCTACAATGTAAGTGCCTTACACGACCGTAGTAGAACTCTGTGCTCTATTTTTGTCAATTTTTCCACAGAATCCAGAGTTTGGTAAGCCTCTTGAAAGCTTTATGCATGATATTTACGTTCTTTGATTTACCTTTCTTTTAGGCTGTTCTGGAAGCACATAATTCTGTAATCTCTGCAATGAAGCCAGGAGTGAACTGGGTGGATATGCACAAGTAAGACTTACTGATATGCTATATAGTTCTGTTTAAGTATGCATCCAGATGCAGTAATTTGGATTGACTATGAACTTAAGCTTGTAAACTTTGATTTGGCCCATTTTGAACATCATCTCCATATGGCTATATAACTGAACCAAGCTAATGTACAGGTTAGCCGAAAGAATCATCCTTGAGTCACTGAAAAAGGGGTCCATCCTCACTGGGTAACTCTCTCTCTACTAGACATGTTTTTGTACACTTTGTTCACTCTTCTCTAAAGCTGTATTTCATTGTTAACGGATTTCGTCTCCTTTCCTAGTGATGTAGACGAGATGATGGTAGAACGCTTGGGTGCTGTTTTCATGCCTCATGGATTAGGTCACTTCATGGGCATTGACACACACGACACCGGTGGTTACCCGACGGTAACATCAAATCACTTTTTCACCCAATAGATTCCTCATTAACATGAAACTACACTCCTCAATTGCTTTTGATTTTTCTTTTAAAGGGTGTGGAAAGACCAAAGGAACCGGGATTGAAGTCATTACGCACTGCAAGAGACCTCCTTGAAGGAATGGTAAGTGGTAACTGTGTCAAGTAAAAATACTTTGCTTCTTCCCATTTATCATCTCTGTGCATAATCTTAATGGTTTGTATGCAGGTTATAACGGTTGAACCAGGTTGCTATTTCATCAAGGCATTGCTGGTCCCTGCCATGGAAAACGCAAGAACCTCTAAGTTCTTCAACCGTGAAACAATAGAGAGATATAGGAATATCGGAGGTGTCAGAATCGAAAGCGATTTGGTAACGATATATATATGTTCACTATAACGTTTAAAACCTCCATAAGAGTAAGTGCCATGTACGATATTGTCTTACTTCTTTGTTGTGCCTATGTGATTCTGTGTAGGTCGTTACTGCGAATGGCTGCAAGAACATGACGAATGTTCCTCGGGAGACATGGGAGATCGAAGCTGTGATGGCTGGAGCTCCTTGGCCGCCTGTTACTACAGGAAACAACTCTACCAAGTGATCTTAATCACACTCTTTGGCTAATGGAAACAACAAAGTTATTTAGAAACTCACTTTTAAAACTTGTTTGATGAGAATAAGAAGTTAATCGGTTTCAGTGTGTTGTTCACTTCACTCACCAATTATTAAAAATTCACTTATTTGGATTTTGGAATATTCAATCAAGCGAACAACCGAACCGGAGGGAGAAAATTGAACCGGTTTGGTGCATGTCGACGAAAACAGAACCGGTACAGAAAATATCTTCAAAACGATTTAATCAATTTAAAATTCCTTAACCGGATAGAGAAAAGAAGCAGAACAAAAGACTTCTGTTTTGTTTGTGACAGCAGAGCAAAGACTTCTAAATAAAAGCTTATAGTACTGGTGGCTTCCTAAAACCCTAATCTCTTGCACTTCGTCGCTCTCTATCCCCAAAACCCTTCTCTTTCTCTCTGTTCCGTTTTTCTCTTTCTTACCTCTTGTGTGAGACCACCAATCACAACGATGACTAAGAAGAATAACCAAAACGAGGAAGAGTTCATCAGCTTCGGACATAACCAGAACACGAAGATACGCTTTGAGGATGCTGATGAAGACGATGTTGCTGAAGGCTCCGGTGTTGCCGGCGAACCAGCTGCCCAAGATGAATCCATGTGCGACGCCGGCGAGACCGCCGAAGTCACTGACGACACCACCAGCGCCGATTACTACTTCGATTCCTACTCTCACTTCGGTAATTCCCTTTGTTTTCACTTCATGTTGATGTTTTTCCTCTGAAGTTCAATTCATAGTTTTTTTTTGGTAATTAGAATTTGAGCTCTTTGGTTATGAGCTAATACTTTTTTTCCCAATTGTTTTGCTTTAATTTGATTCGTCTCTCTGCTACCAATTGACTCTGGTTCCACTTTTATCTTAATTTTTGCAGGAATTCATGAAGTAAGTATCAAAAAGCCATACTCTTTCCGGTGTTAATTACATTATCGATTCTGGAAACGGTTCAATATAATTAATTCAGTGAGTTTCTTTAGTATACATCTGATGTCTGATTCGAGGATTGTATCTTATAGGAAATGTTAAAGGATGTAGTGAGAACAAAGACTTATCAGAATGTAATCTACCAGAACAAGTTTCTCATCAAGGACAAGATTGTTCTTGATGTTGGTGCTGGGACAGGAATCTTGTCTCTGTTCTGTGCCAAGGCCGGAGCAGCTCATGTCTACGCTGTATGTCTTCATCTCTCAGTGATTTTAATCTCTTTTCAATCTGAATGATTTGATTGAGGATGCTCATGCTCTTTGTAATAGGTTGAATGCTCAAATATGGCTGACATGGCAAAGGAGATCGTTAAAGCTAATGGATTTTCTGATGGTACTCTCTCTCTCTGTGTTATGCTCGTTTTTTTTTTTTTTTTTTTCAATTGGTAAAACATTTGTTTTGTAACGGTCTTGATGATGAGTTTGGTTGTATCGTTCGTTGCAGTCATAACGGTTTTGAAAGGGAAGATTGAGGAGATAGAGCTTCCCACTCCTAAAGTGGATGTGATTATATCTGAATGGATGGGTTACTTTCTCTTGTTTGAAAACATGTTGGACAGTGTCTTGTACGCTCGTGATAAATGGCTTGTAAGTTTCAGCTCCACCTTTCTTTACTTACCATAAGCAATTCTCAACAATTGATTGTTGCAAATCAGTGTCCTTGTTATAAAGCCTTCCTCTGGACTAACTATGTAACCTTCTTGCACCTTTGGGGTTATTGATAGGTTGATGGCGGAGTTGTGCTACCAGACAGAGCCTCTCTGCATCTTACTGCTATAGAGGACTCAGAGTATAAAGAAGACAAGATAGAATGTGAGTGCATCGATCTTCTCTCGTTTTTTTTTTTTTTTTTTTTTTTGCATTTTCTTTTTCAATTGCTTATTTTGTGTGTGTTTCTGCTACAGTTTGGAACAGTGTGTATGGTTTTGACATGTCATGCATCAAGAAAAAGGCTATGATGGAGCCGCTTGTTGACACAGTCGACCAAAACCAAATTGTCACTGATAGTAGGCTACTCAAGGTAAGCAGATAAACACACGAGACAATGATTAGTAGTAGTATCTCTTTACTTGTAGCTAATGCTCATTTTATTTTGGGCAGACAATGGATATCTCAAAGATGACCTCTGGTGATGCTTCCTTCACAGCTCCCTTTAAACTTGTTGCACAACGCAATGATTACATCCACGCTCTCGTAGCCTACTTTGATGTATCGTTCACCATGTGCCACAAGCTGCTGGGTTTCTCAACAGGTTCAGATCTTTGCTATTTCTGAATAATCTTTTGAAGTTATTGAATCATTTTGGTCTAAACAACCATGGTTGTGAAAATGCAGGACCAAAGTCCCGGGCTACACACTGGAAACAGACAGTCATGTACCTAGAAGATGTGTTGACCATATGTGAGGGAGAGACGATCACTGGAAGCATGTCCGTTTCTTATAACAAGAAGAATCCTCGAGACATTGACATAAAGCTAAATTATTCTTTGGATGGCCGGCATTCCAAGGTCACTAGGACTCAACACTACAAAATGCGCTGAAGCTTTCCTCTCAAAAGATGCAAAACTTCAATTCTACAGCTGGAACTGAGAAGATTCAATTTCTCTCATGTTGTGATTTAGTTTTTGTATTTTTTATTATTATTTTCCAGTTTTGCAACATTCCCTTTGCTTCACTCTGCAACATTTGTTTTCATTATTCTGAGTTAAATTAATGATTTTCACCTAAACCATCACATTTTACTCATTCTTGTGCTACAGAGCTGATGTTATTCTTAAACACTTTGAATATTTCCTGGAAAAGATTATAGAAACTAGAAGTAATCTACAAAAAGCCAATGTGAAGAAGAGTACATTAAGACTTAAGGATCTAAGACAGAACCAGTTCCAAACTGTTTCTACAGTTCAGATTTTCCGGATTTAGATTTCTTGGATCCAACACCTTTCCACCATCTCCTGACCTGGTTCGACACTTTCTGTGCATGTCTCTTCAAACCTTCCCCTCTCTTCTTGAATTCCTTAGTGATTGTCTCTTTCCATTCTTCCTTTTTACTCTCTTTCTCCTTCAAAACCTTTCCCTGAAACCAACAAAACCACAAAAAAGTGTTTTAGAGAAAAGAGTGAAAAGATCTTGGTTCCTTCTTCAACAGAAACTTGTTATATACCAAGTTCTTGGGAAACTTGTCATCTTCATCCTCATCTTCCTCATCGTCACCATCTTCATCTTCACTACCGGGTTTCCCCAAGTTATCCTTGTACTTCTCTAAATCTTCTCTAGAATATACCTTCATGCCAGGTGCTCCTGGCATACCCTGAGAGAACAAAACAGCCGTAAAATCAGAGTTAAGCTTAAGATCACACTATGGATCTATCTTGATGCTTGCTTTATGTCATCATCAGAACTCACCTGCATAGATCTCATGATCTTGTCCATCTCAGCATCTTTCGATGGTTTTGCAACAAATGGTTCTCCAGGAACACGATCCTAAACAAAGATAAAGAACACACTTATCACATAAAGTTTCTTTCTTTTCATCAAAATGTCATCTCCACAGCAACAAAATGATCTTAGATGGTGTATAGTCTTATATGAAGGTAACCTTGGGAACAGGAGGCGGGTTCTTGGTACAAGCATCGGTCAGGTCTTTGCATAGATGATTCACCAGTGAAGCGAGATCAGGCTTAGACTTGTATATATACTCTGCAACATCAGTGTCTGAGTAACCAATGACCTGTAAACAACACACAGAAACCGAATAAAAACCATATCCTCTAACTCTTAACGCTACAATAAATGTAAATCCAATTTTCACAAAGTTCTCACCTTTTGACAAGCAGCCTCGATTGTCTTGCACTCGGAATTGCACATCCCTTCTTCTTCTTGTTCAACCAGCTACAACACCAAATCAAAACAATCAGTCACTAATTTACCAAATGTTCTTGGATCAAATAAGTGGGAGAGAGAGAAGAAATGTCTAATACCTGAAGCTTATTGCCTTTCTCGACAATGTCAATCTTGAGCATCCAATCAGCTTCCTCTTTCTTCAAATCGCATACATTTTCAGCAATCTCAATGATCTCATACTCCGAGATCTAACAATTTGTTTCCCACCCGAAAATTTTCAGTAAACAACACCGAAGACAAAAAAATCTCAAATAAGAAAGGATCAGTGATTCAAAACACAATCTTACCTTCTTGGGAGAGATCTGTTGTTGCTTCTCCTTCACTAGCTGGTGTAGCCGCGAGGCCATTTTCTCACACACCTGACACTTGATGTACGGAACATCCTCCTTTCTCGGCGTCGACGACGGTTTACTCGCGCCATCGGAAACCGGTAGTAACGCCGACGAAGCTAAGAGAGCTAATGTTACAGCTATCAGAACTCGATTCATCTTCACCATTGAGTTGACGAAGACAAAGACACTCTGTGAAAGTTCAGGACTTATGAATCAAAATTTATAACACAGATTGTGTAATATATAAGATAATATTAGGATCATGGGTTTTACGATTTACTTGGCGAAAAATTTGGGGTTTTGATTTGCTGGTGTGCCGTGTTGTTGTAGTGGAATCGATGTTACGCTTGTTAACGTGTTTCCTGCAATCTTATTGGCTATTCGACTGCTGACACGAACTGGAGCCCACTTCCTCGACCAATCTCATTTGTGTTGTGTAGTAAATTTCTCTCAAGCTAGTTTTCAGATCAAAGCAAAACCTTGAAGCAGATTATTGCTCTTAGATGGGCCTGAGGTATAAGGCACTAGGCCCATTATTTAATTTGATTTAACGGGATAATAGGGGCAATTCAGTCTTTTTGATGGAAAGACGAGAAAGCGATTAAACTGAGACGGAGCTGCTTTTTCTTCAACATCCGACGGCGAGGAGAAGCAAGCTCCGGCGTTGAAAATGGCCGGGATCGTTATCGTGTTTGATTTCGATCGGACATTAATCGACGGAGATAGTGACAATTGGGTGGTAATGGAAATGGGACTCACAGAGATCTTCCATCAGCTCCGCTTCACTTTACCATGGAATCGCCTTATGGTATATTTCAGCTACTTACGCATTCATCACTAAGAGTGTTCTTTGTCTCTTAAATTCTTAGTGTTTTTGATTGGATTGTGCAAAGGATAGGATGATGATGGAGCTTCATTCACAAGGGAGATCGATTGATGACATTGAAGCTTGTTTGAGAAAAATGCCGATCGATTCTCAGATTATTGAAGCTATCAAATCAGCCAAATCCTTAGGGTAATGAAGCATGAACACTGATGATTTCACTTATAATCTCAAATGTTGATTATTTCAAATTTTGCAGATGTGATTTAAAGATTGTGAGTGATGCAAACCAGTTTTTCATTGAGAAGATACTGGAGCAGCATAATTTGTTGGATTGCTTTTCAGAGATTTACACAAATCCAACATCTGTTGATGAAAATGGAAAGCTTCGGATCTTACCGTACCATAGTGACGAATCGGTTCCACATATCTGCAATCTCTGCCCTTCAAATCTATGCAAGGTACTATATCTTTTTGTTAAACCATTGAGTAGCATTCAGTTTGGTGTAGTGAATCTTCTACATTTTGTTTCTCAGGGTCTAGTAATGGATAGTATACGTGGTGGTTCTGATGCCAATGATCAAATTTCAAGAAGGTTTATATACCTTGGAGATGGAGGAGGTGATTTTTGCCCGACATTGAAGCTGAGAGAGTGTGATTGTGTGATGCCGAGGACGAATTATCCGCTATGGAAGAAGATTTCGGATAATCCCTCGCTGATCAAAGCTCAAGTCAAGGAATGGAGCAATGCAGAGGAACTGCGGAGAATTCTTATGCAACTTGTCAACGCTATAACGAAGGAAGATTCATAAGCACTAATCTTTTGAGAAGAAACAGCACCAGATTGGATTGTGTTTGTTCCTCTTCCACTTGATTGATTTAAGCATTGGTGATGGAAATTAATTGCTAACTGATCAACAAAAAGTTCTTCTGAATGTCAAGGATTGTTTAATAATAAACCTTTTTCGATTTTATATTTGTTCAGTATATGAAAAGGAGAAATGTATCAGAAAATGAATGTGAAAAAACAAAATTTTCAAAAATTAATTGTTTGAAAAATTTGACAAAGTGTTTATCATTCACTTTGTTCTATCGAAATTTAATGGAAAGCCCAGGCGCGTAGCTGCAACGTGCTCAAACATTGGCAAAAATGGAAAAAAGGCGCGTGAGAAATTCCATCTGGTTTATTTTTCTTTGAGACATTTCGTCGAACACCACGTATGAAACCGAAGGGGTTGGTTTGGTTTTGCTCTACCTCTACGTAATCCCGCCATGATTTCTCTCCTTAAAGCTCGCGAGAGGCTTCTCTCCCCTTTCTTCACTTCCTCTGTTCGTCGCAGCCTCTCTTCTAGTCTCTCCTGTAAATCTCTCTTCCTCTCTCTCTCTCTTTTCACGCTTGTGCTTCATTTGAGCATATGATTCGCAGAGTTAGTATCTCTACTCTAAAGTCTAAACTGTGAATGTTTGTGTGGTTTGTGAGCAGATTCTCGTGAAGATTCGAGAGGTTCTGAAGTATTTATACACCCGAGTGCTCTTGTCCACCCAAGCGCTGTGATTGGGAAGGTTTGATTTGTTTTAGTGACATTGCTGGTTCTTGATGTAACATAACCAAAGTGTGATGCTTTGTTTGAGATTTAGGCAAACCTTTGAGAATTTTCCTGACCAGACAAATTTATGTATTCTCTGCTTGTAACAGGGAGTTTCAGTTGGTCCATACTGTACAGTTGGCTCTTCAGTGAAGCTAGGCAATGGCTGCAAACTCTATCCTTCAAGCCATATCTTTGGGAACACAGAGTTGGGGGAATCTTGTGTTCTCATGACGTAAAATCCCTTTGATCTCTTACATTATATTTCGTAATTACCAGTATGATATTTTATGGATCTTTGCTATGTCTCTACCTTGAATTTTTGTCAGCCAGTGGTGCTGTTGTTGGCGATGAGCTTCCTGGTTGTACAGTCATAGGAGGCAATAACATTATTGGTCATCACGCGGTGGTTGGCGTTAAATGTCAAGACTTGAAGTACAAGGTGTGTTAGAGACAATATCTTAATATTACCCTGATTAGAGACTTTAACTCATGCTGTGTTTTCTTCTTTTTCAGCATGGAGATGAATGTTTTCTCTGCATCGGTGACAACAATGAGATTAGGGAGTTCTGTTCGATTCACAGGTCATCAAAGTCTAGTGATAAAACGGTATGAGCATTGGTCATTGACACATATGGGTGAAGTTTTTAGGTGATTTCCTGTGTTTTGAGGTCTGCCTTTCGTTTGTTTTGAATAGGTTATTGGTGACAACAATCTTATCATGGGCTCTTGTCACGTCGCTCATGATTGCAAGATCGGTGACCGCAACATATTTGCCAACAATACGCTTCTTGCAGGCCATGTGATTGTACAAGTAAGATTTTTTTTCTTGTGTGATGTACTCTAAACCCTGGATTTAGCGGCGTGGTTTCATTTGGTTCATGTTTTGAGTGCAGGACTATACACACACGGCAGGAGCCACTGTCATCCACCAGTTCTGTCATATTGGTTCTTTTGCTTTCATTGGTGGTGGTTCTGTGGTACATTTTCATCTCATAGCTCTTCATTTCCTCGAAATTCCCAGTAGAAACTCAATGGTGTGAACATATATGTAGGTTTCACAAGATGTTCCAAAGTACATGATGGTGACTGGAGAAAGAGCAGAGCTTCGCGGTTTGAATCTAGAGGGGCTTAGACGAAATGGATTTACCATGTCAGAGGTTTGTATTGTGTCACAACGTTGAGTCTCTTGAAGTGTTACCAAAAATAATCATTAATTATTTCTTGGCGTTGGTAGATGAAGAGCCTGAGAGCAGCGTATCGTAAGATATTCATGTCTACTGAAACAGCCCCGTTAAGTCTTGATGAGCGTCTCACTCAGACGGTAACTATTATTGCTCAACTCTTTTCACTGCTTTCACTTCCCTGTGCATCTATCTCAGAAACATCTGGATGCTTTAATGCAGGAACAGAACCAAGAGCTGTACAGTGTTCCTGCGGTTGGTGCCATGTTGCAGTCAATCCGAGATTCTTTCGCTGAAGGTCGTCGTGGGATATGCAAGTTCAGACACTGGCTCGACTCTTGAGTTTCACAGCTTTGAGACTTAGCTTAGGCACCACCTTTCACTGAATCTGTATCACTCTAATAGATTAGCTTTAGCAAAGTGTTGTCCACATTTTGTGGCTGCAAAAACATCCTTCAAATCACTTATTCAAAACAAAGACTCACAAAACAGTGGAAGAAATTTTCATTTGGGTTGTGTTATCTTGGTATATGATTACAATATGTTTAAAGATGTGACTATTTACGAAAGAACAGACTACATTTGCTACAGAGCATTGAGTTTTGATAAGATAGATTTCGTAACTAGACTGTTAGTGTTCTTAACAGATCCTATCAGCGGATACTTATGAGCCTGTAGCATCGGAGCGCATTTGGCAATAAAATGTAGCAAGAAGTTTCCAAATTTCAAAGATTTGGAATACCTTTCGGCCAACTCCTGAACTTTAGAAACAAGACAATCAACGGAGCCTTGTGTTAAAGGGACGTCGTGGACCAATATGTTCTGGAAAAGGACAAACAGTGATTCATTCCAAGTTGGATCATCAGCTATAAGCTCTCGGTGGCAGGGAAGGAACAGAAACCTCCTCTTCTCTTCTCTTCTTCCACAGAGTAGCTTCTGGCAAAAGGCAGAGATGTGACCCAAGTGCCAGCATTCTTTCAAAACCCTTGAGATAACCTCACAGATGAAGCTGTTGATCCCTTCTCTCCTGAGTATCAAAGGAAACACCAAACCATACTCAGCTGCTCTTTGGTGGATCTTGCAAAACTCGATCGTTGCAGACATCAACACACGAGAGGCGGATTTCTCAAGAGATAAAAACTTGGGAAGCACGACAGAACATAGAATCTGGCTTGCCCAACCAAGCTCTTCTTCCTCACTTCCACTATGCAAATTCGAAAGCAAAACCGCAGCAGTCTCGTCATCTGCATGCCAAGGCTCAATGAGAGCCAAAACTTTCAGAGAATCCTTACCTTTCTCCAGGCAAAGTTTCCGGATTTCATCACACAAGGTTAAAGCTTCAGAAGTAGACTCAAAGCTTGTAATCCGAGCTCTAAGATTCGCAGCCATTTCATGATCATCAGGCTGTAACGCAACGTGTATGGTATCATCAATGTCATCCTCAACTTCTCGATCATCTTCTTCCATGTTCTCTCTGATTTGACTCATCATCTCATTTCCATTCCAAGAATCAACAACCGGCGTGTCTGACTTTACATCAGCAGCGCATGATATCGGAAGCCATGGAAGAGCTGGTCCAGTCGAAGCAGCCTTCTCGCTGAGCCAATCAGGTAAAGAGTCAAACTTCTCAGAAATGCTGTCGTCATCAGCCGAATCCAAATCTAGACGAGAGATCCAATCAAATTTTGGCTCAGGAATTCTGTCGAGCAGGTTCTGTGCAGCTCTCTGAACCCAGAAATCGACCTCTTTACCACCACCGCCCAGGATTTCCCTCGCCAGCGAAACCAAATCCCTGACGCAAAACCTCCGATACTCGGAAATAAGGAGAGATAGAATCCTGCTCTGGACCATATTGGGTAATGTCTCAATGAAAAGAACCCTAACGAGAAAAAAACAATTTCATCAGCAACTATTAAAAAAATCAAATTTTTTAAATCTGGGCATTACTTCTTTGCCGTCGGAGTCTGATCGATTACATCGCATTGTTTCTTCAGGAGTGAAACGAAGGAGCTACGGTTGATCGGAGATGAAGAAGAAGCAGAAGAAGAAGAAGAGGAAGACGAGGAGGAGGAGAGCAAAGAGATGGAAGCTTCATCTAACCAGAGCGACGCCTCGGTTTCCGGCGACGGGCTCTTGAGGATTATGTCCAACAGCGGAATCCACTCCTCCATGATTGTCTTCTGATTAACCGTCACCGAGAGAAACACTAAACGACTTCTCTCTAGGGAAACGCGGGAAACCAACGTTCGGTCTTCTAACTCGGTTTAGTGCGTTAAAAAAAATGTGTATTTTAATCATTTTATTATATAATCAACCATACATTACAGAATGTAAATGGATCTGTGCTTATATTCCTAAATCATTTTAGAGTATTGGCTTTTGAATAGTACGAGGTTCCAATTTTTAGGGTTCTCATCACACAGTTAAAAGAAATGGCTACGAACAGTGTAAAGAGCGGAGGAGTTTTAGATCCAACATATGAATCCTCGGACGATGATGAGATTGATCCAATTTTGTTGGAGTTCCATCGCCAACTTCTCGAGTCCGGTGTAATATAAAATTTCCTTGGTGATTTTGTTTTGTCACAATTTATTGATCGTGCTTGATTGATTATAAGGTTTGATACATGAATGTTCACTTGTATAATTGTATCCTTATTTTCGTGGCATGCTTGAAACTGTGTAACATTGAATCTAGATGTCTTTCATTGGAGCATTCAGCGATACCAAATGATTATTTGTTTATTGCGGCAGGATTTGGTTACAAGCCCTAATAAGGTTAAAGAAACCACCGCACATGAACAAGATAAAGCCAGATCTACACCGGCATCTGAACACCCTTACGATGATTATTCCACTGACGAAGAGGAGGTTGATCCAGTTTTGGAGAAAGAGTTCTATCGCCAACTTAACGAGTCCGATGTAATCTAAAATTTCCTTGGTGAATTTTTGTTTTTGTTTTTTTTCATCTCAACTTTTTGATCATGCATGCTTTAAGATTATAAGGTTTGATACATGAATTTGCACTTATTATCATCTCTATCTTATTGACCATTAGAATGATTCATTAATGTTATTATGGGATTGTTTTTTTTGTTTTTTTTTTTTTGCAGGGATTCGATGTTGACATAACCATTCCACACAATTCATTCTCTAAGGACAAATTTGAGGACGACCAGCCAGATTCATACCGCGACATGCTGGACATTTATGCTAGAGTTGGACTCCATTGGTACAATTTTCACAAGGTAATCCTGAACTCTTACTTGTGTATGAGATTTGTGATTTGACAATTAACTTATAGGCTTTACCAGTTATTATACATACTTGTTTTTTTGATCATATATACATGCAGGGCTCTAACTTCCAGTTCTCGGCCGTATCCAAGTATATTTCCTGGCTACGTAATGCTTTCAATTACTCCATAACCTTTGAGGGGATGGATCCAGCAGACAAATCCAGTATCACTTTCCAAGCGAAGGTCATAAGAGCTGGGCGTGAAAATGGCGAACAGTTGAGGATAGTGTCCGAAGGTTGTAGGATAAAACCTCAAACTCCAGGTGGGTTTCTGTCATGTGATGATGGGTTGATTCATATTCTTGTTTCATGTATATGATCTTGACATTGCTTTTTGAACAAGGTACTGGAGATGAAATACATGCATGGAAGTGGCCCATTGGAAGTGATGAATCTTACAAGGGAAATCTACCTAAATGGTATTCGGATGATGCATTGAAGCCATTCAGTGATACGCACCATCAGTTTTATCAAGTGAGAGCGAGTGCTTCTCTTCTTACAATGTTTTTCTTCCTCTCTTTTTGTTGTCTTGGTTTAAGGGTTGTTTTGTTGTTTCACTTTCACAGGTGCAAGATTCAGATATTCGAGAAAATGATTGGCTTAACATGTATGCTGAAATCGCGCTCTACTCGCTGCATGAAGGAGATACAACGTTGCTCCACGCTTGGCTGCCTGTGGAGATCAGCAAGGTCGTTGTACAGACCTATGACGGAGATGGAAAGTCGTCAAAGGAAAAGCTCAAGGCAGGGAATGCAATCTTCTACATTGCTTTCAAGAACTTGCATGCTCCTCGTGGTTGTCTGCTCCAAGATCACAGAGCCATCGTAAGAAGAGTCTCCGATGGGGTTCCAGGACACGTCTCTCTTGGGTTTAAGTGCTGGCTCCAGGAGTAAACTTATCTCAATCATATTTCATATGACTAGTCACTACATGAAGGGTTGGACAACGGAAGTCAATAATCATATTTCATATGACTAGTCACTACATGAAGTAAAGAATTTCATCATGTCATGCCATTACTCTAATTTGTTAAACAAATAAGTATGAAGTTAATCGGAGAGCAAAAACATGAACTTTAAGGGATTCTTTTCACATTGTCTTAAGACTTGAACTTTAAACAGTAAATTATTATCAGTTTCCCCTTCTGTAGCCAAACAACAACGGATCTTGCTCGTTATTTCTTCCTCATCCGGATCTTATTGTGAACGAGTTTTAATTTTTAATTTCTCTATCTAGCAATATTCTTCTAACTCGGTTTAGTATGTTACAAAAAATGTGTATTTTAATCATTATAATAAAACCATACATTACAGAATGTAATGGTCTAATGGATCTGTGCTTATATTCTTGAATCATTAGAGTATTGGCTTCTGAAGAGTTAACTCGACGACGAGATTCCAATTTTTAGGGTTCAGAAATATTGCAGGTGTACATTATTTACATGGGAGCTCTTGCATCAAAGAATGAAGACCCATCATCATCATCTGACCCTAAAAATCAAATATTTCACTTATCATGTTTATATGAATCCTCGGACGAAGATGAGGTTGATCCAATTTTGAAGACAGAGTTCCATCGCCAACTTCACGAGTCCGGTGTAATATAAAATTTCCTTGGTGATTTGGTTTTGTTTTGTTTTGTCACAATTTATTGATCCTTATTTTCGTGGCATGCTTGAAACTCTGTAACATTGAATCTAGATGTCTTTCACTGGAGCATTTAGCAATACCAAATGATTATTTGTTTATTGCCTCAGGATATTGTTACAGGCCCTAAGCAGCCATCTGAACCCTTTGACGAAGATGATTCCTCTGACGACGATGATAAGGTTGATCCAGTTTTGAAGAAAGAGTTCTATCGCCAACTTCACGAGTCCGATGTAATATAAATTTCCTTGTGATTTTTTTTTGTCTCAACTTTTTGATCATGCATGCTAAGATTATAAGGTTTGATACATGAATTTGCACTTATATATCATCTCTATCTTATTGATCAAATGATTCATTAATCTTTTTTTTTTTCTTTTGCAGGGATTCGATGTTGACATAACTCTTCCAAACAGTTCATTCTCTACGTTCAAATGTGATGACAACAATCGAGATTCAGATCGTGACATGCTTGACATTTATGCTAGAGTAGCACTCCATTGGTACAATTTTCACAAGGTAAAAAAACTCTCATATTGGTTTGTATGCTCTTTGTTAATCAAACTATTTGCTAGGTTAATCATATTGTATTTAAGCTTTTACAACATTCCTTTCCCCCGCTTGCTTGTTATGAGTTGCATATATGAGTTTGGATATGACAACTATATACTTGTTATCATGTACTTTTGATCATACATGCAGGGCTCTAACTTCCAGTTATCGACCATATACAAATATAATTCATTACTATGGAATATTTTCTTTTACGTTTACCACATAACATTGGAGGCGATGGATCCAACAGACGAATCCTGTTTCACTTTCCAAGCGTCTGTTACAAATGATGCGCGTGTATATGACAAAGAGTTGAAGATAGTTTTGGACGGTTGTAGGATAAAACCTCAAATTCCAGGTGAGTTTGTGTGTGATGTGAGGATTGTTTGATTCATATTCTTGTTTCATGTATGATCTTGACATTGCTTTTTGAACAAGGTACTGGAGACAAAATAGATCGATGGGACTACATGTATCATAATGATGAATTTTACAACGGCCATCTACCTAAATGGTATTCGGATGACGCATTAGTGATGCCATCCAGTGATAAGCACAATCAGTTTTATCAAGTGAGAGCGAGTTTTTGTGTTTCTTCCTCTCTTTGTTCTTTGTTTCTTGCTTTAAGTGTTATTTTGTTGCTTCACTTTCACAGGTGCAAGATTCAGATATTCGAGAAAACGATTGGCTTAACATGTATGCTGAGATCGCGCTCTACTCGCTGCATGAAGGAGATGGATCGTTGCTAGAGTCTTGGCTGCCTGTGGAGATCAGCAAGGTCGTTGTACAAACCTGTGAAGATGTAAAGTCGTCAAAGGAAACGTTGAAGGCCGGGAATGCAATCTTCTACATTGCTTTCAAGAACTTGAATGCTCCTCCTAATGGCCGGCTCCAAGATCACAGAGCCATCGTAAGAAGAGTCACCGATGGCGTTCCGGGACACGTCTGTCTTGAGTTTAAGTGCTGGCGCCAGAAGTAATGAATTATCTTAAGATGTCAAGACTAAGTAATGAATTATCTTTTTTTTTGATGTTTTGGTGATTCAATGCAATCCACCTTTATGTATTAAGTTTAATGAATCATGTCTGCACAATAAGCTGATGGAAACGTTTTGGCACAACCTCAAATTTTCATTATTGATGATTCTCCACATTTATTTCTTTAATTTATCATTTCTTTATATTCTGGATCTTCTTGTTCCTCTGGCAAACCAACATGTTGGATTCCACAAGTACGGTTACGAGTGGTGCAAGTTCTTAAGCCATTGGGAGTTTTCTTGAGTAAACGACGTACATTGGATCTGAACGCCCTGGATTTGGAGATATATCAACGGCCTGGATTGATCACAAGTTGGAACAAATTCATCACCCAAATAAAAAAAGAGTGAATAATCTCTAGTCTAATACAAGATGTGTTGATGAATATATGGAAATACAAACCTGAGGAGGCTCAAATCCACCGGCATAGTGAAAGTAAGATCCGACAATGAGAGCATGATCTGCGTCCCCAGTTGATGTCCATATTGAGATTGCTTTAGTAAAGAAGCAACGGTTCGAAAAGCTGCAGAGAATAGATAAGGCATAAGAGAAATGGTGACTGGATACTACAGTTTCACAAGACTTGACAGGTTTGTGTTAAAGAGAACCTCATTACTGCGAGTCCTCCTGGCTTGAGGATTCTGTGCATTTCCTTGAAAACTACAAGCGGCTTTGTAAGATAATCCACACTTACCTATTGAGAGATACCAATAAACACTTACTTGAGTTTCAAATTGACAAGTAAGGTTTATAGAACATTGAGAAAGTTTGGTCTTACCACATTGGTAATAACTTGGAAAGAATTGTCTTCAAAAGGAAGCTTTGGATTGACATTCAAGTCTTGGACTATGTACTCGGTCAGAACCTGAGAGAGAGAATTAATGATCCATCTCATCACTAAAATGGTAAATATATGAAACTGTGTCTTCTTTACCGGATTGCTCTTAAGTTCTTGTTCGTTCATACCCATTCCAACTATTCGTTCTTGCTTATACCCGGCTGGATAATGACTGACCTATGTGACATCACAAGAGCCAGTAACCAAACATCAGAGGATTCTCAATAAAAGCTTTTGACACATATAGAAGAATTTGCATTATGGTGCGTACCCAACTGCTACACATATCGAGTATGCTCGCTCCGGGAGTTTCGCTCTGAGGCAAAACCTTGGAGTAGTACTTTGTCAATGCAGCTATTGCTGGATCATCAATGTGTGTCACAAACCGTGGAGCTTCGTAAAATGTTGAATCAGATGTTCTGACACACACAAAAAAACACAACAAAGTTTGACTGAAGTCATAAGATGTCTGAATGCAAAACTATTAGCTCAAATATGTTTTGCAGAGAAGAAAAACAGAGCAAGACGACTATAAGGAAAGCTTGGGACTTTGTTAAGAAAACAGAGCAAGACTGTAACAACTAACAAAAGCTATGGACTTGTATTGTCTCTTACTCGTCGAATCGCTGGAAATCTTCTTCTTTGAAAGGGAAATTCTCAGGCCAATTCACGTTACTCAACGCCTAAAATTCAAACAAAACAAGTTTGATTTCAGAATTTTCCACAGAATTGTATATTTGGAACTACTAGATACAGAGGACATTTCGATTCCTGAACTTCCAAATGGCTAAAACTACGGACTTTGAAAGAATTGGCTGTTGATACGAAACAGGAGATGAATGAAGAAGGGAGAAGAAGACCTGTTCGACGGGAGAAGGATTCGTCTGCCTCGCGGAAGCTATGAAAGATTTACCGGACATGTTGTTCATCCACAGCGAAGCGCCGCCGAAACCGCCCAGAACCAGCCGGCGACGTGAAGGAGCGCGAATGCAACGGACGAGAGGTTTCGAAGCAGCAGTCAGAGCAGAGGAAGCTCGGACGAAAGGGGAGCTTAGATTGGATCTGAGGCCAAGAAAGTTAGAAGCTTTCGACATTGTTTCATTAATTGGTGGACTTTGAAGACGACACGAGGATGAAGATGACGATTCGAGTCTAGTGATCCTAACCAGTCTTACGTGGTCGTTTCTCTTTTGTCTTGAAGGCTTTTTCCTTCCTTTTACAAAGTTTTGGGGGCGTAATTGCAATTTAAAAATTTACTAACTAAATACTTGGCCTCAAGAAACTATCTCAAAACATGAATAAAAAAAAACTAAACTAGTATTATTATAATGAAGACATTTGGCTCTCCAATGGGCGCCTAATTTCTTCTGTATATGCTTGTAAATTGTGATGATGGTAACTCAAAAATGGGTTTTGATGTGCTGAAACTTGTCAGAGTAATAAAAACTTTCGTAAAGAGATTGTATTAGAAATATAGGCATTAGGCAGTTACAATAGTGACCATGTAATATCTGTCGCTGATCCGTATAAAATAGGTTTTCGATTTGCTTAGATGAAAAGAAATTTGTGTTCCTTGGCAATTTTCATTTTATCAAGTTTTGTGTTCACTTGAAAACTTAATAAATCTTCTCTCTTGGTTTTATAACAAACTTTTTTTTTGGGCAAAGGGTTTTATAACAAACTATGTTGTAGATGGTTGGCAAAATAATTTTCTCTTAGTCAATAGAAACAAGGAAATTCATAGAAGATGGGGAAAATGGTTTAGTAACACGGACTTGGTTATCAGTAGATAATTTTGGAGAACTCAAAGACACCGCAAAGACGTGTGTGAAGTGTGAACACGATGCCGGTAGTTAAGCTGTAGAAATCAATCTTCAAACCATTTTGATCAAAAATGTTTCTAAACTAAGAAAGAGGTAAAGACTATTGAGCGGTGTTTTAATGCTCTCCAGTCTAGTTTATATAAACAACAAAATGTAACAACTTGCTTTTTAAAAAAAGGAGAAGTCATCAGCATGACTAGGTTTGACAATGTGATCATAAGAGTCGCCATCACCACCCACCATCACCATCACCCTTTCAATTTATGTTGTTGTTGTTGTCGTTGTATAGGACCTATAGGCAGATGAGAATTCACAAACAGTACTGACACAAGGCAACTATATATATAAGTCCAAGGGTTTGCTTCTCTTCTCCATATCCTCCACTCATTTCATTAATCTTAGCAAAAAAAAATATTAAAAACACTTTTCCGAAATCAGAAAGAGAAAATGGCAGAGCCATGCAAATTAATCTTCGCTCCCAATGCAGCTGAATCAACCATCCTCCGCCGCGACAAAATGATGACAACGAGAGGAACCTTAATTTGCTGATTGAAGGAGCGGCTCCTTTAGCCCTTTATCCTTTTTCCGCCATACCCATCGTCGCCGTTGGGATCGGGTCAACCGGTGCCGTCTACTTAGGCGTGAACCTGGAGTTCGAAGGTCTGCCACATCAGTACTCGATCCACGCCAATCAGTTCCTCGTCACCAACCTTGCTCTCAACTTCGAGGAAAAGCTAGAGTACTTGGCCATCACCTCCCTTGGCGGCCACTACTTCGACGCTCCCTGCGGCCACTGCCGCCAATTTCTTCAGGAACTCCCCCATGCGGATGATATTGAAGTTCTTATCAAGGATGCAGCGAATGTCAAACTCGAGACCCTCGGGAACCTCTTCCCGCGCAGTTTCGTCCCTGCCAGAAACCTTGAAAGAGGCACCCATCTGCTTCTCGGCCACGGCCCTAACTTGTTGAGCCTCTCGGACGGCGATCTCAACTGCCGCCGAGATTCGGAGAGGACACTAAGGATCAAGGCTCTGGCGGCTGCAAATAAGTCCTTCGCGCCGTATGGACAGAGTCCGTCCGGAGTTGCCCTGATGGATTCCGGAGGACATCTCTACGCCGGCTGGTTCATGGAGTCGGTGGCTCTTAGCCCCAGTGTGGGTCCACTACAAGCGGCTCTGGTGGATTTTGTGACACGCAGCGGAGGCCGCGGCTTCAGTAATATCGTTAACGCCGTTTTGGTCGAGAAGAGAGGGGCCAAAGTCGGTCAAGCGGATACGGCAAGGATCCTGCTACAGAAGATTACCGGCGGAAATTGCCGTCTCGACGTCTTCTACTGCTCTGAGGAGCACTGAGACACTACTCGCCGACCAACTAAGCAAGCCCTCACAAGTCAGAATCTTAAACAAACATAAAATTATGATGATAATCCTTTAACCTTAATTATTAGTTACAAAATTGATGATGCAAGGCAAAATTATATAACCCACTAGGGCAAATTACGGTACTCTTTGATTATTATTATTATTATAAATTGATGATGTTATAAATAATTCTTATGTTTTTCTTCTTTCTTTTTGGGGTTCAATGGTTCATGATACATATGATATCAAATGCTAATACACCAAGAATTCTAAGTTCCAGATTGAATATATGTTCTCATAAATTTATGATGGTAAACACTAAACAGTTATTTTTGGAACCCCTACAAAAACAAATGGTTCATTATCATTAGACAACTATATAATTTATCATTTTCCCCCTAAGCAATCCGAATTATAACAAACTGTCGTTAAGCAAGGAATACAGTTCTACGGTATAGCAATAATTTTCTGAAGTTTACTTTAACCGTAACTTCCTTACAATTTTTTTTATAAAGGTTTGATGACTTCTCCTTAAAAGTTTCGACGACAAGAGCATAAAAACAATGAACCACCATTTTTGGTCGACCAATGTAAAAAGGTCGGTTAGTAGTGTTTGAAAAATTCACAAGTTTCTTTTTTCGTTAATAGTGTATTTAAGATAAATTTCAAATATACATAACATACAAATTGAAATTTCGACCAAAATATTTGCTTTCCTAGTTATATAGATAAATTTAGTGTCAAGATCAACATGGCCATTGTAAAGGTTTTTCTTTTTTGGTTTATGTTCATACTACGAAAAAATGTTACTGATTTTATAGGCCTACTTTTTAATTCTGTTATTGTCTTATTACTCTTAGCCACATTACTTTCATACTAGGGGATATCCCGGGCTACGCCCGGGGATTTTGTGATAAAACTTTTATTTGCTTATGTTAATTATAAAATTTTGTATTTGAACATATAAGTTGTTTACATGTTTTAAAATGTTCATAAGTCAAACTCTAAACTATTAAAAAGTAAATTGTGTTAATGTACTACAACCTTCAGTAATACATAAACAGAGGTCCTCTAGTTGAGAGTTATTATACTCTTAGAGTAAAATAAAAATAAAAAATGGTATGTTCTTACCTGCACATGCTGAAAGCATAACTCTGCAGCCACCAAGAGAAATTTTGAAGATAAATGCCATTAGCTTCACCCACCGTGATAACCTTGAAACAAAAACCTAGGAATTTTTTCACATTCAAATCCTAAAATTCTATGTGAACATACGTTTTGTTTCTTACATGTCTCTCATCCGGTTTTATTTCCTTTTGCTACTCCCTTAAAGTCTTTGTTTCCGTCTTATCACTATTACAATAGTAATTCGCCGTATTATATTATGCATGCCATGTGTATACTTTTACTAATCCCTTAAACTCTTTCATTTGGTTAAGTGGTCTATTTTGTTTTTTGAACTGGAAAGAAATGTTGCTTATGTTCTTGTGCATTTATGATATTGATTTGTTTGGTAATTTTTTTATTTCAGTCAATTTGGTAGCATGGTCTAATCGATGTTGTAAAGTTTACCGAAAATCCTCAATCGATCTATGAGAATGTTGACAAAACGGGGGTGTGACCATAACATTCATAGAAAAAGCTCAAATTCCATGGAACCATAAGAATTAAGAAGTATAGGACTTGGACGACAAAGTAAATAAAAGGCTCAGATTTGAAACTGAGAAGATGTGCGCTTTAAGAGAAACTCACCATACTGGCAATGAGTAAACATCTCACTTTACTATCTAATAACCCAGCATTTTCTATAATTATAAAAATGCATGCCAATGTGCAGTCATGTACTTTTGGATTAATGCTGAGTCCTTGTTGTTCATCCCTAGTTTTTAAAAGAGAACAAATGTAGCTAGGTCCACACAATACATCGGTGTAATCCTTCCTGATCTTTTTTTGTGCGTAAATTATCAACAATATTTCTGTATAGAATGTGTTTGTAGATCATTCTTTTTCCCGTATAGGTACTTTGGAGTTTACTACTCGTATTTGCTTTATTTATTGGATTTGATTGCTTTAACTGTCCATGTTTGTTATAAGTTTGACTGCTGAAGTAAAACTCTGTTTCACTGAATGCGGTGAACCACAACTCCTCGGAGGAGCACTTCCCGCCGGAAACATAGATGGTAATGAATTGCTGGTGCTAGGTCCTGAACCAGATGCACTCCCAGTAACGTTTAAAGGAGCTCCAGCCATTGCATCTTGAAGCAATGATGTAACCTGAGAATAACAGATTAAAGAAAAAAGTAGAAAATAGTTTTGCACTTTAGACTTCAGCTAATGACTCGTCACAATATTACATCTTTACTAAAAAAAAGCTAACAGTCTCTTTCAGAACAAAACTTTGCGTATTCTTAGAGGTCATATAACAAATAAAGATCATAGCTCATAATAGATTTCGTCAGCCAAAATTCTTAGCGGTATTGAAGATTAGAATGAAAGTCTGAAACCAATATGAATCTATCCTGGGCTTAAAAGAAAAATCTGAATCGAATTGCCTGTCGATGAGCTTCCGGGAGTGAAAGTCACTGGTCGAAGAGCTTCTTAGTGATTTCAGGTCTCGATTTTTCAGCACAAACAAAGACATCTTCTGCAGCTGCAACAAATCTGTATCCAGAGAAGCCATGTCTTCATAAACTAAACGAAAAATAAAATCAAACTCTAAAAGACTGTTATAAACCAGAAATATTTTCATCAACCACTCGTATTCCAATTATCACCATTGCAATATTTTCTCTAAAAAAGCGGATTACATAAAATCCATATAAAGAATCATTTAATAATAAATCTTTTATCAGATTTGTATGAACAACATGTATTAGGCATTCTCATGGTTGAGATGAGTATGAAACTTACTCTTCCCAGTTTGAGGCACATATCATAGCTGAATCTGTAATCATAACTACGACAAATGTAGCATTACAAATTGGAATTAGCATAATGAGAGTTTGTTAGCCATCTCTGGTAAGCCTCACAGTCAAATACTAACAAAACATTCGAGAAACCACTGATATCTTGAAAATGCAAAATAGCTGCAAGTTGCCAACTGGAATTAAGCACCATACAATACTCTAAGATCAAAAAATGAACTCTCTTTCAAAAGCAAGAAAGATTACTGAAGCAGCACAACAATATTGATATCTTAAGCCATTGTGATGTTGGTTTGGAGTTTGGAGAGATGTTCAAACTTACAGATTTTCCATCAATCATGTGTTTCTGCATAACGACTCTCTCAGTGTCTCGATACTTCATGATAACCACTTGTAAAACCTCACCATAGTTCTGAAAGTACATAAGAGGAGAATCAACTCCGGATATATAGTAAACCCATCTAATTCAATCATATGAGTTATTTTCTCTAGCTCATCAAACCCTCGAACAATTCAATCTAACTATCACATGAAACATCAAAATGCATATGAGACAAAGAGGATGAATCGAACAAACCTCGTCGGAAACTAATATATATGGAAAAGAAAAGAAGGGTCGTGATCGGAATCCAGAAACCGATCAACCCAAGACCTGGATTTCTGACAAAAGAAGAAGATGAGTCGATCAGAAGCGAAGGGTAAGAGGAAACCCAATGAACAAAAAAAAAAAACAATACCCAGTAAGAGAAGAGTAGAAATAGAGAATGAAATATATGATTCAAAAGAAGCCGCACCAATACCTCGTCGTTGCAGAATTGGCCGTCAATTTTTGTCGAGAAACTGAAAAGTCATCGGTTTGACAAAGGAAGAAGGAGCTTTGGATGCCATCACAAAATTTGGGATTTGGTTTAGGGGGACGATGAGTTGAAAAGTGAAGGTGCGTTTTATAGGATCGGAAAGAGAGGTTTCGAATTGGAAGTGCCATAAAGAGGAAGTATTGAAGATGAGTAAACCCGTTACAGAAAGATAGATGAATCGATTAAGTTTCGGTGTGTTAATGGAAGTGTCGAAGAAGAAGATCACAATATAAGGCCTAAGCTGAAACAATGGGCTAAAAATTATATGGGCTCACAACAAACACGTTTTTGAAACAGAGGCCCGCTTATTTTTCTCTTCTCTCCGCTAGAAGCTGATGACGTGGCAGAACCGGTGCTCTCCGAAACTGTTTTTAAATTTTTTATTTTCTCCGCCACGTGGCATTCAATGGTTGAATCTGTGAGGTGCTCTGAGAGGCCCCAAACAGCTTCTTTAAATTAGTAAAGATATTTTACTACTAAACTACTTAAATAAAATCCCAACTAATTAAGTTTACATAGATGTTTTATGTTTACATAAGTTTTCGGAAGGCGTTTAAATCATTTTAAAAAAAACTAGGGGATTATATAAGAAGATAGAAACAAGAACATTCAAAAAACAAATATGGGAAAAATGGTTTGGTAACATCGGATCAGAAAAATCAGAATAATGGGATGTTTATGTCGTTAGACGAACCTTTTAGAGAAAAAAGTTGATCCTTGATAATACTTTCTCACGGTTAATGAATAAGAGATATTGTAATATTTACTATATGTGGAATTTCGTAAAATTCTGCAAACAATGTGATTTGATCCAACAATAATTCTCGAATTTTGATCCATGTGATTTGTCTCTTTTTCTCAACTAAAACGAAATTTATCTACTGGCGGTTTAATGTGGTCAGCAATGTTTTAACCACTAACAAACATATGACTTTGCCTGCATCTCTAACATTGGTTGTGTCTCTTTTTCCATAACAAAACACTATGATTTTTTTCTTTAGCTATCCAAAAATTGAAATAACTGGTTTAAATCAGAGATTAACCGGTTGTCGTGCTCACAAAAGCAATGGATTCGCAGGCATCTGAAGACTTAAAAACTAGACAATATTTTGAGCAAAAATTAAGAAGTAAAACCAATATGACCATGGGTAATATCCATATGCTCTAAACACTCGGAGTTTTCTCTTATATGTCAAACATTTATATATATGCAAATGCACACAGTAGACGAGGCACACCAAATAAAGGAATGTTGTAATAACGATCACAAGAAAAGTGAAAGACAAAAGCAGAACATATAGTTTCATAAAAATATAAAAAGTAAAACTGTCATTTAGAGGGAAACAAAATAAAAGACACCGATGATGGAGCATTACTGCTGAGGGAATGAAGGCGATGCTGCTTTACAAAGACAAGAGACTCTCGATGTGATTTGGGAAAACCCCTATGCTGTTTATACGGCGCTTAGAAAGTATATAACTGCGTCTAAGCTCTTTAACCATAGTTCCTCCGTCAAACCAGGCAGGTCTAGTAATATGTCTCCTTGGATCAAAATATAGAATATAAAACAATTCATACCACCATCCAGTTGGTGCAAAAATAAGCTCATCGTTATCAGTAATACCCCAAAAATGCATACGACTTGTCCATTCGCTATGACAATCCACATGATAGCGTTTATGTGTCCATTCGTCTCCAGTTTCATCTTTCAAAATATAGAGATCAACATCACCAAAGGGAGTGGTACTATTAACTAAGGCTAGTTTTCCATCATAAGACGACATCGTTCCAGACCAACTACAAGTCTTGGGAAATTTTACCGGAGGATTGAACTTTTCAGATTTGACATCAAAGCTCGTCAAGTATTTCGAAAAGGTTTTATTACCTATTACAACACTAGCTGCATAATACACAACACCATTGATGCATCGCCCGTCTCCTCCACTTGGGTAATGCATAGGGTAACTTTCGGTTATTCTCCATGATTCTTGAGCTCCCAACGTAAGAACCTGCGGCGGTTCGAAATGTTTGTCACGTAATACGGACAATACTTTATGTTTATCCTCCAACGGATCGTATCCAAGATACCACATATAAACATTGCCTGGCACGTAATCTTTGGGATCTGGTAAGGTAAAGAACCGTCTCAAGCTCGGGTTCCAAATTTTGTTTCCGTTTAACAAAATCAAGCCATGGACGCTCTCGGATATCGTAGAGGTCCGATTAAAACATTCATGTTCTCTCTTGTATTTTTCGTTTAAACAAGGGTCTGTTATCTGATAACTGTACAAGGGAGGACAAGACCCGTCAGGATTGTGGTGTTGAGGAAACGAGAAAACAAATCGCTTCCTTTCTTCTAATACAAAGGAGAGAAGAAGACGCGGTTGCCGTGCAGAGGATCGAGATCCGAACAAGTCGATAAAACTTGGGAGTGTGGTTAAAGAAGACCAGTTCTTTGACACACATCTATATCTCACAAGCGATTTCGCAGGTAGTCTAGAGAGTATCTCCAAAGTTAGATCAAAAGGAAGATAGTCTAGTTGAAAATGTTGAGATCTCTCATCATCATCATCATGTGTTGCCATCTTGATCTCTCCTGTCTTCTCCTCCTGTTCTTTATCCACCCGAGATCCGAACGAGTTGATAAAACTTGGTAGTGTGGTTAAATAAGACCAGATCTTTGACACACAGTTATATCTCACAAGCGATGTTGCATCATGTTTTGAGAGTACCTCCAAGGTTAGATCAACAGGAATATGGTCTAGTTTAGAATCTTGAGATCCGTCATCATCATGTGTTGATCTCTGGATCTCTCCTGTCTTCTTCTCATGTTCTTCATCCATGGCCGATTGCTCAATAATACTTTTGTTGATTAAAACTCCAATTCTTGCTTGTATTTATATTCACCTTTGCAATGTTTAACTAAAACTTTATTTTAGACGTGGTCAATATGGACACGATACGTGGCATACTTGTTAGTTATCTCATTTTTGTTGTTGTTATTTTAGATTATGAATTTATGATATATGTCAATATCAATATATTATTACATAGATTATCTTTGAATTAAGATCCAAAAGAAGAAAAAAATAACAAAAAAGTAGTGTGTATACTGAGGAAAATTTATATCTGTTTTTCAAAGTTCAATACCAGCAAATTTAATTTATATACACCAAATCCATAGTCTTTGACTCATTGGATAGTTTTTTCACTTTTTGCTAAGTTAATTTGTTTTTTTAAATAAGTTGTTGACATGCCACTCATATAAATACTTGCTTCCCCTCCTCATTTCCGTCCCGGGACCCATAAATCCCCAACCCGACCCGTTTGGATCCACCCGAAATCACCCAGAGGTGATGGATCGCCCCAGCTTCGTTATCCGTCCGGAAGAAGCAGAATCCGCCGCGGAAAAACTCGGCGTCTCCGTGCTTCAGCTCCTTCCTTTGCTGGTCGATCCGGCGAAACCCCTCGCTCGGCCTCCAATCTCCAAATTCCACGTCGTAGCAGTCGGACTCGGATCATCGGGTCGGATCTTCGTAGGCGTCAATGTCGAATTCCCAGGTCTCCCTCTCCACCACTCCATCCACGCCGAGCAGTTCCTCGTCACCAACCTCACTCTCAACTCCGAGAGACACCTCCGTTACGTTTCCGTCTCCGCCGCTCCTTGTGGCCATTGCCGCCAATTCCTTCAGGAAATCCGCGACGCCCCTGAAATCAGGATCCTAATCACAGATCCAAACGCCTTCCGCGACGCCGCCGATGAGGAAAACGAAGGAGACGGAGACGGAAACGGATTCGTACGCCTGGAGAGCATCTTGCCGCACAGATTCGGACCAGACAATCTCCTCGAGAAAGACATCCCTCTCCTTCTCGAGCCGCACGATAACCGTCTCACTCTCTCAGATCCCGATATCCCAAACGGCGGTCACACAGATTCCGATACTTATCCCAACCTGAAGCTCACAGCTCTATCGGCGGCGAACAGGTCGTATTCGCCGTATAGTCGGTGTCCGTCGGGAGTGGCGCTGGTGGATTGCGAAGGGAAAGTGTACAGAGGATGGTACATGGAATCAGCTGCGTATAATCCTAGTATGGGACCAGTGCAAGCTGCGCTGGTTGATTTCGTGGCTAATGGCGGCGGCGGAGGGTTCGAGAGGATCGTCGGAGCTGTGCTGGTGGAGAAGGAAGATGCGGTGGTGCGTCAGGAGCACACGGCGAGGATGCTTTTACAGGTTATATCCCCGAGATGCGATTTGAAGGTCTGCCATTGCTATTGATATCACTGTAAGAAGCAAAAGGCTTGATCTTTACTCACACGTCATAAGCTTTCAATTGGCAATACAGTTAGAAAGTTGATTCATATTTCTTCGATGATGATGAAAAAATTCCCAAAGATGAATAAATTAGTGACAAGTGGTATCAACCAGAAGGTGGAATCACACACTTGTCTTCGTTAATGTATTGGCCTCTTGGTATTGGGATTTGGGGATAATGATTTAGTACTATACTCATTTACGTATACAAAACCTTCAATTCATTCACATTGGTTCAGTTTTGTTTCTTCTCAAGTTTACAGTTTTTTTTCTGGATAAGATATGATAAAGTTGTCGTTTTTATCAGCAAAACCCATTTGATTTGGTGGGATATGAATTTATGAATCTCCACTGTTGAGTAAACAAGATATGTGGTCCACAGAAAAAAGTGTCAGAATTTGAAAAGAGTAAAAAAGTTCTGAATATCATTCCAGAAATTTTGATTGTAGCAACTAAAGACTGCTTTAAGTGTTAAGTCCTTTGCTCTAAGCTAAACCATTAAAAAACTCACGAATTGCGATATTACAATGTGTATTACTGCAAAATTTCCATAGCGAATACTGAATAGATGCCTAAAGATTAACTGGGCCGTTGGGTTTTGCTTAAAAGAGCTGAAAGGTCGAGACTTGGGTGAGAACGTACGTCTCTGTTCTGTTCACGTCATTGTAGGCTTGCCATAGTTTCCCAACACAGCAAAGTGCCATTGCCATGTGTATGGCATTAAGGTCTCAGACTTGTATCAGTACATGAAGATACACCTAAGTTTTGCTAGAGTATCATGTTGATGTTACTGTACAGGTTCTGCTTTGTTCCGTAATGGCTACGTAGACAAATGCAGGAAACTAAAATCGAAACTACTCTGTTTCATTTGCTAAGAGGAAGAAGGAAGCGACGAAGATGCTCCTGTCGTTATCACCTTCTCTTCATCATCATCCAAAACGAACAACGCCTCTGTGTTCCTACACATGCCATGAAGCAGAACAACGGGCAAACCAGCCAAAACCCCGATCAGAATGCCACGGGATGTGTCGGTTAACAGAAATATACAGATCGTGAGGACTATCAGAACCAGCACCATAGCAGAATCATCGATGACACTGCCAAATATCAGCAGCGGTTCGTTATCCCGGGAGTAGACATATAGCCATGCGATTATCAAGATAAAGACGACGAAAAGGTGGAACGGTTGCCAGAGAAAGCTGATGAAGATAGCAACAATGAAGATGACAATATAGTTGCTTCGGAAGATCGTGATGTTGGTTTTGATTCGTTCGGTGGCAACATTGAATGAGACAGGAAGGCTAAAGGCACTACATTGAACAAGTTCAAGCCATGGCCTTTGAGAGCTAAGGCCTAATGAAATCAACTCTTTGGCTCGTCCCAATACGCTCACATTCGACGAGGCATTTGCTTGGGATGGTATAGTGCCATATGTTGTCATATTCAAGCGAAAAACAGAGCAAAAACAGAGAACAGAAAAAGAATGTGAAGGAACCTAATTTGAAGAGATAAATCTGTGTCGGTTGCAATGTTTCTGAGGTTGCTAGTTCGTTTCTCTTATTTGGGAATGATTTATTTCAGGACAAAAGAAGAGGCATTCCTTGAGCTCCTGTCAGTTACAATGTACTAATAATGGAAATGAGAGAGATTCAAAAGATCAATGGATACCCTTAAATTTCTCGTAGCAAAACCTTAATGCTATAACGAGACTGTCATTACATGTAACTTTTTTGCATGGGTCACTAGACCTTATTGTTTACAACGACAAACAACTAGGCAGCTTAAATCCACAGCAAGCTAGACGACATTGGAATGCTCCAAGGTAAGGACACGAACATACTACAGAACACAAGCTTGTTTGATATATGGTATTCTAGGAGAACCAGTATAAATCCATTTAAGGGTTTGCATCAATGTAGGAGATTTATCCTTGAGCATAGTCTCTGACTCTCTGATAGCCTAATGGTTACCTTCACTGGCTACTGCTAGCATCGGAAGCAATAGCCTCACCACGATAAACCCTCCATGGTCCTCTATAGAATACTGGCTTCATCAGAGGCACCGTCTTCCCTGGATGTTCTTCCCAAAATTTCTCCTGTTTATAGAGTGGAGAGTAACATCAGTTTACAGCAAAACAAGAAGAAGAACTTATTCTAGTAATTGATTCATATTAAACTGAGTAAGAAACCGTAAAGAACCATGGATAAAGACTTTCATTTGGTTCAAGCTCTGGTATATTGCTCCGATGAAGAACAATGCAAAGTATAGTTTTTTCTCTTGAACACGAAATGCTTTATCAGTAATCAACAATCCTCAATTCCCAAAATCTCAATTAATAAACACACTCCAGAAAGTTTCGAATTTTCAGATCATCAAATGGAGATGAATCTCATTTCGGACCCTAACATTGCCAATCACAAGAATCAGGTAAGAGCCCACAAAATCTTATACCAATTCCGAGCCGAATCGATGAATGCTACGAAGCTTACCTTGTAAATCTGCTCAGTAACTGCAGCGCCGACGACGCCGGTGTAAAAGGCGGCGACGTAGATAGTAATCAGAGTTGTAAAGGTTTTTGGTCGGCGGTAAGGTTCGATCATTTCCCAGACAGCAAACCTCTCGAACTTGTTGTACTTATAATCGGCGTATTTCCTCCATATCTGGCTCCACACTCCTTGCATCTCTGAGCTCTCTCTCCCTTCTCAACGTTCGCCGAATTTTTGATTTGTTGTTTTCCCGGCGGCGCGTGGAATCTGAGCAAATCCGGAAACAGGCAAAGACTCAAAGAGTTTAAAGTTAAAACGTTAATTGTTTACAAAACAGTCCTCATATTCCTATAAGTTTTAAACTTTTAAGCCTTGGCTCTTATCTTTAGTCTTTAGAACCGCTAGAGTCTTGACTCTTGATCTAGTTAGTAATCTATAATTCCTGTAATCATTGTGTTATCACTATTTTGCATTAGATTAATTGAGCAATTTAGAAATTCACTCCAAAATTATGCAATAGAGCCTATGTAACTTCATACATGCATCATACACTTCATACACCAATACCAGTAGTAACAACACATATGGAATTGCCTATTGGCAAAAGAATCATAACATGCTTCAAGAAGTATTCTTTTATACCAAAACAAAACGGAGATATACAGAATTTTAAGCTCAGTGTATGTGCTTGAGCAACCAGAGATTGATGCAGTTAAAAATCTAAAAGTCTGGAACTTCAACTTGATCCAGCTGCATTCCTCTGCCCGGACAAAGATTCCAACCCTTCAGGTCCCTTGGCTGGACCGATGCTGCAACGATCGGTGTTGTGCAGTCTGATCGCATCTTTTATCTTCTGAAACTGAAACAAGAAACAGAATGTCAAATTAGTAATCAGAGACAGAACAGATGCATTCAAGAGCAGCTTCTTTACCTTAGCAAGAGAACAGGAGAAGGACTCAAGCTGGCCATCAGCTCCACGGTAAAAGTGAAAATAAGGAAGGACTCTCACGTTCAAACTCTTGCACATTGGTTTATTCTCATCGAAATTTACTTTGAGGAACAATATATTCGGATTTTCCACTGCTGTTTTGCAAAGCTGAAATGATTTTTTCAACCAAGACAACAAATAATCTTAAATGATCTTATCAAATGAGCCTAGTAACGGATAAGTCACAGAGGTAAGTAACATGATCACTAACCTTTGGGAACAATGCTCTGCAAGAAGCACACCAAGTTCCATAAAACTCTACAATGACTAATCTTTCGCCTGCTTCGCTTAAAGCCTTCAAGAATTCTTCAGTAGAATGAATGTCGATCATGTTTGGTCCTGCATTCCTCTCCCACCATTTCGGTGGCTCTGTCTCCGCCACTGTCTCATCTACCTAAAACCAACAAACAAACATCACAAACATAAACGGTGGCGTAAAGCATCATCCTTTAATTCGAATTTCATCCAAAGAGCATCACCTCTCTATAGGAAAAACTGAAACTTTATACTAATTTGTAATTACTAATCATTTGAAGTAATTACTATATCAATGAGATTCAATAACAGCTAAAGAACAAAACTTGGATTCTAACAAACTGCTCTGGTTCACGTTTTGAAGCACTAGCTAAAGGCTAAGGACAGTTAAAAATCATAATTTGAAAATCAGGAAATCAGAAATCGGCTAAAGAGTCAATCAAAATTCTAAAGGGTATTCGAATTACGGACAGAGACTGCGAAAAGACAAGACATTTTCTTCTAACCTTGACGCGAACCACCTGGCTCTTGTGTCGTCTAGCAGGGCTTTGGCTTCCGAGACAAGATGGGTAATGTGAAGACGAGCACGAGGGAGAAGAGGAGAGCAGACGCAATCTCTTGTCGGAATTCAGATTGGAATTAGGAGGTAAGCAAGGTTGCAGAGAGTTGAGAGTCGTGGCAAAGGAGGTGAAGGACGAAGAGACGCGAAGGGATTGAAAAGACGAAACCGATAATCTCACAGCTCCAGCCATCTAAACAGAGAAGAGACTGAGATTGTTCCTCGCTGTGTCTTCTCCGAGAGAGATCCTCCAGGGAAGAGAGATTCTCTAAGAAGATCAGAAACTGACTGGTTCAGATTCCAGTGATGATATTTTCTCTCATCATGTGTGTGTCCAACTATACACAGACGCGATTTGAGCAGAAAATTGGCGTTTTGACCGCCGTCATCCACTTGGCGTTTTGCTGCTGCGTTAACGTTGAAAAAGTGTAAACGCGGCTTGTTTCTCCGTAGAATCGTGGTTTAACGGGGAACGCAGAACAGTAGTGTATACACAAAAAGCTTACGAATTAAATGCCATTTGTACATTTATTTGTTGTTGTTTGGTCCACAAGTTGAATGGTTGTATACAATTATACAACCAAAAAATATCTAAAGAAAAATACACCAACTAAAATACATCTACAGTTTAGATATGCTCGTTTTCTTTGTTTTTTTTTACTCAACCATATTTGATACTAACTTGAGAACATGCATAAAGTTTCTCCCTTTCAGCAGTTGGTCCAAAGAAGAATATTACAATCTAAAATAACATAGTAAGCTGAGAAAGAAGATGTTTTGTTGCCATAAAGAACTGCTTGCTGCAAATCGCACGAAAACAACATACAGATCAAAACGCATAAAAAGTCTAACATCTCAAACTACATTTTTGTTTCCGTAACCGATTTAAAGGGCTGCCTTTTATAAGCAGAAGAATAAACATAGTAACATACCCTCTACTCTGTTACGCGCGTGGCAATAAAACCTTAGAAGCAAACTCATCAGAACCATTGTTTGGAGCAGCCTTAAGCCCAAGAATCGAACTGATCACATTGTATATCTCAACATTCTCAAAAGAAGCCACTTTCTTCCCCTCCAAGAACATAGGACCATACCCTATAAATATAGTCCTCATCGAAAAGAAAGCATTATCATACCCATGAGCTCCACCACACTCTTTAGCCTCACTCTTCTTCTGCTCCACCTTAAAACCCTCATCAACCAATCCTATAATAGGAGGGATCCGATCATTCTCCACGTAATGCAGCCTGCTAGGCAAATCCTCTTTGAGATAAACCTTCAAGTACTTGCCATTCTCTACTTCACCGGAGCTCAAGGCTTCGTTCATCTTCGCCACAATCTCCGCCGCGTTTCGATCCGAATGCGGTTTAATCGCTAGCAAAGGAGTGTAGTACTGAACCCAGCTGCTTGGTATTCGATCCAAGAAGCTAAATCATCAAGAACAACGACTTTCTAATCACAAGTTCCAACCATTCCATGATCACCAACCATAATCACAGTCACATCCTCAAAATCCCTCTTTTCTCTAACCCATCGATGATTCTTCCTATCAACCTATCGATGTTGACAACAGCTTCCGTGATCTGAGGATCGTCAGGACCAACTTGGTGACCTTGGTGATCAGGGTCTTCGAAGTAAAGCGTCATGAAGCTAGGGATCTCGTTACTAGGCAAATCGAAGTAGCTTAAGATTGTATCAACTCTGTCATCAAAAGGAACAGAGCCGTTGTAGATTTGGCAAAAGCCTTTAGGGCAATTCCAAGAGCCTTTGTGTACCTCAGAGCCAGGCCAGAAGTAAGTAGCGGCTTTGAGACCTTGGTTCACTACCGTCTCCCACAATGGCTCACCTAACCACCATTTTGGTTCGTGGCTAGACATTGTGAAGACTTCCCCTGTTTCTGGATCGATGAATCTGTTGTTGATGATTCCGTGGTAAGCTGGGTAGAGACCTGTGACGATTGAGTAGTGGTTTGGGAATGTGAGTGTGGGGAAGACTGGGATTAGACCTGTTTCGGCTTCGGTTCCGTTGGCGATTAAGCGGTGGATGTTTGGGAGTTTGGACTTGAATTGGTACCCGAAGCGAAACCCATCGGAGGAGATCAGGAGGACGACGGGCTTGTCGAGTTTCTTGAGTGGGCGAGCTATGGATCTGTGGAAAGATGGAGACTTTGAGACTTGGGTTAGGGAAAGGTCGGGTTTTTGGGAAGAGAAGAAGAGGAAGGCGAAAGCGGAAGCGGCGGAGAGAGCGATGCAGGTGACGATGAGGAGAGATGTGAAGATGAAGCAGCTTGAGATGGAGTTGGTGGAAGAATCGGATTCGGATTCGGAGGAATCTGTGTTGTTGTTGTTGTCGAGAAGTGCGATTGATTGGCTTGGTGGGTTTTGGTCTTCTTCTGGTGTATTGGCTTTGGGCTTCTTCGCTGATAATGTGTCGCCGGAGATCATTGCTTCTCTCTTCTCCGTAGCTGATTTGGTTGGTGTTTGTCTCAACTCTCAGAAAGTTGCAGACTTTGATCAGAGTTTTTGATTAATTTAAGGTCAGAGACCACGATTTCGCGAGTTGCTTTAGCTTCTTGGACTCGGTAGGCTTTGGAGTGACTTTCACATTCCGATCGAGATTCTTATGGACGCTTGTGAATCTGCCACGTTTCCAGGTCAAAAAGTCAAAAGCTGAGAGAATGAAAGAGAGACACCAACTGAAGTGGAGTTCTCTTGGTTCCTCTACGCTGTCGTTTCGTACTCCACTTCAGACAAAAGTCGGGTCTTTTTGTTTCGTTTTCCGGTGAGACAAAGAAGTCGGCGTCTCTCGACTCATTGGTGTATGTATCTTCTGCGGTAGTGCATAAAATTGATGTAATGGATATTCTCTATATGTGAATGCCATAAAGCTTCATGATCCTCAAGGAATTGTAAATGTTAATCCAGGATCCTCTTGCTTCAAAATCGAGTATAAATTTTGCCAATTAGGTATTGTAACTGGTCTGATTATGTCTAAGCTCCCTATGTGTGTTATCTATAAACTAAGCTCCTGCATGCGGTGTTGACAAAGATCAAACAGAAAAATAAAAAGAAGAATTGATAGAAGTATTCGGAATGAAAATATTCAATTTTATCAATTTGTTTTGTAATTTTGTAGCTATAAGGAGTAGATTTTAATATCGATTAGCACTGATTGACATCGATAACAGCAAAAAGAAAATGGATCATGTGATTAGATTCTATGCGGTATAATATTCAAAATTTCAAATTGTTCATATTTTTCTTTGATACACTTAGAATTAACACACCACACTTTTCACGTTAGTGTTAATTACTACGACTTGTTAAGCTCTATAATATTTTAGGACAACATGCTGGCTCGTGTATTATAAAATGTTGGTTGTACAGCTAACTTTAATTTTGAAAGTTCCAATGTATCAATGGAAATATCTTCACAAGTGGTTAGAACATGTCTAGTTTTATATTGACAGAAAATATAAAATATTCGTCGATATACTAAAGAGATCCGATCAGAAGACTGGAGTATGTATATCTCATTGCCACTGGTAAATAATACCAATGCATTTAGGAACTATGGATACAACTAACTTTCACCCAAAAAAACATTCAGGAACTATGTTAACCAATGATGTTTATGTTGATGTCATACAGCTCAAATTCAAATTGATTTCAGTTCTTATGAAAAAAAATGAAAAATTGAAACAGTTTAGGCTCTTCTCTTACTCATCGGTCGATACACTGGATTTTTAGAAATAAAACAGTAGAATGCATCGGAAAGTAAGAACCCCTAATTAACAGTTTCTGCTGAAACAAACTTCAAAGACCAACACACACTCAAGGTTATTACCTACTTAGCTTCATTCTACTTGCGCTGTTTCTCCGACGGGCACGAGAAGGCTACGAGTAAACAAAGAGGAGCCATTGTTCGGAGCTGGTCGGAGTCCAAGAATCTCTGCAATGACATTGTAGACCTCAACATTCTCGAACGACGGCACTTTCCGTCCTCTCTTAAACCTAGGACCATGTCCGATAAAGATAGATCTCATGGAGAAGAATAAGTTGTCATATCCATGATCTCCATAACACTCTTGCTTGTTTGTTCTGTTCTGTCTAACCAAGAGACCTTCTCCGACCATTCCTATAATCGGCGGAATCCGAGAACTATCGGAATAATGCAGCCTTTCCGGTAACTTCTCCTTCAAGTAAACCTGCAAAAACTCTCCGTTCTCTACTTTCCCTGAGCTCAAAGCTTCATTCATCTTCGCCACAACTTCCGCGTTCTTCTCTCCCGGATTCTTGACATCTTTGCCCCACCTCGGATTCATTACTAGCACAGGACTGTAATCTTGAATCCAATCCGCAGGTATCTTGATCCAATCCGCTAAATCATCAATGTAAATTACTTTCTTGTCACAGTTAGTAACCATTCCGTGATCACCAAGCAATATCACATGAACATCACCAAACACCTTCCTCTTCTTTAGCCCTTTGAGGACCCTACCAATCATTTGGTCGATCTTCGCGACAGCTATAGTGACCCGAGGATCATCGGGGCCATATCTATGGCCCTGTATGTCCGTTTCATCCAGATACAACGCCATGAAATCCGGGATATCACTCTGAGGAAGATCGAAGTAGCTCAAGATCGTATCGACTCTTTCTTCGAGAGTGACCGAAACATTGTAAGGAGATTTACAAAATCCTTTAGGGCAGGTCCAAGAACCTTTGTGGACGTCAGCTCCTGGCCAGAAGTAAGTAGCAGCCTTGAGCCCTTGGTTCACTGCGGTCGCCCACAACGGTTCACCTAACCACCATTTCGGGTCTAGGTTTCTGTTGAAAAGTTCTCCGGTTGTGGGATCTGTGAACTTGTTCATGATTATACCGTGGGAAGCCGGGTAGAGTCCGGTGGCGATTGAGTTGTGGTTTGGGAACGTCATGCTGGGGAAAACCGGGATCAAACCGGTCTTAGCTTCGGTTCCTCTGGATATGAGGAGATCGATGTTTGGTGTCTCCGTCTTGAACTGGTAACCGAACCGGAAACCGTCGCTGGAAATCAACAAAACCACCGGTTTGGTGAGCTTCTTGGAGGGTTGGGGTCTCCGGGTGTATGATGACGGAAAGTTCGAATCATCGGCGGTGACGGCTACGACGAGGACGACAAGAGAAAGAAGGGCTAGAGATAACTTGCAAAATGGGTAACCGGTAAAACCGGACCGGCCAGGGTTAGTTTTTGCCATTGAAAGAGAAAGTTTTGATGGTGGTTGAGATCAACGACGTTCATGTTCTTTATAGAGCGGGACATTTCCTTTTCTTTTCTTTTTTTCGGTATGTTAATATAAATTTCATCTAGAAAGAAATGTTATCAGCTTTTTAATTTTTTATGTTTTCAACTACCTTTCTTTATCAAACTCCATACATTTTTTAGTAAAACTCTTTTGAATTAGTGACTCAACAGTCCATCGAATTATCTCTAGGGACAACAAATTTTTTCCCGCAATTTTTTAAAGCCTAAACACGAGTCTCGATGCATACTTAGGGGATAGCTGAAAATAGGGTCGACTCGAGATTGGGAATTTTATTATAAAGAAAAACACTGTCGGCAGGGATTTTTGAAATGCTAGAATAAAAATAAGTGTGTATTCTTAACGTTCGATTTGAGTGATGATGTCTGGTTGATTAATACGTTCAACAAAAAAATGATAAGATCAGTAAAGGTGTTCTTGGTTACACCGTGATAACCCCAGTAAAGTCTGGTTGCGATATAGTAGTGATTTAAGAATGTCATGGTGGGAAACCTGGATTATATTTACTGTGTGGCTGTCTTTTACTTTTTAAAAATGGATGGTAAAGTTGTAAAAGCTCGATATTTTATTAATGGTATTTGCAAAATGACAAAAAAGAAAAAGAAAAATAAACACCAATTCTGAGTCGATGCGATCTAGTCACATGGTAGGGAGATTTTCTTAAGATCCCTTTTAACATGTGTGATATATATATATATATATATATATATATATATATATATATATATATATACTAGAACAGTTTATTACATAAAAGGATTCATACAGCTAATTTTTTTAGTTTTATAAGTTTCAAAGTGTCATCGGAAATATTGTCAGAAGTTCGAATTAAAGTGGCCAGAAAATGGCCAAAAAATTGAAATAAAATACTCTGTGGATATGTACTAGTACTAGGATCGAGATCCAATAAATGAAAGATATTCGAGGACATGTGCATGTATCTCATTCATTCGTAATACTAACATAGCAAAGCGTTTAGGGACGACGTTACAAGTCAACTTTAGATATACAAAGTGTGTAGATACTCAATCTGATTTTCAGTATGATTCAATTTACTTATGAAATACTAAACCCAATATGAAACAACATCTTAAGTTCTTTAACAATGTGTATGTTAAATTTAAAAACACTAAAAGAAAAAATTCTCGATCAACAATATATGATAGTAAAATCGAATAATTTGAAACTTATTCATTCGCGGATACATTTAACTGCATCAGAAACAAGAAGCAGTGGGTGAAATAAACTTCAAAAAAACAGTTTAGGAAAGAAGAAACTTCAAAGACGGAACACGCTAAATTAGGTTACAATTTAGCTTTCACTTTCATTCTACTTGCGCTGTCTCTCCAAAAGGCAAGAGAATGCTCCTAGTGAACAAAGAAGAGCCATTGTTCGGAGCTGGTTGGAGTCCGAGAATCTCAGCAACGATATTGTAGACCTGAACATTCTCGAACGATGGTACTTTCTTTCCTTTCCTAAACCTAGGACCATGTCCGATAAAGATAGTTCTCATGGAGAAGAACATGTTGTCGTATCCATGATTTCCGAAACATTCTTGAGCGTTTGTTCGGTTCTGTTTAAACATTAGACCTTCGCCAACCATTCCGATGATCGGCGGAATCCGAGTACTCTCGGAATAATGTAGCCTTTCCGGTAACTTCTCCTTCAAGTAAACTTGCAAAAACTCTCCGTTCTCTACTTTCCCTGAGCTCAAAGCTTCATTCATCTTCGCCACGAGATCCGCGTTCTTCTCGCCTGGATTCTCCACATCTTTGCCCCACCTTGGATTCATGGCTAGCACCGGGAAATAAGCTTGGATCCAATCTGCGGGTATCTTGACCCAATCCGCTAAATCATCAATGTAAATCACTTTCTTGTCACAGTTAGTAACCATTCCGTGATCACCAAGCAATATCACATGAACGTCACCAAACACCTTCCTCTTCTTCAAACCCTGGATGAGCCTACCAATCATTTTGTCTATCTTCGCGACGGCTAGTGTAATACGAGGATCATCGGGGCCATATTGATGGGCCTGTTTGTCCGGTTCGTCGAAATACAGCGTCATGAAATCCGGGATATCACTCTCGGGAAGATCAAAATAGCTCAAGATCGTATCAACTCTTTCTTCGAGAGGAAACGAGGCATTGAAAGGTGCTTTACAAAATCCTTTTGGGCAAGTCCAAGAGCCTTTGGGGACTTCAGAGCCTGGCCAAAACATAGTCGCAGCTTTGAGCCCTTGGTTCATTACGGTTTCCCACAACGGCTCACCTAACCACCATTTCGGGCTTAGGTTTAGGTTGAAGTATTCCCCGGTTACCGGATCTGTAAATTTGTTCATGATGATACCGTGGTAAGCCGGGTAGAGTCCGGTGGCGATAGAGTAATGGTTTGGGAACGTCATGGTGGGGAAAACCGGGATTAAACCAGTCTTAGCTTCGGTTCCTCTGGATATGAGCAGATCCATGTTTGGTGTCTCCGTCTTGAACTGGTAACCGAACCGAAAACCGTCGGTGGAAATCAACAAAACCACCGGTTTGTTGAGCTTCTTGGAGGGGTGGTGGGATTTCCTTGTGTTGGACGACGGGAAGTTCAAATCATCGGCAGTGACGGCAACGACGAGGCCTACTAGAAAAAGAAGGGCTAGAGATAATTTGGACAAGGGGTAACCAAGAAAACTGGACCGGCCAAGTTTACTGTTCGCCATTGAGAGTGAGAAAGTTCTGATGGTGGTTGAGCTTAACAGTCAACAAGTTCATGTTATGTATAGAGCGGGAAATTATTTAACTAGTTAATTATTTAAATCTATGCAATTGTATATTATCTGTTCTTGTTGCCAGCACACAGCACAGGTTATAGTTTCTTTTATCGAATTATTAATCAGAGTACGATTTAATGATTCAATCGTGCAAAGTCGTTGGATATTTTTGCTCTCACGTTTTTCAGAAGCCACTCACGAATCCCGATACTTGTTCTTAGTGATAATCCAGGGGACTAATTAGTTTAACTTGATAGAAGGTTGGACAGGTGCTCCCTCGGTTTTCTATAGTTAACTAAAATTAAGAATACTAGGTTTGAAGCCCCGCGCAAGCGCGGGGTTGTTTGCGATAGTTTTTCTGTTTAATTTTATTTATACTCGTTGATTTGAATTATGATGGTTTTGTGTTAACTTTCATGTTTTTGTTATGTTTTGAGTTAACTCAACCACTAACACTAAAAAAAATATGAATAATTTATTTTTTATTTTAATTTATTAGGATATTAACACCCGCTTTATCTCGAGTTTTCTATTTTAAAATTTATCATGTTATAAATATTATGTTTGTTTACTTTTTTTACTTATATTAGACTGTAAACATGTATATATATTTGATTGAAGGTTAAAATTTATAAATATGTATATGCATTTGACTGAAGGTTAAAATTTGTAAACATATTCTTGTTTTCACTACAATTAAATTTACATATAAAACTCATTTCTATTTGTTTAGAAAAACAAACTCTAACTCTAATGTTTCATTAGCTTTCTATTATCTTAATTAATTTATATTCAACTTTTTAACTTGTAAACACATTATAACATTTTTAAATAGGATAATCCTTTGAATAAAAAGGTAAATATATACTATTTGAAGTTAAATATTTCTTTACTCCATCTCTATTTTATATTCCAACTTTTTGATAACTTTTAACATCAAATTATCACATACTTTCTATTAATTAATTAATTTATTTGTATATTTTTATTAAATATGAATAAATGTAAAGAAATATGAATAGTCATATATTTAATAAATATTTTAAATACAATTTAATGTTTTTGTGCTGATGTGGACACTCTAGATGGAGAGAGCAACTCCCTAATTATATATAAGACTAGGTTTGAAGCCCCGCGCAAGCGCGGGGTTGTTTGCGATAGTTTTTCTGTTTAATTTTATTTATACTCGTTGATTTGAATTATGATGGTTTTGTGTTAACTTTCATGTTTTTGTTATGTTTTGAGTTAACTCAACCACTAACACTAAAAAATATGAATAATTTTTTTTTATTTTAATTTATTAGGATATTAACACCCGCTTTATCTCGAGTTTTCTATTTTAAAATTTATCATGTTATAAATATTATGTTTGTTTACTTTTTTTTACTTCTATTAGACTGTAAACATGTATATATATTTGATTGAAGGTTAAAATTTATAAATATGTATATGCATTTGACTGAAGGTTAAAATTTGTAAACATATTCTTGTTTTTCACTATAATTAAATTTACATATAAAACTTCATTTCTATTTGTTTAGAAAAACAAACTCTAACTCTAGTTTTTCATTAGCTTTCTATTATCTTAATTAATTTATATTCAACTTTTTAACTTGTAAACACATTATAACATTTTTAAATAGGATAATCCTTTGAATAAAAAGGTAAATATATACTATTTGAAGTTAAATATTTCTTTACTCCATCTCTATTTTATATTCCAACTTTTTGATAACTTTTAACATCAAATTATCACATACTTTCTATTAATTAATTAATTTATTTGTGTATTTTTATTAAATATGAATAAATGTAAAGAAATATGAATAGTCATATATTTAATAAATATTTTAAATACAATTTAAGTTTTTGTGCTGATGTGGACACTCTAGATGGAGAGAGCAACTCCCTAATTATATATAAGATATTTTTTTGTAAAATATATTTTACCATGTTAAACATTTATCAAACTTTTACTGGCCAATTTTTTACTATTTATAGAAAGAACTCCGACCAATCCGTTTTCAACCGTTAGGGTTGAGTAAAACTAGTACTAATATAGCTAGACAACTAATATGAAACAGAGTACTTGAGAACTGTTTTAGCATTTTTCCGATGATTTATGTACGTATATTAGATGGCGATACATTAACTCTCTTATTTATTTAAAGATTAAAAAGGAAAAAAAAAACACATTACCGGCCAGAAACACATATTATTCATTTTATCAGCATATTGATTATTCATGAGTTTCTAGCTTCATTCTACTTCCCCTGTTGTTCCAAAGGGCGAGAGAATGTTCCTAGTGAACAAAGAAGAACCATTGTTCGAAGCTGGTCGGAGTCCAAGAATCTCTGCAACAACATTGTAGATCTGAACATTCTCGAACGACGGCACTTTCTTCCCACTCCTAAACCTAGGTCCATGTCCGACAAAGATAGATCTCATGGAGAAGTACTTGTTGTCGTATCCATGATCTCCGTAACATTCGTGAACGCCTGTTCTGTTCTGTCTAACCACTAGACCCTCTCCGACCATTCCTATAATCGGCGCAATACGAGAACTCTCTGAATAATGCAGCCTTTCCGGTAACTTCTCCTTCAAGTAAACCTGCAAAAGCTCTCCGTTCTCTACTTTCCCTGAGCTCAAAGCTTCGTTCATCTTCGCCACGACTTCCGCGTTCTTCTCTCCCGGATTCTCCACATCGTCGCCCCACTTCGGATTTATTGCTAGTACCGGGCTATAAGCGTAGATCCAATCCGCGGGAATCTTGATCCAGTCTGCTAAATCCTCAATGTAAATTGTCTTCAAGTCACAATTAGTAACCATTCCGTGATCACCAAGCAATATGATATGAACCTCATCGAAGATCTCCCTCTTCTTCAGCCCCTCAATGACCCTACCGATCATTGTGTCTACCTTCGAGACCGCAGCCGTGACCCGAGGATCATCGGGGCCATAGTCATGGCCTTCCTTGTCCGGTTCATCGAAATAGAGCATCAAGAAATCCGGGATTTCGCTCACGGGAAGATCGAAATAGCTCAAGACTGTATCGACCCTTTCATGTAAAGGAACCGAAAGATTGAAATGTGGACAATATTCTTTAGGGCAAGTCCAAGAATCTTTGGGAACTTCAGAGCCTGGCCAAAAGTAAGTCACAGCCTTGCGACCTTGGTTTGCTGCGGTTACCCACAACGGCTCACCTAACCACCATTTCGGGTCTAGGCCTTTGTTGAACTTATCTCCGGTTACCGGATCAGTAAACGAGTTCATGATTATACCGTGGTAAGCCGGGTAGAGTCCGGTAGCGATAGAGTAGTGGTTTGGGAATGTCATGGTGGGGAAGACCGGGATTAGACCGGATTTGGCTTCGGTCCCTTCCGATATGAGAAGGTCGATGTTTGGTGTGTCGGTTTTGAATTGGTAACCGAACCTGAAACCGTCGCAAGAAATCATTAAAACCACCGGTTTGTTGAGCTTCTTGAATGGCCAGGGACGCCGAATTTTGGACGAAGGAGAATCCAAACCATTGGTAGCGGCAGCTGCGGCTGCGGTTGCGGCTACAGTGAGAAGAAGAGTGAGAAACAGTTTAGGAGACAGAACGTGTTTGATTTTTGCCATTGGAAAGACTGTTTGTGATGGTTCTTGCACTTCATGTTATTTATAGAGCGACAATTTTTTTCCGTTAATTTTGTTTATTATTTTCTCAAAAGAAAAGCAAAATAGCGTTTGAATGCTTGAAGCGTCTCCATATAATAATTTCTTATTAGGTATATGAGCATATATTCAAATAGTTTGTATATATACAGTATGTTGCGGATTGGGTGAAGCTATTTTGAAGATAAATCGTCGTTTCAGGAAAAAAAAACATATCAACATTTCATTTCAAAATATCAAATCTAGCACAAATTTTTTTATCCTTTAAATTTACTGTCTGTTGATGGAAATACAATTATTGATCCTATCCTTTTAGATAAAAATACTAAATCAATTATTGTTAGCTAGGACCAATTGGACAGTTGGTACATGAGATTGATGATGATGTACTATAGATTGGTACATAGTACTTTGGATGAGAGTAAATAGTATCCGCAAATTTGGAGTTGTACTGCCATTTACTGCTCTGTTATGCTTTCTGTTTCAGATTTTATACTAGCGAGCTTGTTTAGAGTGTTAATAAAGCCAATTCTTGTTCAGATTGCTCCGTCTTAATCGGTTTACTTTAATGGTTATATGAACTTTGTATTTCGCTTTTTTTGGGTTAAAGTATAAACTTTGTATATCATTATTTCAAAATTCGGTTGTTAACCAAAAAAAAAAAGGTTTTTTTGGGATGAAATCCGAAATTTCGGAGTTTTAACAATTTTCCAAAACTTTGAGACAAGTTGTGAATAAGTTTACAGTAAAACTGCGTTTAATAATTCAATACCAGAGTAGGTAGGCAGTTACATTTTCACGACACGAACATGATTGTCATCTGCATGGTCCAAATGTGAGAGAGCCGTTGATATCTGATCTTACGGTCGAGATTTAACTCACGTTTTTCATCACGAAAAATTATTCTTCCGTGGTGGGGTTTTTCTCTGACGGGACAATTGCCTTCGTTTGATATGGAGCTTTCAATGTCGATAAGCCTATCCTACGTGTTATATTATCAACACAAAACAAAACAAGAAACTAATATGCGTTCGACTTTTGTAACTTTTGGGAAGTCGAATACTTCTCTTATTCTCACAATGTCTCACAGTATATATGACCTATACATAGTCAAAATTTACATGTATATTTGTTTCTTCCACAGTTCCACTCCAATTATTCGTATTGTAGCTTAACGATGTATAATTTTATGGGGAATAGAACGAAAAAAGAGAAATGAATAATCGATAAATGAATCACGTCAAACAACGCCGACCAGCATGGAAGCCATGATGGGTCGCATACTCGCATCATTGAAGTTCTTCTCCTTTCTTGATCCTGTGATCCTGTCACACACCTGGCCGATAAAACAAGTAATGGGCTCTAAATGTAGACTCTCGGAGCCTTATTATTAAACTAATGGGCTCTAAATGATGGAAGATACTTTTCAACTCGCTGTTCTGTTTTCAAATATAAGCCATGATCATGTGTGTCATAGTCAGGTTTTGATATTGACAAAGAAATTGTTTATAGTATGATAATCGTTGGTAAATGATCTTGACTTTGTATGCAGTGTAGTAGCTCCTTAACAAATAAATTTACCAGTCACGATCATGAATCGGAGAATAAATTGGATTTGGTGTCTGTCTCATGATTACGACCATAAACCTATTGGATAGAGATTAAAGTTTGAGGTTGCAGGTAGACTACCGGTTAAATCTATTCGTAATCAATATCTTCCAAACTAAAATTTATATTCCTATATGTGATTGCCATATGAGTTCTCGAATGTTTAAACGAGGGCATTCAGTTTTTCTAAAACCGTGAACAAAACGAAACCATTGGACCTATTTGAATCTTTTGTGTAAAGCTGTTTTGGGGAAGGAAGAATAACTTATGTACCATGATCCACGAGGTCGTTGGCTTTAATAATTTCATGAATCATATTTTGCCATATGGCAGTTAACCTTAGAAAGTAAAATAAAAAGTGGACATCTGATTCAAACTGGTGTTGTTGTAATGATGATTTTTTATTTTCTTCTTTTTTCCACGTTGTTGTGATGTTTGGAAAAAAAATCATAGAACATGCAGAGGCAACTAATACAAATAAAAACATCATGATTAAAAAACTATGAGCATTGTTGGTCATGTGAGCGTTGTTGTTACATGCAAGGCCAAATTTATGTTCCGCAATAAAAACGTTGATTGAACAATATCAGCAAATTGTTTTTAGACGAAATAACAAAATTTGCCACCTTTTTTCTTATGGGTAATATAATAGTATATGGAAAACGGGGACTCTAACATTCCTAACAAATTAAAAGTTTAATCAAATAGATAACATAAACAAATTTTGCTTCGTTCTGTTTTCTTTGAATTATGAAAATGAAAAGGGACCATGTAACCAAAACTAGAAAAGGACAGATCCAGGAAGATATTATTTAGAATCATTCTTTTGAATTTTAGTGAAGGGACAGACAAATGCGAAGAAGCCATGTAAACCATCACATTTGGCCGTTAATGCATTCTAAAACATATAGGAATCTCTGTTTTAATCATCAGTTTGATTCACTTTAAGAAAGCAAATTTAAAAGTCTACGAAAGAGCGTTACTAAAAACAAGTCTACAAAAAGAAACGACTAAAGACCTATTGCTAGTTAGATGCCTAGATTCCTCTTGGCACATTTTATTTTCCTTACATTACTAATTTTGTTTAACATTTCTTTTTTCTTGAACAACTTGGGTTATGAGTTAGAAGATATACATATTAATATGTGTTACATATCACCAAAGCTTTAAAAAGGAACAACAACCAACAGAATTTTGGATACCATGCATTGAGATAATTTACTGAATTCACATATCATCCCCAATGCGAGTGTGGTAGCCTTCAGACAATGGGGGACCGAGACACACACTGCAAGTTAATAGAAAGTAATAGGAAGAAAAGTTTGCAGAGTACAGTAGATCGTATGGGCGTTGGTAATACTAAAGCAATGAATGGAGAGCGTTAATATGGTGGGCGGACTGCCTAAAGCGGAGGGATCACTTTAATTTTCCCATTCAACATATAAACTAATTATATTACTGTGCATAATAAAAAAAAGCATGAACCGCAAGTGGTTTAACTTTACTCTTGTAATAATAGATCCACTAGTAACAGTATTCCAGCTGCAAATTTGCAGTGATACAGCAGTTGGCACACAACTCAACATGAGAGATAACTGTTTTTATTATTATATTTTGTCTTAAAATACATAATTTTTTTTTGAGCCCATATCTCAGTTGCCCTATATAAAGAATTTCATGTTTTCACTTAAAATCACACACACATTCAAAACCAATTCGTACTTGTTTCTCTTGCTACTGAAACCTTTTAAGAGTCTTACATTGCAAACCTTTCAAAAATCAATACTCAAGGTACGTAAAGTTTATAAACAAAATACACGTATGATTACTATGTATAAAAGTATACCTATAATATTTATATTTTATATTACAATCAAATGTATATGAAATTTTTCTTTTAGTTACAAGTAGACTTATACAGAATTTTAATTACTAAATATATATATATATATATTCTCAAATTCAACATTTATATCTAAAATAATCTAAAGATGTATATAATTTTTTTTAGCTGATATTTTAACCAAAACCTGTATATTTTATTTTTCTTTCACATTAAATCATAGATTTTATAATTTTATATTAATGTTATTTTTTCAGTAATTCTAAGATGTTATAATCATTTACTAACTGCCTGATTTTTGTAATGACATGCATGCTAGATTATAATTTATATGTGAAATCATTATAATTATAAATATTTATTTGTAAATCGTTATAGAGTTTTAAGAACAAATGAAAAATGATGTTTGTCACATTTGGATATATATAATAATCAAAATTATAATTATAAAAATAATTAAAAAACGTAAGAAGATGTGAGTAGTTTTAATTTACATTTAAAAGAAAATAGTTCTGTTAAAAAAATAAAATATATAATATTTATAAATCACATGTTTACATACTTTTTTTATCATGCATATACATAGTTATGTCAGTTTTCAAAAATGAAAACAATTATATTAATATTTTTTTTAAATTGTAGATATGGCATCTAATCGTCAACGAAACTCAAGTTCCTCTGTGCAACCAAATACAAATGTTCCCACCGAAACATCAGCACGGGTAAATAATTCTAATTTTAGTTTTACTTTATTCGGTGTAATTATAGTTTGTATGAAAAAATATTTATTTATTTTTATCAAATTTGTAGAACGGAGCTAATTTTAAATGGACCCCTAGTCGAGAAAGAATACTGCTTGAGTTGTACGATCAAGCAGTTGCTATGAATAATTACCGTATAAAAGATCCTCTTCCTTTGGGTAAACAATTTATGGTTGAAAAGTTTAACGAGAGGTTCGATCTTGATATAACTTATAAGTTTTTCAAAGAAAAACTTGATAATATGAAAAAAAAATATAAAAAATATACGCATCTTATGGAATCAACTGGCATCTCCGTTGATCCTCTTACCTCTGTAATTGAAGCATCAGAATCATGGTGGACAGATCGTGAAGTAAGTATACATAATCTTAGTTAAATTAACTAGAATTATTATTGTTTATTAATATTTTAATCTCCTAATAATAGGTGGATAAAATTGTACATGCATTTAAACGACAACCACCAGCACACTGGGATATAATGCAACGCTGTTTCGTATTATATAATGTTCATTCTCAGCCTCAATACTCTGTCAACCAAAGAAGAGAAGAGATGTTGAATGAAAATGTTACTAATGAAGATGATTTGTTCCCAGACCCCTTTGATAGTGAGATGCCACACAATCAAGTTCCGGAGACTGAAGGTACTGAAGAAGTGTATCGGGTCAACATTGATGAGGAAACCCACCTTCGAACGAGTTTACTTACGAACATATCCGGCGTAGTTCTTCAACCGTTGATCCAATCCAAATTCCAACTTCCAGAGTTCAAAACCGAAGTAGAGGAAGACGAGGGAGTACTTTACAAAGATCTGCAGGATCTTCACGAGTCTCTCAAGGGAGTGGTCCACGAGGAAGTCGGAAAAAACAATCATTTGAGGCAACATTGACAGATACAATGGCTGGCTTTAGGGAGTTTCAGCGCCAAAGTATTCAACAATTACGCCCAAATGCATTTGACCAAGATGATTATAACGAGTTTGATGTGGCTGTGAAGATTTTCGAATCGATGGAGCTGCCCAATGACACAGACTTTTACTGGGCATGCATTCGAGTATTTAGAGAAGATGCATTCTTGGCGTAAGTATTTCATTGATAGAGCTGATAAGCCTTTCGAAAGAGAAGATACAATTTTTACAAGCTGTAACTGGACTTACACGCAATGATGAACGTGTGGAGAAGCGTTTAAGCTCGGGTAAACATTTTGGGAGTCAAAGTTCCGGTGGTTGTCATTCAGGTAGTCCATCTTCTGGTGGTAATAATTCATGGGGTCAGACTTCAAGTAGTCAATGGGGTCCTGGATTTCAACAATGGGACACACCACCAAATGCTCAACAATGGGGTCCACCACCAAATGCTCAACAATGGGGAACACCACCAAATAGTCAACAATGGAATTCGCCACCGATTGCTCCACAATGGGGATCATCATCAAATCCTCAACAATGGGGTTCGTCGCCAAATTCTTCACAATGGACACCTCAAATGAATATTCAACATGGATTCCCAAAGGAAACTCGACATGAAACAACAAGAACTTCACCTGAAAGAGTTTCTGCAGAAGTTTCGATGCCTAATCCAACAAATATGGCAAGAGGAGTATCCCCAGAATTTGGTTTAGCAAATTATGCTTCAACCGAACAAATATCACGACCACGCAAAGTAGGAGGATTATTCAACATATGGGGAACCAAACAGGACTAATTTGAATGAAAGCCATCAAAGCGATTCAAACAATGAAGATTAGATTATTAGCATGTGTGTTTTATTAATAATGATTGTTTCTTATTTTCTATTTTTAAAATGTATTCATGTTGTTCAAAAAAAAAGTATTCTATGTATTATGTGTTATTGATTTCTGTTATCAATTCGATTCTAATCTTCTTCTTTTTTTTTATCAAAATATAGGCTTTTCGTATCTGTCAGCTGCGAGCACAAGGAATTCAATTTCTGAATTATGAAGAGAGAGTTGAGTTGTGGAATTTGGAAAACGAGCAATTTGAAGAGTTAATAATTCAACCAGCATTGAGTTATTACAATCGGTATTTTGCAAGGGGACCAGTTCAGACAGATAATGGTTTGGGTTGGAGAAATATTTGGCGTCGATTACAAGAAGATCATGCTGCTTGTCTTCAGTTACTACGAATGTCGTTGAACTGTTTTAGAACATTGTGTGATAAACTGGAAACAAATTATGGATTACAGCCAACCTTAAATGTAAGCATTGAAGAGAGTGTGGCTATGTTTCTACGGATATGTGGACATAATGAAGTTCAAAGGGATGTTGGATTGCGTTTCGGACGAACTCAAGAAACAGTGAAGAGAAAATTCTTTGAAGTTCTTAACGCGACTGAGTTGCTTGCTTGTGATTATATCAACACTCCAACAAGTGAAGAACTTCTTAGGATTCCTGAACGGCTTATAATGGATCGAAAATATTGGCCATATTTTAGTGGATTTGTTGGAGCAATGGATGGAGTTCATGTATGTGTTAAAGTCAAGCCAGAATTGCAAGGAATGTATTGGAATCGACATGACAGAACTTCATTCAACATCATGGCAATATGCGATTTGAATATGTTATTCACATATGTTTGGAATGGAGCGCCAGGATCATGTCACGATACCGCAGTGCTCAACACGGCACAAGAAAAGGATTCTGAATTTCCTTTGCCTCCGGGAGATAAGTATTACGTGGTTGATTCCGGTTATCCAAATAAACAGGGTTTTCTTGCTCCTTATAGATCTTCAAGAAACACGGTTTTTCGCTATCATTTGTCTCAATTCGAGAATGGTCCCCCTCCACGGAATATGCAAGAACTCTTTAACCGTTGGCATGCATCTCTACGTTCAGTTATTGAGAGGACATTTGGAGTTTGGAAGAAGAAATGGAGGATTCTCTGTGAATTTCCTAGATATAATATGAAGGTACAAAAACAAGTGGTAATGGCTACAATGGGATTACACAATTTTATACGGATTTCAAATTTTACAGATGATGATTTCGGTGAACAAATGGGACACGCAGAAATGGAGAATATAAATTTTGAGGGTGATTTAGGTGACACAGAAACTACAGAAATAGCTGAGGGAGATCTTATGGCGAACATCAGAGATAATATTGCAAAATCGTTATGGGCAAATCGAAATAATCTGTATTAAAAATGTTAAGAATGTGTTGTATTATAATTTTTTTCTACTGTTTGATTTTTTTGTATTTGAAATTATATTTAAAGTTATATTTTTGTTTAAAATATATATATGCAATATTTTTTTATTATATATATGAACAGTGTTTTGAACCGCTAATTATCCACTTTCACCATTCATATATATTTTTTGGAACGCTAGAACCGCTTAAACCGCTAGATCCGCACTTGTACCACTTGATCCGCTAGAACCGCTTTTGATCCGCTTGATCCGCTCGATCCGCAACGCTTGATCCGCTTTCTCCATTCGGAGCCTAATTCTATTGTGAAAACGTAATCATTGCAGCTTTAGAAAATTATTTTGTTAGACAGTAAAGGCACAAAAGTTACTCTGTGACGGGTTGATGGGTTTGTTGGACTTTTTTCATAGTTTTCCAAAACATAAATGATTTCCAATTTTTTGATTACTAATGATTAGAAATTCGTCATGATTTTTGCAAAAGAAAAGGAGAAATTCCTCATGATATGATGTTTTCATTTGTAGTTTTGTTAAGATGGGGAAAAATACACATTAGGTGAAATATCTTTTTTTCACTAATTAGCTCTCTTTTTTGTCAACTCACTAATAAGATTAAACTCTATTTTTTAACAAAAAAAAACTCACTAATAAGCTCATTTAACTTTTTATGTTATTATTATACTAAACTTTTCTTTTCCTTTTCCACCAACACATAGGTTGCCACCAAATTGGTCAAAAAGCTCAGGCAAATCTTATTGTGAATATCAAATATCTTGTTACTCTTTTTTTTTTTTTTTTTTTCCAAATGCTTGTTATTAATTTAAACATAAGTATTCTTTGATTTAAAACATAAAACTACACTAAATAGTAAATATGTAAATGTAGTGATTACTTATTTAAATATAGAAATGATTAAAACAAAAATAGAGCTAATTTAGGTTTAATGAAAATGGAAGTTTAGTAAATAGGCAAAAGAAGAACTCAGTGGAACATACACAATCTTGATAAATCAATTGACAATTTTGACGGGAGAACCCTGGAGCTTCTTCATGTCAAGGATAGAGTTATTTGACTCACTTTAGAAAAATATTTTCTTCTGTTGTAATTGGGTGCTCCACTCTCAATTCTCAAAGACCACCATTGAATATATATATAAGTGGGACTATTAGAAGCATACAGCATTCGATCTTCAAAATAACTATTATAGAATTTATTAAGTAAAATATTTTATTTCTACTAATTTGGAAAAAGACAGCAAGTAGGCCATTCTTGTTTTCTTTAGGAATAGAAAGAAAATCAAACTGTTTCACAATAATAGAGTGGAGTCCAACCAATTGAACAGCTCTCTTTGATTAGATTGGAACAAAAACATCAGAAAAATACGAGCAAATCAGATACTATCAAAAACTAATTAGCATTTAGGTTTATGGATTTGCTGAATCTTTAGTGTATATCTAAACGATCAAGATAAAAACAGATGTTTACACACACAAAATGACTAGAGTTTTTTTAGATATCCAGAACGTGAGTATTCATTTCTTACCACAATTTCATATTTCTTATAAAAAAGGAAAAAGTAAAATCCAAACTATAGAAATGTAATCATGTTTTGAAATTTTAATCTTTATTGTAGGGACCCTACATATACCATATAAAAACTTAATTTCACTTTATAAATATTTAAAAATTTATTTTATTAACCGGATAACTAACTATAACATTTACAAAATTTCTTAAATTTTAGTATACGTATTAAAACTATTACATATAAAGAATGAGGATCCAACAATTTGGAGCTTGTGAAACTAGATTTTATGTATTTTGACTATCCCTGACAACAAAAAATAAATATACTCCCTCCGTTTCAAATTAGTTGTCGTTTTTGCAAAATGTATCTGCAAATATCTGGACGTATCTGTAATGCAAAACACGTCCAGATACGTCCAAATATTTGCAGATACATTTTGCCAAAACGACAACTAATTTGAAACGGAGGGAGTATTAAACATTAAAAAGAAACATATGCAAAAAAAAAATACGGATTGGTTTACTAAAAACACCGAATCTTTGTTGATTCGATCATATGTTTTTTCTTTCACATGATTGAAGGCTATTGAATATGATGGACTATCTGGAATTGATATAATCATAATTATAGCTCATGTAGAAAGTAGAATGTAACTGTTGCAAAATAGACTACACCCTGATGTGATTTTGGATAAATTTGTTAGGATACTATATTTGCCACTTCCGGCCAGTTTGGTTTAAAACTTTAAATAAAATCTGAGTCCCTAGAAAAACAACTGGAAAATTACGATAACTATTGTATGAGTGAAATAACTATTACTTTCATATAACTCATGTATTATTGGTTTTGTTTTACTTTAGATGTTAAGTAGCCAGTAGGCAAAGGCGGACCCACATGTAACAATACTGGTTCATTTGACACCCCTAAAGTTAGATAAAAGATTGATTTGTAAGAATATTACATATAAATGCAACAGCTTAAATGGTAAAAAGCTTCATATTGACCCCCCTAACCTGGGTTCAAATCTCCCCAATGACACTTTACTTGATTTTTGACCCCCCTAATTTACAATTCTAGCTCCGCCACTGCCAGTAGGTCATTTATATCCAACCATCCATGTCCGAAATAATATGTATATATATATCGAAGTTTGCATTTCAGTGATTAGACTTGTTTCGTTGATTGATGTCGAGATTGAAGATTTATTCATGTCGCTGTATTCTACTGTATTTTCATTTGATGGTTATCCATATGTTTAAAGTCTGAGTTTAATTAGTTTTTATTTTGCTTAAAATATATAGTGGCCAAAAAAAAAGAAATATTAAGAAACATCTCCTTTATGAGTTTCCGGGACCGTGTTTAAATACAAAATACAAATTTTATGCATTAACATAAAAATATGTGATATTATAAATCAACATACCATGTCCCCTTGTGAATAAAAACTCGGATATATGACTTTAAAAATTAAAGCCCACTTGAGTACTGATATTTTACTACAAAACACATAGGTTTTTGGTCTCTCTCTTCCTAAATTGGACACAACATGCTTTAACAAAAAAATAGGACACAACATGTCACAGCCAAGATCTCGATATGTTATGTGAGTGTTACGGGTTATAGATATGCTTAGTGTTTTTTTTTTTTTTCTCTTTTTTCTTGTTAAGGTATATATGCTTGGTTTCTTAATGGAACCCGGATTCAAGAGTTCAGTACAAAATTTTATATGGTTAAATCACAGTTAATTTGCTTCATTAATCTTAAGAATGCGCCAACCCGACAAAAAGAACTTGGTCCATCCGACTTGTCAGAAGAGTCATGGAATAACTAAAACTGATGGAGTATTATATTTAGTAATTTAATAATACAAGATTAGAAAGAGTAATGAAATAAAAGATATACAGATACAAAGCAAAATGGTGATATAAACCCTACCACTACCACTTGTTCATTACGCATTGTACATAACTGCTGAATCAAATCAATTGATTTGGGAACCAATATGAAGATGATCATGACCATTCATCTCTCTATATTTTTATTTCTCAAAATATGTTGATGCCCTTTTGTAGGACCATGAATACTGCTGCATATATGATACTACTGTATATATGAACATAAAGGCAGTTACTCCTAGTGTAAACAGAAGATTTTGTCCATATGACACCACTTTGTCAATGTTTTCATTAGATTTTGGTTATATAACTTGTCGTGGTGACAAGCAACAATGTAACAAAATAGTAGTTTCCATCACTCGAATCTTAATATGAATTTTTTGTAGAGTCAATTGTTTCAACAAATTTATGGTAGTACCATGGTTGATGATAATCTTTGCATTTTTGCAATACATTTTCCATCCTAGTTGATCATATTGTGGTCGTTTTAAATAACAAGCAAATTCTTATGAGTTCGATCCCGGACCATCGCTTATATAAAAAATAAAAATAAAAAGGTTATACTTATATATAAAGTTCATATAACATTCTTTAAGTTATTATATTTATGAATTGATGCATAGAAGGTATAGGTCTCATATATGTGTTGCAAGCTGGAAACTAGGCGGGTTCGGCGGATCCTGTCCATCAAAGCTCACCACACAAAATAAAATTTAAGAATCTCTTAGAGTTGTTTGTATATATATAGGTAGGGGAGGATCCTAAGCTTTTTCTTTTGTTCCCTTCCTATTCCAATTTCCACCTGTTTTCCTAAAAGAAAACATATCATTTTGTTTTAAATTATTGATTTTTTTTTCTTCAAATTATATCAAATTTTCGATTTTAGTCATAGTCATCCAATTATTCATTCTTTGGTTTTTTGTGAAACTAGTAGGTATCTTTTAGTAAATTACCAAAATAAGGAGATAATGTGTTGGTTCGTCTATTTTATTATAAATATTTTCCACATATATTTTGATTATACCTTACGTATGCGTTGTGAAAGAAACCCACAAACAAAATGTGACAAAGAAGATACAATAAATTTCTTAAAGAATAAAGAGAAAAAACAGTACTAGTGACTAAAAGTGACTAGTGAGGAACAAACAAAGATGTAAATTCCTTTATATCTTGCTTTCTTTTTAACTTTTCTTTTCGTTTATTTTCTTTAATATCCTTTGTCCCCCTGAAACTCATCGACGAAGAAATTTATAAACTTTGCCTTTTTAGATTGGAAGGTGGTTGTAAGCTTGTGATAAAGAAAAAAGTAATAAAGACCAAATTGAAAGTAAACCAAAAAAATAAAAAAATCTTACAAAACTAATTAAGCTTTCTCTAAAGTCTAAACACATTGACCCACAAAAAAAAAAAAAAAAAACATATTCTTAAATTTAACACTCAAAAATCACATTTGTAATGCTTGAGAAGCCTATTGGCTTCCCTTAAGCCACTATAGTAAGCACCATGAGTCGTGGAGTAATGGGTTCTATGTGTTGCTTCCCCTGCAAACATGACTTGAAGCTCATGAACCTTGTCTTCATCATGACCATTCACCTGACCATTCACCTGACCATTGACCTGACCATTGACCTGACCATTGACCTGACCATTGACCTGACCACTCTTCTTGTTGATCTTCGGCAATGGCTCAGCCATGGCGTCTAGGTCATCCCCGCTTGATCCGACCGCCACATAGGAGTACGAGCCACGGAACAGAGGATCACTTCCCCATTTGCTCTTCAAGACCTTTGTGATTTTCATGACTTCACCATCATCCTCATTCAAAGAGCCATTGATCAAGGGACTTTCCGCAGTGTCTTTCTTCACTTCCTTGCCTGTCAAGCAAGCGACAGTGGTCAAGACACCGTCAACAATCTCATCATCGGTTAGCTTCTCGAGCTCGAGAGCTTCTTTGCCTGCAAACCAAGAAAGCAAGACCCTTGAGTTGCTGTGGATTGGGGTCATCGTCGCCGTTCTTCTCATCCACCACGGGATTTTCACAAACCTAAACTCCGAATCCTCGCGGTCAAACACAAGCTGCAGAGACGGTAAGTTTCTCTGAGACATTTCGACGAACAGCTTGTTGACAACTCCGAATCCTAGACTTTTAATGGCGTCGGATTTGAAACCAGGCAAAGGAGGACTGAACAATCCTCCTTCAATCCCTGCTTTAAGCACTCCTAAAGAGACGGTGACGATAACATGATCTGCGGAAACAACAGACCCATCTGAGAAATGCAGCTTCACAGGACGATTATCTTCGTTGCTCTGCCACTCGATCTTCGTGACTCTTCGATTCAATTGGATAAGACCCTGAGGAAGAACAGAGGCCAGATGATGGATAACGCTGAGATAGCCTTTGGCTATGGTGATTTCCTCGCCGGGAAACATCTGGTACTCGCTCTCCGCCGCGTAATCCAGCGTCGAGAGGTCATCGGCGGATGTGTAAGTCCTCTGCGTGTTGCTAAACATTGTAAAAATGGCTTCTTCCAGCGATTTTCTGCTCCATTTTCCATAACCATTGACTCCGTTCTCTCCTCCATTGCTGATTGAATCCCAGTAAGCATCGAACCCGGATTTCAGGAACGACCCGACACTTTTTCCGTCGAACCCGTTACGGGCAGAGAAAAACCTAGTGGCAATTTCGTGAATATCAGCCGAATCGCCGTCGGTTTGAGAGATCTCTTTCCCCTGAGCCAATTCCATGAGAGCATTGAACAATCCGGAGATGGGTTCGACAATGGAAGGCTCGATCTCGAACCCACCTTCAGCGAAGGTCCTGGCTTTATCAATGGTGGAATCCATACACTCCCACGGCTCGTCGGAGACCAGAGAGCCCGTCTCCTTCGCGATTTTGTAAACAGGGCTCCCGCCGATTCCGTGGATCCACGTGGCGCCCATCTCAATCTTGTCGGCGGAGAACTCGGAGGTGTTGATCCTCCCGCCGATTCGGGAGCCGCCCTCTACGACGGAGAGCTCGAACGTGTTGTTGGAGCTCGTGTAGAGCTTGTTCGCCGCCGTGAGACCGGCCATTCCGGCTCCGATTATCACAATTCTCGCTTTCTTCGCCATGTTCACTGCGGAATCTCTCTGTCGGTGTGCGTGTTGCTTCGGTGGAGCGAAGAGAAAGCAAAAAAGATTTTGTTTTTGTTGTTGTGAAGTGTATTTTGGGGATTAGGGAAGGAGACGAAGAAGGTGAATGAATGGAGAGAGATTACTTTGGCAGAGCATTTATAAGGGAGAGACAGTGTGACCGAAAGCGAGTGGTGAGATTTTACTATGTTTAAGTAGATTTTCTCTTTTAAGTTATTTTCAAAAAAAAATGCTAATTATGTCGTAATTTAACTCAAGGTTCTGGTTTATCAAATTAAAATGAGAAGAAAAACTACGACATTTCATTGCTACATAACAAAATATAAAATTTGTGATCTATCTAAAATATTTAAATAGCATGAGTTTTGGTTGACATTTCTGTGATTTAAATGTTAAAAACATGTTTAGTGAACAATTTTTCTTTCACAGAGAAACTTTGGCTATACATAAAACGACCGACGTTTCCATTTGTAGCTAATTCTCATATTTTTATAAGTTACAAAATTATAATGTATAGCCAAAGTTACTTTTATATTTATTCAATTAAAATACCACTTCAATAAGACAGTAAGAAACTGAGTTATTCTAGTATCATACCAAAAACTTAAAATTTAAATAAATAAATAGCCTTTAATTATCCACTAAGTACTGGTCTTTTTTCAGCATTCACTAAATACTCTTTAAATAAATAAAAATCCAAATTATTAGCATTAGCATCACACACAACACACATGTCCAAAAATATATACATGTCACTTAGATTTCAAGTCACCTCGTAGCTCACCTATCCTCTCACCTGGTTAATATGTGTTCTTTATTTATTTTAAAACTATATACTAAAATAGTTAACACTACTAAGTAGTAACTGAATTTGAACGATTATGATTTTCGGGGATCAAATAGTATCATGCTTATAGCCAGAGCTTATAGCCTTACAACAAACTATAACTAATTTCGATAATTGGTATCTGATATCTGTATATATTTTATAAGTCCACCAGGAATGGTATATTAGTTGATAAAGGTTGTAACAAAAATAGTTCGAAATACAAACTGTAAAGTGAGAAAAGCTCTAATAGAAAGAAAATGGTAATTTTTGGAAAGAGAGAGATCACATGTAATGTAACAAAGAACAGAGGTAGGGCTCACACGATGCAAATTATGAGTCATTGGTACTGATCCACCTTTGATTGGATACCCATTTTAATCAACCTAACCATGATTGTGTCATCACTCCAAGATCCATCGTTATAATATCTAGATTTTGGAAAATATGACATTGCAATAGTTTTTTGGTAGTCCATTATGAAAAAGAGACCTAAAGGTGTGTGATTAACGAAGGAAAACGATCGAAACGTTACAAACTCTTTTTGAGAGTTCTTATCTAAAACATTATTGTTTGAAAGTTGTAACTTTTAAGATATTTAAAACTTTAACTAACAAAAAAAAAACTTTAAGAGATATAAAGACGTCAAATATCCTTTTGCTTTTTACCCTTAAAATTTGTAGGCACTCATCATAAGACTAATACACCATGATCAGTTTATTGCTTAATTAAGCGAATATGTTCATGAAGAAATGTTCTTTAACGAAGATTTTCCTTTTAGATCGATCAAAGTATGCAACTTTTTCTCTTTCTTTTAGCGAAGATATTGTTGCAGATTTATCCTACTTTATTAAAAATTAATTATCATCAAACTTTTGCACTATACACAGAAATGGATCTTCATCAAAGGTAGTGCAGATCCGTAAGCTATCATATCGCATCCTTAGTATAAATCAGAAAATGACCCATTATTAGAAAAGTATATATTTAGTATCAAGACTTAATTGAAAACTATAGTTACTCGTAAACAAATTATTGAAATAATCGATATGCATTACTTCTACGTAAAATCCACAATAACATTTACTAATTCTCGAAATATGAAAAATAATAACTAAAGAAATCAGAGCATAAAGACAAAAGCCAAGGGATTTGTCGGTTGCGATGAGTTTGCACATCCCGAAGAAGCTCTCTGGCTCTCCGAGAATCAACTTTGAGTTCTAAACCAAATAGTGTACTTATAAAATTATTATTTCTCTTATGTGTGATCTCTATGTACTTTGATGTACACAAAATCAAAACTATTAATTTTAATATAAAATAGGATATAATATTAACATGAATTTCCTCTTCCGATATATTCGATTCATAGGAACAGTTTACAAAAGAGCAACTTGAACCCTTACTATTGGAACAAAAAAATATAGCGTGGACTATGTTCAGACAGAATACTATTATGAACAATGTAGACAATTTTCAAACGGTTATAGTGCTGCATTGCTGCGAAGTGGTTTATGAGTATGGTGCTAAACATGTTTTACTCAAGATGACTCTTGGATTATTGAGTGTGTTGTTCGATATATGAGTGAGTGAAATCGAACGTGTGATGATATACAAGGCTAGTTAATTAACAATCTTGAAAACTTTTACGAATAGCAAATAAGTCGTCAAATAAAAGATAGATTCTACATACCGAAAGATAAAGATAGATATGGAACGGAGACACTTGGAATGATACAATATATCTATATACGCAGATATATCTATTGTTAAAAGTGTAGGTGGAAGTAAAGTCAATCTTGAGCTCCAAAAATCTAGCTACTATGGTATTTCCCGTGACCCAATGACTTTTTCTTGATCTTCCAGGATTGATGAAAACGACACACTCGAAGGTTATCACGTGTTTCATACTCGCATATTTAATATGTAAACCGATAGATACGTTGTAATATTATAGACTAGCAAGATTATCCTAAAAGGTTTGCAACTCTAAACAAGCTCTAGGAAGATGATCCATCAAGATTACTTTGTGAAGCAATTAACCAGAGAAGGAGACAAGAAATGGGGTTTAAAGGCTAGGAATTTTTTATAAAAAGGACATAGCCTTGAACAATGGAGATCTAGTACTTGAGCCACAACTTTGTCTCCTCTCTTCCAAACAAATAATTTGGCACATTCACACACAGTGATACAGATACAAAACTCAAGACGTGTTTGTGTGTTTGTATGCGTCGACAATCAGGTTTTTTGTTTGGTTGTAGCTAAATTGAATGAATGATGAGAATCCAACAAAACCTACAGAAGCCCTATGAGATGGTCATGGATCTATGAATGACTAGTGTACTTAATGTCGGATAAGTCAAAAAACCCCATGAAAGGCTCAGTACTGAAGAGAATCTACTAGAAGATATTTTGCAATTAATATACTCAACTGTTGCTACCTAACTCCTTCACCCCACCAATCCCATGAGCCTTAACTCCTATTGTCTGCAAAGTTTGCATATAGATAGATCTCAGGTCTTAAGATTGTGCAACAGCTCTGTAGAACTAGTGGATTGGCTAGGTTCAACCTGGTTTGCGCATAACCGGTATTCTTGAAATGGAACCGAACAGAGGTGAAAACCAAAATCAAACATCAGTGCAAACATGGGGTCAAGTCAAGTACTTAAAATCTGGATCTCAATATATTGGTTTAGTTTAACCAAAGTTTGGATTCACAACAATGGTTGAACATAAATTCAACCTACAATTAACCTGATGAAACAGGATCAAGAACCCTAAATGATTCCGCAAAATCTTAAACCTTGTAAATATTCTGAATTACTGGCCTACATAAACCAAGTAATTTCTTTGCAAAACTAACACCTAAATCGCATAGGTGAACCAATTTTCCTCGCAAAAAACCGACGCCTAAACCGCAGAAGCTACTTACAAATAATAGCCATGAGTTTATGCACATGAGAAAACATGTGTCTTGAAGTTCTCTAGCTCAGTCAGGACTTCATCTTCAGGTCTGTAAATTAAGTCAATCATACGCCATATCTGCAGAATTAAAAACCATTATAAAAAGTTTTCATTTTTGCCGACCGTTGGTAGGTTTCCGAGTTTATGCAGCAAGAAAATTCAAAAGTACCTGCAATGTACCACCTCCTCCGTTACTCTCAGAGTCATCAGAAACACTAATAATAGTCCAAGGGTCCAACAAGTTCCAGTGAAAGTCGACCACTTTGTCCCTAAGAAGATATACACAAGGAGATTATAGAGTCCATTCAAGAAAGTTAAGCGGAAAAGAAAGCAAGAGTATTGGGATTTTAAGTCTTGAGAACCTGTGACCAGCGTGCTGGAAGAGAAGACCAGCAGGGGTTTTGGGTGCATGCGCGGACTTCTTGCCAACCTAATAAGACCCACTTATATGATATGAAGTTGAAAGCAAGAAATAAAATTCCAAGTGTGAATCTATGAAAATGTACAGACCCTATCATAATCCCATAAGTTTAAGAGACCATCTTCAGCAGAGCTCCCAAAAACAGATGATTTATGAGGAGACCACTGCATTGATAACAAAGCGGTGTCACTGGAGATAAGTATTCTCATTTACAGGACAAATAAAAAAAAACAGAGGAAGGGGCATGTTGTTGAAACCTGAACACAGAGAACAGCAGCTTTGTGGCCTTCAAATTTGTATACAGGTGAACCAACTCCATTTGAGGTAAGGTTTCGGCGGTCAAACACACGGACAGTGTTATCTGCTGACCTGGAAAAACGTCATAGAAGCGTAGAGTGAGAGAACGAGTAGCATCTCTATACTTTAGGACAAGTACTTAATTGTGCAAAAGAATTACCCTGTCAGAATCAGATTGTTGTCATGAGGATTCCAATCCACACAGTGAAGATCAGCCTCATGTGCCTTCTCAACCTGCCGACGCACAGCAAGAAACAAACGGAAACTGAAACAAGAACCAAAAGGTCTAACCACAAACTTCGATATGGTCAAAAGGAGAGCTACCTTTATAGCAGGACCAGCGCCAGTTCGTGCATCCCATAGTATAAGGCAAGAATCGTCACCAACACTGCAGAATTCTTGGGCACTTCAGGACAAAAAAAACACAATTCACCAAAAGCATCAGCGTGTAAACTTAAGAGCCTATTAAAAGAAAGAGGCTGCTCCAAGAAGTTACCTAGATGGACAGAATGTCACGTCTTCAACTGTATCTTCGTGGCCATGATATACGCCTCGAGGGTCAACCGAACGACCACCAAGATTATCACTACATTCAACAGTCTGTTTGATGCAAGATCCAGGGGATATGGAACCCGAACCAGCCGTTGTGATATGGTCTTGGATACTCCACAAAACAACTAACTTGTCCTTGCCTGCGCAGAAGAATCTTTGATGAGAATGCAAACCAAACGATAAGACAAAACAATAGCACCAACACAAACCTCCAGAGAGAACCAAAGGCTCGGTTGGGCACATTGCAAGAGCAAATTCAGCATTATCCTGGTGCCCAGTTAGCATCTGAACAATAAAAGTTGTTCAGATGATGCAAAAAGAGAGTAGCTCTTTCCATTGTTTAGATGATGCACAAGCAGTGTTTTTAAAATGGTAGGACAAACACAACGACAATTTTAACAAGAGCATACCAAATCTGGACGAGAAAGTGGAGCTCCAAGCACAGCATCCCGGTCTGGTTGAGTCTCAGTGTCCCAAATGAGAACCTGAAAACCGATATATCACCATGCTTGCATGTCCAAAGAAAGGGATACTTAAAAATCGAACATCAACTTTTTTGGCTGAATGAGCAGAGGAAGAAGAGCTTACAGCAGGACTGTCGGTGTGAGTAGCTACAATCTTACTATTTTGTGGGAGTTCCCTGATTCTGTTGACCTGCGATTAGTGAAAGATACACATCTCAAAGTCTTTCACAGTAATCAAAGTTCTGAGGAAATGTAGATTCCGTGTATGAGATTCAATCCATCAAAGAAACAACACTGAGAATACAGGAACAGCTCTCAAAGGGGTGGAGTTTACACCTCTCCAGGGTGGATAATGGTCTTGTACTTCTTCACAAATGGAGAGCATGCTTTTTCATTAAACTGAAAACATATATAAAAACAACAATTTCAAGAATTTCCATCTTAGCAGAGAGTAACACAAGGAAAAAAAAAGCACAAGCTTCGGTACAGAAAACAAACTACCTGCCTCTTAACAGCTTCGCAATTGGCTATGACCAAAGTATTAGGCTCAGAACCATTAGTCTAGCCACAGAACCAAGAAGAAAGAAAGGATAAATATGACAAGCAATAGAATCAAGACAGAATGTATAAACTACAAGAAAAAAACGCAAGCCTACTTGTTCCGAGAGATAGAGACGCTGCTGATTCTCAAACTGTGATCCCCATCTGTTCACATCAAACAACAGTTACAACAAATGAAAACTCTTTACACAAAAGCTATACACTTTATCAAATCTCAACACAGCTAAACATCAGAAAAACTTGAAAATGTCCTTAGAAATCACAATTAGTCTCTGATAAACCAAACCCATTAGTAGCGGACAAATTAACAAAACAGAACAGTATAAACACTTGATCAGTCTCCTATCAAACACAAGTTCCAGGGGTGCATGCAAAATTCATGAAATGGAAACGTCAGATAATCTAACGAACTTCAAGAGAAGTCAACATTTCAAATATCAAAGAAAGATACACATAAAGGCAAAGAGACTGAGCTAAAACATTTCATAATTCCACTAATTCCCCAAAATTGTAAGAAAAAACTCCATTTTTCAGCATTTTACTAGTTTCTGCGGAAATGTGATTCAATCGCCCAACAAGGATACACGAAATCAAAGATTCAGAGTACAAAACACGATAAGTTTTCCGGAAGAGAATCAACGACAAAACCCTAGAACAGAAAACAGAAGAAGAAAAAACCCAGACCTGCAAGAGAGAGAAGGCCAGACGAGGTTGTAGTTAGCAAGAGAATCGTATAGAACTGGAACAAGAGTCTTCCACTGAGAGTACTTCTCCTCAGCGATGGCCTTTTGATTATTCTTCTTCTTCTCAGTGCTCTTCTGCTGCTGCGAGAATGGTGACTGAGAATCGTCCTTAATCTTAGGTTTCCGACCTCTCTTATTTGGCTCAATGGCCGTCACCGGCGTCCTAGCTTCTCCTCTCCGCGTGGTGGTGGCTTGAACAGTCGCTGCTACTTCACTCTCCATTTTCTTCCGCCTTTTTGTTTCTTTTGCTTTGTTCCTTTTTTTTTTTTTTATATATAATAATCCCTAATATATTAAAAGAGAAAACACTAACTAAATAACCTTTATCTAATGTGTTATTAACAAAAATGTCATTGCTTAGGTGTCATCACTAGGTTCACTCTTAGAGCAATTTCTAATTAAGACAAGTTTTACTAGACAAATTACAATATATGCATTGCATATTATGCTTACAACCAAATAATGAAATTAAATTTATCATTCTCTTTCCTTAATTGGCAACTACGAAAATTAGTAAATAAGGAAGATATGAGATTCAATTTAATTCATCATAATAATTTCTTTTAAAATCAGTATACATCTTCTATCATCTTTGTTTAAATTTATTTAATAAAATAATTTGAATCACAATATAAAAAATCTATCAAAAAAAATCTAAAACTTTTTCTGTACATGTTATGATTTGAATTTTTAAAAACAAAATAATATAAATTGTTTCGTATATAACCTCATTTAGTAGGTATCCAAATGTATTTTTTTATTTAATATTTTTTTAATTAAAATCTATAATAAATCGAATAAAAAAAGTTCTTTTTATAAATATTTTATTTTGATTAAACTTTTGAATATTACTCTATCTGTTTCAACTTTCTATACAAAATTAATTATATTTTTGCTGTTTTGACAATTTGGATTCTGCATATTATTTTCTGATTGGTTGGATTGTTTTGAAATTATAATAAAGCATGTTTTAGTTTTGAAAGAAAAAAAAATTAGTTCTAATCCGTGTCCACACAGCTAAAACTTTTTATCTTATGAAATACATGATGTATAATTTTTCTAAAGAATAATGTTTTATTTTCAATTTTTTTCTTTAAACTATCTTATTATATTATAGTTTCAAATTAGTTGTCGTTTTGACAAAATGTATCTGCAAATATTTGGACTATCTGGACGTATTTGCATATACGTCAAATATTTATATACATTTTAAAACGACAACTAATTTGAAACGGAGGAAGTAGTTATTTGAGTTTTATGTATTTCGGTTAAATCTATCATATTTAATTTGTGGTTACGATCAATGCTTTAATATTTTTTTTAAAAATGGATTAAAATGCCTAATTTTCATACTATAAACGAATTAAAAAGATTAAAAATCTCTCGCATAAAATGTCGAAATATTTAAATAAATAATTTTCAATACAAATACAAATTCAGAAACTATCACTCCGTACCGGACACATGTCAAACCCTAGTTATTATTATTATATAATCAGATTCTGTCCTTTTCGGTGCCACGTAGTTTAAGCATACAGGGGAACTTTGTTTCGGGAATTACCAAATTCCAAATAGGCAAATTATCTCCTCAAAACTTAGGTGTAGTTAAGTAATATCAGAGTTAATTGGAATTTTGGATTTTTTCCATATGCCAAGACTCGAAACGTTTGTTTGACGTTTTAATTAGCTTAAAGCTTGACGTCAAAAAAAAAAATTTAGCTCAAAGCTCCTTTATAATCTTGGTAGACATTTTACTGTTTGGTTAACGACGCAAACGCTGATCTTAATAGCGGCCAAATCGGAACTCTATTTAGCGTTCGAAAGCACAAGATAATCAAATTGGAAACTTGTTGTTTTCAAAGACAACTACTCTGAAAGTCTTAACATTCATAAAATCTGACTTCACTTGAACAAAGATAATCTGTTTTTCTTTTTTTCTTTGCTTTGAAACTAGCTGGGAATAGTATTGAGGAAGAAAGATCAGACATAAACACCACTAGCAAGTAGCAAAAACAACGATCCAAAACCCTGCAAATACCACAAACACAGTAGGTTTAAACAACTAAATTACAAGTTTGAGGAGGATGAATAAGAAGGATAAGAAGAAGAAGAGAAAAGAGTATACCAAGAAAACAGATGCTACTACTGCAGTCGCAAGCTCCTTCGCGAGGCTTCGGTTTTTCCTGGATGATGTAGCTTCATAGCTGCATCATAAATGTTACGACACTATAAGTTTAAAACTAATCAAAAAACACATTTGATCAATTCTTGTTAAACTGAATCGACTGTGAAAAACCTAATATGAATGGTTCATATCTCTATCTATCAAAAAGTGTTTGACTCGAGGCTAATCCACAAACATGCTAGAACTCAATCATATCTCATAGAACTTGCCATCGTTATGAAAGATTGAAGCTCCTTGCTTAAATGAGAATTATACAATCTAACTTGATTCATTATGCTGCATTCAGTGAGACTATGAAGTTGCTAATTGATATGTTTGAGCCTTTGCATGTCCAAATTAAAGCATGATGTGAAGGCTCCAACATATCAATTAGTATCTTTATAGTCTGTGGTTCCTTAAAAGCCAGAAACTTGAGAGGCACCCATGCTTTCAAAGAGGGATAATTTCTCTAGCAAAAAGATGATGAGCTTTAGAAATCCACCGACTAAACACTTGAATATGCATTGTGAGCAGAAATCATATATAAGCACTAAAAATGTTGGTCAATCTTCAAATACAATCAAAATGCAACAAGTGTAGATCCTCAGTCAAACAAATCGAATCAATCGGAAACTGTCTTATGTACCAAATCAAGCAAATAAGAGTGGGAGACGAGCAATCGGGGATCTAAAAATGAGATCGAGATGAGCTTACATGAAGAAGATAGCAGTGATGACTAGGCCGATCGCCAGAGTGAACACCGACAAGGTCGGGTACATCGCCACCGGAATCGGACTCGCAATCGGTTTCGCCGCCTTCTCACCGGAAAAAAACATTAGAGGAAATGAAATTGTCAGTAAAAAAGCCGATCAAATTTGCTGCGATTGAAAACACTCGGACAGATCTCGATTTACCATTTTGCTCTTCGTTCTTCTTCTTCGCTTCGATCTGAGGGAGAACAATGACAATCGAGTTTGATGATACCTTTTTTCTAACACTCGCTCGCTCCCGGTTTGAACCGGACCGGTTTACACAGTTGCGAAAATTTATGGGCCCATTTTACTCCGACTGATTCAATTCAATAAGCCCAATACTACGTGGAAAAAATCTTTGTTCATACTTTGTCGCCTGGTGATTGAAACTACAAGAATGAAACGATTATTGTGACTGATTGTCATCCATAAATGATTTTATCAAATTTACTATATGTCGTATGAAATTAAACTAATTTGTTGAAGTTGATTAATAAAGGAACCTTCCGTGTGACAGAGGCACACACGAGTTTTCTTCAAGGGCGTCATGTAATCACGGGACGGCGGGTCGGTGATATCCTTCGTGTACTTCACTCTCTAACAGAGAAACCTAGTTATATTTGAGATATAAAAAAATGTATATTTTGGAGAAAAATAGGTTTCAGTAACACATAAAGTTGTAATTGTATAACCATCGACAACTTAGTAATATATATCAAATATATATTGCATGTCTCACTTTGCATGTGGAGAAGCTCAAGTTCGAGGTGAAATAATCCTTTTTGATCTCTCACGCTACTTGCGTATGTGTCTCAGCTCTCTGCCGGTCCAATTTTTAAAAATATGTGAATGAACAAACTTTCGAAAACACTTATTTTTTGGGAACAACATGCAAATTTCGAAAACTCATTTATGATCAAACCCATCACATTGCTGATTTCTTATTAAATTTTTTTGGATAGGTGCTTTAAATTTCATAAATCAAAAGCATATATAGCGATGTTAAGTTATTACATATCGAACTATCATGCATATTAATTATTAAGATGATATGAATATATTAGTTTGTCACATTTTCATGCATTTAAAATGTGATTCCGTTTTTTGTTGTTGCAACTATCTATAATTAATTATTCAGCTAAACTGTTTTTTTTGTTCCCTTCTAACTTTTTTTTTTTTTTTTTTTTTAATCTACCATATCGGTCAACTATAATTTTATTATGTACCCACATTCCCACATACATATCCCCTTTTCTTTGTCAACTCATGTCCTTATAATTTATAGATATGGAAGATTTTGAAGTTACGCTTGTTATTGGACCAACTTTAGAAAAAAACATTAACTGCAAACAGTATTGGGTGAAAAAGTATTATCTACAAACCGGCCCACAGACTCAGAGTTTGGTCGGTTTCCACAAATTTCAATTTTACGTAACTACGTTTATACTAGTATGATTTATAATAAATGATGACATCTTTTAAAGTCAAATGGAACTACCTCAACTATACTACTTCTATATCATATTACAACTAATGTATACTCCATTAAATTCATAAAAGGCAGAAAAAGAAAAACATTATCAGGGGATGTTCTTATCAGGAAATAAATTATTTGAAATTTTCAGTAAATTATACTTATAATTTTTCTCATTTTGTATACTTTTAGCCAGATTTCACAGATATAATTAATCAAGATAATTTAACTCCAACTTCTGTGTTCAAAGTCTCGTAAACTGTCAAAAATTGAGAGGATTAAACAAAACGAAATTTCATATTGTAATGAATATTTCAAAGTCAACGTAGTGAAAATGATTTTAGTACGATTTATAATTATTGACCAAAAAGTATGATCTAATTTACAATCAATTAGGACAACAAAACTTCCTTTGCTTTGGCGTCGACAAAACTTGTACATCAGCATCAACAAAATCACGTAAAGATATTCACGTGCCTATTTTTACATTATACTATGCATAGTCTCTCTATGGTTCTATATATACTCCCTAACTAATCTCGATATTAGTCCCATAATCAACAAGAGACACTAATAATAATATCTCACATTCACAATCAGAGAATGGATACTAGTCTCAGTTTAAGCATCATCACCCTAACCACACTTTTGATTAGTTTAAACCCAACCTTAGTCAAATCAGAGGAAGGCATTGATGTCTTTTTACCCATATCACTCAACCTCACCGTCCTAACCGATCCCCTCTCCATCTCCACCGCTTCTCGTGACTTCGGAAACATAACCGACGAAAACCCTGGCGCCGTCCTCTGCCCTTCTTCCACCGCTGAGGTCACCCGTCTCCTCCATTTTGCAAACGGAGGATTCTCTGACGGCGGGGGCTCAACCAGTCCCTTGCCGGGTTTTAAGGTGGCGGCTCGCGGACAAGGCCACTCGCTCCGTGGCCAAGCCTCCGCACCCGGCGGTGTCGTCGTGAACATGACGTGCCTCGCCAAGGCGACTAAACCAGCCGCGGTGGTTGTCTCCGCAGATGGAACTTACGCTGACGTGGCGGGTGGGACGATGTGGGTGGAGGTTCTGGAGGCGGTAGTGGGGAAGGGCGTCTCGCCGGTTACTTGGACTGACTACTTGTATCTCAGTGTCGGCGGAACGTTATCGAACGCTGGAATCGGCGGTCAGACGTTTAGACACGGCCCTCAGATTAGCAACGTTCATGAGCTGGACGTTATTACCGGTAATACCAAACTTCACTAATTTCAATTTTTAGTAACGGTAAAATCAAACCGGATAATATATAGTATCAAAGAACGAAACGATATCTATGGCCTAATAGAAGTTGCAATTCTTTTTGTCTGCAAGCTACAATTGTAATAAGATATGATTTGAGCTATCATGTGAATTGACATATTTCTTATATATATATTAATTATAATATATATCACTTTAGACTAGAAATTTGATTCTTGAGGTAAATCCACACGCCATAATCCGTAAAACCCCAATATTTAAGAAACAATTTTTATTCAGAAAGAAAGATCCTTCAACAGTAGTTGTGTTCATTTGTGGTTAATTATCTAATATGTGGAGTTTGTCTTTTTTCTTCAAATCTTTTCAGGAAAAGGTGAAATGATGACTTGCTCTCCAAATCTGAACCCCGAGCTGTTCTATGGAGTTTTAGGAGGTTTGGGTCAGTTTGGTATTATAACGAGAGCCAGAATTGCTTTGGATCATGCACCCACAAGGGTATGTATCGCACTATATTAATTGTACTGCTGGTCTATACATTAAACATTAAACATTTAAACTATAACCAATTTTTACGATGGTGGTCATGAATCTAACTAAATAAATTTGGATTTGGTTGGAACGTATTTGGAAGTCAAAACGCTGATTTTTTGAATTATCTTGAATAAAAAAATTCACACATCTGTTGAATAAAAGATTAAAACCTGATATTGCTTATGTAGAATAAGATTCTGCATAATCAATCCTAGGACTTGTTCGAGTATAATCTTGTCTTATGCTTGCAAATCTTGTTGATGTCAATATTTAATCTTGTTTTGTTTTTCCACGTAAGTCCTATATACTGTTGAACTGGTCAATGATTTGTACACAGTCTTTAGAAAAGAGTTGTATAATTCTACATATTTTGTTTATATTAATTCTTCTTCTGCTCTTTTCTCATAAGCCATAATCGTATTTCGATTCTGATATTATATCACATGAGTGGGCTAATCCAGAAGCACTAAAACGAATATTCAGGATTTGAATACAGTAGAACCTCTATAAAGTAATATTCGATAAAGTAATACCTCGATAAATGAATAGAATTTTCGAGTCCCAAATTAAGTTTTTGATCTAATTATCTCTCGATAAAATAATAATCTCGCTAAAGTAATAAAATATTGTGGTTCCAACGTTATTACTTTATAGAGGTTTTACTGTATTTCTATAGTAGTTCAAAGTTCTATGATTTTTTTTTTTTTTTTTGGTTTTAGTATGATTCTTCTTTTCTTAAGAAGGAAAAAATAATCATAACTTACTACGATAATTCTCTCTTTTAAAAGCTGATTAATTTATGGATATTAGTTGATATTCCCTCTGTCCCATATTATAAACAATTAGGCAAAATATATCTGAAAAAAATAAATGTATATGGATGTAACAGAGGGAGTATAATTTTGTGTAGGTCAAATGGTTTCGAATACTCTACAGTGACTTCTCGAGTTTTACAAGAGACCAAGAGCGTTTAATATCAATGGCCAATGATCTTGAAGTTGACTTTTTGGAAGGTCAACTGATGATGTCAAACGGCATAGTTGACACATCTTTTTTCCCACTCTCCGATCAAACAAGAGTCGCCTCTCTTGTAAACGACCACCGTATCATCTATGTGCTCGAAGTGGCAAAGTATTATGATCGTACCACACTTCCCATAATTGACCAGGTACTAATACTATGCACATATCACATACGTAGATAGATTTTTCACATATAATATAAATGAATCATTTTCATGTACTATAGTTTCTAACACATCCGTCAATCATCATTATCATGAAATCGCCGTGACCATATATCATACCCACATGCTTATTGAATATCTCATATATTCTTGTAGGTGATTGACATGTTAACTAGAACTCTAGGCTTCACTTCCGGGTTCATGTTCGTGCAAGATGTTCCTTATTCCGATTTCTTGAACCGTGTCCGAAACGAAGAAGATAAACTCAGGTCTTTAGGGCTATGGGAAGTTCCTCATCCATGGCTTAACATTTTCGTCCCGAGATCTCGAATACTAGATTTCCATGATGGTGTTATCAAAGGCATTCTTCTCAACCAAACGTCAACTTCTGGTGTCACTCTCTTCTATCCCACAAACCGAAACAAGTAATTATTCACTTTCTAGACTTTAGATGTCTTATTATGTCACATTGATGTATGTTACTTAACGTGGCGATTTGATATTAACAGATGGAACAACCGAATGTCCGCGATGATAGCGGACGAAGATGTTTTTTATGTGATTGGATTCCTACAGTCAGCTGGTGGATCACATAATTGGCAAGAACTCGAGGATCTCAACGAGAAGATAATCCAGTTTTGCGATATCTCGGGCATTCTGATTAAAGAATATTTGATGCATTACACACGAAAAGACGACTGGGTTAAGCACTTTGGACCAAAATGGGACAATTTCTTGAGGAGGAAAATTATGTTTGATCCCAAAAAACTATTATCTCCAGGACAAGACATTTTCAATTAGTTTATGATACCTCTTATATAGCTAGTTAAATTTATGGTCTAGTTTGCTTTGTAATAAAGCGTTCTCTTGTATCATATTAACATTTAATGAAGGAGTTCAATATTTCTATTAGAAACTGAAACGTCAAGTGCCAGAGTGTGTCAATCAGTTCCTGACAAGAACGCAGGTTTAAGAGCTTTAAGTAACGGATTCAATGATTCAACTCACAGTTCATTGAAAGATTGGAAAATATGTGATTAAGACACAAAAACAAAGACAGTGTGATCAGGCGCACACACAAACACAAACATACATTCTTCACCCAATAACAATATTCATTTTTTTATTGTACAATAATGCAAATTGGGACATCGTCATGGTCTTCACAGAAATTTCTCAAACGAAGTCACTGAGATACTCCTCGATGCTCGTGTACTTGACATCGGGGTAAAGCTCAGAGGCTTCAAGACCGAACGAAGGCTCTATAGTGAAATTTGTCTGATCTCCCTTCACAAACACCGAGTGGTTTAGCGACAGAAGAATATTGAAGGGAGCCGGAGTCTCTGCAAAACAAAAAAGAGCATATATAATTTTTTTGTTCAGTAAACGAATAAAGAATGTAAAAAGCTTCTTGGTAAATTGATACTGAACCTTGAATGCTTTTAAGGACTTGTTCCTCTGAGGTGTAAGTCTTCTCAAGGGACTTGCCGATCTTGTTCTCCCACAAGGTGACCATTTCATTCATCGACAAAGTGTTCTTAAGAGGTTTAATGTAAAGGATTTTGTTGAGGGTCCTCGGATCATCCACCGTCTTGATTGTGTAAGCAGCAATATCTTCCTCCTTGTTAATCACAGCTACAATAACAAAGGAAATTGTTTTATTTATTTATTTCTTTATTTATAAATACTTTCATTTTAGATTCCTATATTGTATATTTAATAACACTAGAAAAACATTCAACCTTTGGCATTCCCATCGCCCAAAATGGTGACTCTGTCTCTAGGAGGAGAAGTGAGACCAGGCTCAAACTGAACTAACGTAGGCAAAAAGTAACCGGCAAAGCAATTGTTAACAACGTAAGTGTATGGTATTCCTGCTGCTTCCACGGCCCTCCTTATCTTAATCTTCATTTCAAAAGCCGATTTCGCCGGCTCCACCGCACTTGTTCTGTCCACGTCCACCCCAAACTCAGACGGCAAGAATCTCTGGGAAAGGGAAAAAAATAATTATATTTTCAGGTGGTTTTGGAAAATAAAATGATTTTTTTTTTTTTTTTGGAAATTAACCACATATATATATACCTTGACGTTACCAGCTTCTTTGATGGCGGAAATGATCTTGGTTTGATCCAAGATTTCCATGCTTCCGATAGCCGATATCACCACATCGACCTGTTTGATTGCCTTCACTAAGCTCTCGTGATCGTTCACATCTCCCTGTTCCAAACGAAAGAGTTTCAATCAACGGAAAATTTAAACAGAGTAACTAAACCGTTTACTTTACATTAAGTAGTAGAGAAAGGAGAGGAGTTTCACGGCGTACTTGTAGTATCGTGACACCGAGATCTTTTAAGTTCTGGACGGTTTTGCCCTTGACCGGATCACAGAGAGTGGCTTCTCTGACGAGGGCGAATGTTTGGTGGCCGGTTTTCGCGCTCCCTTGGACGATGAAATTCCCGATGTAACCAGTTACTCCGATCACCAGAATCTTACTCTTCTCCGTCGCCATTTGATAATGAGTGATTAATGAATTTTGAAAGCTAAAGAGAATGATTTGAATGTGATGTGAGTGAAGGAAGGAAAGGCGTTTGCATGGCAATTTATAGACCAGACGTGGGTTGGTTGATTTACGATTATACCCTTACCAGAATTTTGCTACTTATTTTATTTCTTGTTTTATTACTTTGTTTAATTATATCTCTCTTGCTTCTCAGCTTTATTTTCTGGTAACCACTCCACATCAAACTCTGAATTGTTTACCTACTAATCATTCCAGACCTTCTCTCAAGACTCCTCCTGAATTTGCCTCAGAGGGATCCAAATTCTTTGGTGACTTTCTTGAAGAAGAGCAAAGACGCCAATTAACGACGGATCCTAGAAAGCCTTGGTTTATGAGTTAGAGGCATTTGATAATTACTTTAAGACACATTCTGGTCTTTTGATAATTACTCGAGTTATGTTGCTTAGAAATCATGAAATGAGATGCTAATACTCGTGTCTTCTTCTTTTTTTTTTTGTTTTTCGTTGTTGTTAGAGTTTTGGTTATTTCCTATCAGTAATGAATGTAATAAACCTTTTTTTATAGTATAAATGTCTTATTCAATTTGTTATCCGCCACCATTTTGTTTTTTAGTTTCAGACGTGATAATGAAGTCGTGATTGATTGATGTGAGTGAATGAAGTTTTGGCTGGACAATTTGTGGAATGAAAATTGTTGGTTGATGATTTTCATATAATATACCCTCAATGAACCTATTGCTTTAATTCTAAGTAAGACGGCTTGTTTCTTGTTTTATCTCTTGTCTCCACCTCAAACTCTTATCTGTCTTTCACTTAAAAATTAGAATCATAAACGCATTGGTTGATTAATTGATTTCCGATAAGATCTTTACCACACCGAAGTTTTGTTTTATCCGAAGATGTTTTGATTTTGTTGTTAATCCGTCTATATCCAAACTTTGCTTCAATTCCAAGGTATTTCAGTTTTGTTTCTTGGCTATTCCTGCCCATCAAACTCTTAATATGTTTCCTATGATTAATATTATGCTAAGTCTAGGAAAAGTAATGATATGTTAGTCAATTAAGGTAATACAACAACAACATAATGATTTAATAATGATTTGTATGGAGTTGTTGCATTAGTTTTCAAGCAAATGCACGTGATGACAGTGATATTCGTTTGTTTGAAGAGCGTGTTAACGTTGTATATTAAACATTCGCAAACAACCTTTACGAAAAACCAAAAATATCAATTGTTGTAAGTACATTTGTTTTGTAAATAACTCGATCGCTGTCACACAGGATCATCACTCATCTCCGGCCCACATGAACGATCCACCACACTTGCTCATACCCTCCTAGGCTCCTACCCTTTCTCCATCTCCAATGGAATAAAAAACCCTGACCGACTGGATCGTACTGGACCACAGCGAGACCGAGACAGAGTCAACAGAGTTGGAGAAGAATCAGGACCAGCATGCATGTTGTGACCGCCACACAGAAAACGAAGTATTTTTGGCTATCAATTAAAACGGCGTCGGTTCTTGAAAAAGCTTTTTCTTTAGCTAAAGTTCAGCCATGGCGCTGTGCCGCTGTCAGTTCCCAGTAAATCTCCACACTGTATCATACTGTGCCTAGTTCACAGCCATGGAGTGTGCTTGTTTCGAGAAACAAAAAGAACATTTTATTCGGAATAAAATATCAGAACAAAGGGGACATACTATTACATGAGCATAGTACTTTTTTTTTTGGAGAAAAACATAATACTTAAGCATTCATTTATTCTTAAAAAAAAAAGCATTCGTTTATTCACTCACACACAGATTTTAATTCAGATACCAACTAAAATTAGTTAGTATCACCAAAATAAAGCTTGTTCACAGCATCCATCTCTTGCTTGAATTTAACCATCGCACCACTCGGCATCGTCATGATCACTTTAACGCCACCTTCCATTGATGGATCCAATTCCGAAGGTCTCAAGAACATGCCTATATGCACTGCACTCCCCCGCTCCGTCAATGGCCGTAGATTCACTGGCTCATTCCAACCAAAATCCATTGATCCGAACCAACCAATATTCCTCCAATCCGTCATGAACAATAATCCGTGGCTCACCCCTTCGAATGTCGCACCCTCCCTCATCAATCTCTCTGTGTTCTTTAGCTCTTCCTCGAGATACGCCTTGTCATAGGCTGTTTTCTTGGCTTTCTTCACACGCGTCGCAATGTCAGAGAGTGTTGCTTCTTCGAGTTCTCTCACGGTTAACTCGACGTAGACGTCTATGTACGCGTTACCGTAGAATCCTTGAGGAAGTGGCGGATCCAAAACATTTCGGATTCCAACAGCTACGCCGAGGACAGTGATCCCGTCAGGATTTAGTTTTAGGGCTCGAGATCTTGCTTTCCATATGCAAGAACTAAGTACTTCATAAGTAGTGAAACTCTCTTTTGGGAAGTCGCACTGTCTCATCAAAGAATCTTTAAGCCTCTTTATAGTCACAGCCCCAATGTTTATTATCTCCGTTACCTGTTGGATGATAAATATTAGGGTTGGAATTAATTGATTTTTAGCTAATTTATTTTCTTCTATATAATTACAAATTTAAAACCACTATACTGTAACAATTGTAATTCGGTTTTGCCAGAGCTCCGTGTAAATCTTGACAACATCAATTATATTTGCTTTTGCCTTTTCTTACTAGATATATACACAGGATTACAAACCTAATAAAATAAAAACTTAAACAAGATAGAAATCGCCAAAAAAAACTGGAAATAGGGGGAGAACAACATACCATATCAGTAGTTGGAAGATATGGTGAGGTGGCCAAGAGACAAGCAATGTGGCCTCCAGGCACTTTGGCCGGTTCATTATCAACTTTTCCGACCAACCGCTCTCTCTGCCACACCGGCATCACTGATGGTTTGCTCTTTCCTGCAGCCAACTCGGTTAAAGCATGGATGATCTGAGCAACACCGAATCCATCACACACGGCATGCGTCAATGCAGTGCCAATGGTGAACCCTCCGCACGCAAACTTGGTCACCTTAAAAAAAATCAAAGGGAACAATAGGTCGGTCATCTTGAATATATATGTATGATCCCTAGTACGTTGAAAACAAAATTCCTTGAATGTTCACGATTCCTACGATACCTATATTCTTCCAATATATGAAGAAAATGAAAAGCTACCTGCAAAGCTAGTGGGTGATAAGAAACATTGCTATCGTAGTCTATTTCGATTTCAGGCACAAGGCGCAAAGCAACTTGGTCATCAAGGTTTTCTATGTAGTTTAGAGAGGAGAGGTCGAGAGATGCGTTAGCGACCTCAAATGGAACTCCCTCACCATGAAAAACCAGCTGAAGCTTTCGATCACTCTCTCGTCTCTTTAGCTTGCCTGCAAGAGGATAGTAGAACACAAGAAGTTCGGACAAAGCCTTCCTAAGCAAAGGGACAGGATCATTTTGATTCTTTTCATTAGCTTTGAAAACGTAGATCGTTGCATACATAACTTCATTGAAAAGATCGTTGTCTAAAGTAGAAAGGGAGAGAATTTCGGAAGGGGTATGTTTTGATGGTTTGACAAGCTCAACTGGTTTCTTTTCGAGTAATAGAGGAAGGATCGGCTGTGTTTTGTTTGCCATCTCTTACCACGTTTAGAATGTATTGTACAAAGTGTCCGTATGATGTTTATATAGGGAAGTTTAGACCTACCAAGTTTTAACATTTTTTTATGTAAAAGCAAAATACTATCAGCTAACACCCTGATATATAGAATTAGTATCATTTAATGTGTGAGTCGTCACATAAATTGAAGAGATTTGGAAAATAATTGCATAAATTCATTTTGGATGAGAAATAACAGAAAGAAAAATAATTAAAATCTCGTTTTAAAATGTACGAAATTGAATTTTGCCCTGAAACGACATACAATTTCATGTAGGCAGAAAGTTATAGAATCCATCCTGACATGTTCGTCTCATTAAGTTCATCGACACGAATGTCCAAAACCGTTTAAGCTCCATCCGCATTGCTGGAGATAGCACTTACGAGGAAGGGTTATTGGTGTGATTTTCCATACGTCCCTCCTAGTGTTTTGCTATTTTTTTTTTTTTTTGAAACTGGCCGTAAATCCCTCCTAGTGTTTTGTGTTACGTTTATCTTTTCATCCTCTCTTAGCTTTTAAAATTAAGAAACCCTTGAGAACTTGTTGGCTAAGTTTGTAAAAAGGTTTTTTTTTGTTTGAATATAATTTAACATTCAATTCAAAAAAGAAAATCAAGTTCATTTGCAAAAGTCATGTTTTTGTTATGATTTCACAACCATATTAAAAATCTACAAAACAAAATAAACGTAAGAATACAAACTTGTGCATTTCGGTAATTTTGCTTAACATTGCTTCTTACAAAATGCTTTTATGTGCCCTCAAAGGAGGGGGTTTCATGATCCAGTTAACCAAACCAAAGATTATTAATTAATTTATACATGCATCCAAAATTGACACAGTGGGTAGAAATCCTTTTCCAAACCTACTCTTATATCGAGTAAAAGAAAGTTAATTTAGCACATGAACAGGCAGTTTCTTATGTTTGTTTTTGTGTCGTTAATTAGTACATATATTATATAGACATATAGTGTCCGGTTCTAGTTTTATCAACAAAATATTCTTTTACCAACTCAAAAGCAAATTATTGAACACCTAACCCTAACAGACGGTAGTACCTTTTATCAAAAAAAAATATACGGTAGTAGCTATCATGTAATTATGAGTAGTCTTAATTTCGATTTAAAAACATAGTTATGTAAAAGATACATCACACCTCTACTTTACTGTTTTTTTAATATTAGTTTGATCTCTTAACCAAACTAAAGATTTACGTGTACTTTTAATTTAATATTTTAGCGCATAACTGACAAACTATATTTGTTTGTTTGTTTTTGTGTCTTTAGTACATACTCCCTCCGTTTCAAATTAGTTGTCGTTTTGGCAAAATGTATATGCAAATATTTAGACATATCTGCAATGCAAAACATGTCCAGATACGTCCAAATATTTGCAGATTCATTTTGCCAAAACGACAACTAATTTGAAACGGAGGGAATACTGTATATTATATGTATACTCCGATTCTACTTTAAAACACAACGTGCTGGGTTCTTTTTAACAACTCTGATGTAAAGGCAAAATACTGAATACTTAACCATAATATTTATAGTGAATTTCACCACATGCTTGACAATGAATATTTGTTTGTTTGCACAGCAATATCTGGTGCGTGACAACGTGAGAGGAGTTTCTTATGCTTGTTTATATATATAAATATATGGTGCCCGATTTTACATTTTTTATATACAAATAAATTCTTCTAACAGCTCTGGTGTAAAGCAAAATATTGCATACCTAAGCTTAATCTAGCGCATTATTGTTATTGTTTGGAAACTTTTAAAAAGGCTAAAAGAATTCAATTGTTTCAGAAAAGGTTAAAATAAACTATTTTAATTTTTATTACTTAGTTTTAGATTTATAATTTGTTTTTTGGAGACTAGGATTTTTAATTTAGAGAATTGTTTTTAGGTTTATAACTTAGTATCAAATATTGATAGAAAATATCACCTATGGTTGTAAACCTTACTACCTTGATGGTTATAAACTGGTATATTCTCATAAATCATAAATTGGCTCTCTTCTTACTCTGGCACATCTTCAAGACTGACGAAAAAGCGTTTAATCACCCAATTTATGATATTCCTTTTTTAGTAAGAGAGAAATATGTGTATTAGGCTGATATGTGTAGGCCTCAACACAAGTACCCGTTATTTGCCCAAAATCCGTGATTTGCCTCATATCCATCTTGAAAAATCAAGTATTTGTTCGAAGTAAGACATGTCTAAAGTTGGAAAATTTAAAAACTTGCAAGTATAAGGTAAGTATCAAGTCACATTTTAATTTTCGTCAAAGAAAACAAAAAGTTGACGAAAAGAAAAAAAAAACAAGAGAGAGAATTTAAATGAATAATCTAAACTTTAAAGTGAAATTGGAATGAGAAATTCAAACATAACATTCTAATTCATTTATTCACTCTTAACATTTCAATTTAAGGTTTAGATTTTTCCCTTCATTTTTTTTGCTATTTTAATATTAAGTTTATGCTATTGGTAGAACAATGTAGAATGTAAAATGGTTGCTATTTTTGGAACAAACAAAATTGTTTGTGTACGATTTTTTTTTTGTTAAAGGATTTGGGTACGATTTGAGAATTACCGTATATATTTTCACCAAAAACATTTGTCTCTTAATTCTTATGTTCTGTCCGGATTTAAATTCTCCTAAAGGGTTTTTGTATTGTTTGTTATAATCTTATAATAATTTTGTAGGAAATTCTAACCTATTGTTCATTCACGTGAAAATAATTATGTCGAAATAACAATTGGACTTTATAAAAAATAAGAAATAACAATTGGATTATCAGTGACGGAGTATCCTGGTTCAAACCCACATAAACCTTATTTTTAACAGAAAACACAAATTGAATAGTAATCAAACAGTGCAGTCCACGTAGTATAGAGATTGTTGAAGCCTAGGTGTGATGATGACTTCGAGAGGAGTGGTTTTGAGATTGACCATCCCGTTGCTCTGCGTCATGTCCACTTTATCACTCGATGGTCTTGCAACATCGAAGCTGTGCAAGAACCTCGCCAGGATATAGTGAACCGTCCGAAGGCCTAAATGGATTGCAGGACACGTCCGTCGTCCTAACCCGAACGCAATCAACTTGTAATTCTGTCCCCCGAAATCTACGTCTTTGTTAGATGTCAAAAACCTTTCTGGCTCGAACTTTTCAGGGTCAGACCACAGACTTGGATCGCTCCCAATCTTCGATGCATTTACCATCAGCTGTGTCCCTAATTAATCGAAATATATTAAGGTTATGCATGTCACTGGATACTATTCAATTTCAAAAATAATTGGCCGTAACATAAGTAATCATATATGATATATAAACTTCATATAAGATATCTATATTCTTTATGTACGGGTGTTAATTAATCATATATACATTTAATGAATGTGAAGTATTCTGACAAGCTCATCAAGAAGATGGATCTTTTTCAAGTATTCATCTCATACGAAATTTCTTTTTCTTTTAACCGGGTTATGCTCTTTTGGGCAAACTGGATTCTAATTCTATGTTAAAAGCAATTGCTTACAACTAAAAACCAATTAACGATGAGCAAAGAGACTTATATTCATTATATACTAGTTTTAAATTATATCTATTTCTAATGTGCTAATATTTAAACAAGTCGAATTTCAACGTCTATTTGTATATTACCTGCAGGAATATTGTAGTTTCCGTTGACGATGTTGAAATCTTCCATCACAGTTCTATAAGCGATGAGAGGCACTGATGGGTACAAACGGAATGTCTCCTTGACAATGGCTTGGATGTAAACTAAATCTTTGATGTCAGACTCTTCTACAACTCTTTCCTTGCCAATGGTACGGTCGAGCTCCTCGCGAGCTTTCCTTAACACGTCCGGGTTGTTCACCAGCAGCGAAACAGCCCAAACCAAAACCACAATTGATGTCTCGCTCCCTGACAATACCAAATTCTATTTTGTACCCCAAAAAAAAAAAAAAGAGAGTAAGCTGACATATATTTTGATTTTATTCATATATCTTTAAGGCTCTATGAGCTGGTCTTACGAGGCAGAGGGCCTTGATGGTTGCATGAACATCATCAAGACCAAGAGCATTGTCTCGTTTGAAAATCTCCATGATTAGTGCCATGAAGTCTTTTTCACTCCCACCACCAAAATCCTCATTCTTGTGTTCTTCAACCCAACTTTCAACAACTTTATCTAACCCTTTAGCCGTTTTCTTCATGCCTCTCTTGATCCCCCAATCCAACCAACCTAGAGAAGGTACGGCATCGGAGAACAAGACTAAATCGAAGTAATCAATAAACTCTCGTATCAGCTTTCCACATCTCCTCGCTTCTCCGATTTCGCAGTTAGGGCTTTCCCCAAAGTATCTCTTTCTTGAAACCATCATCAGCGACATGTTCGCGGTTAGATACTGAAACTCTTGCTTCATGTCCACCAAGACTCCGATTTTCAGTTCACCCTTTTGCTCCCACCTCTTGTATAAGTCTCTGAACGCCACATCGGCTTCTCCAGCTCTACTATGCTTAAAGGTCTCCATGACCGAGGGTGATAAGACCTCAGCAGTCGTTATCTTCCTCATATCTCTCCAGTAAGCCCCGTAAGGGCTAAACGTCATGAATGTGTCGTTGTAGCCTAGGAGCTTTGAAGCGGTGAGGCTAGGCCGGTCCAAAAATTTGTCGTGGACGGTGTAGCATTCTTTGACCACCTCTTGGCTGCTTATGATCAGGACGTTGTGAGAACCAAGCTTCGTCATGAACACGGGTCCATACTTATCGGCCATTTCCCCGAAAGCAACGTGGGTCGTCTTGGCATCGTCATAGAACGCTAAATGGCCGATTAAAGGCCATGCTCCGGGAGCTATAGGTGCAGTATGCTTTTTTCTCGTGGGACGTAGCAGTGACTTTATGAGGAGGAAGGGGAAAGAGAAAATAGAGAGAGCAGCGAAGAAAAGAAGCTGAATTAGATCCATTGGCTTGATCCAGTACTGCTTATTGATACAATTGAGTCTTTGTTATATAAGCTGTTCATCGAACTTTAATTTTTCTAATTGGGTATAGTTTACACGTGGAAAATTCGATTTCAAACCTACTACGCTGATCCCATTATACTTTGTTATTTTTTTCTTTCTTTTTCAAATATTGCAGTAGGTGTCATCTCTATTCTCTATCAACTCTAGTAGTGTCCACGACGCTTATTGGCTTATTGCCGGTTGTTAACATTTCATAACATACCAAAATGGAGTATTTTCTCTATCCCATATATAGGAAAAGAAAACAAAAATAGGAAATGTGAAAGAAATGATTTATATTCACTTAACATTATATAACATGAACACAACCTATATATTTTCTGGAGTTGAATCATTCTTTGTTTTCTCACATATGTGATTTGTTATGATTTTATTTGTACTCCATATTTGTTTCTCTTATAATTGACCCGTGGAATGATATATTTTATATTTTATAAATTATTTTATAGTATAAAGAATTACCCTGTGATTATAAATTAATCATATAATTTGATTTAAAAACATTTCATAAATATGATTTATTTATGTTATTATGATAAATTCAAAAAAAAAAATGTTAGTTTTCTCAAAATACATCCATATACATTTTCTCAAAATGACATTTATTATGAAATAGAGAAAATATTGTTTAGTGTATTTGTAAAATGTAAAATAAAACTTCTATTGATTTTTTTCATGTGTGAAAATGTAGAATGACACTATTTATGAAAAGGAGGGAGTATATTAAGACAAACGATTTTGTGACCTTTAGGTTTTGTCTGAAGTTTTTTTTCAGTTGAGTTAGCTATATTTAGTTATTCACATAGTATATTACATATATTGATATATATATATATATATATATATACTAGATTAAGACCCGCGTATACGCGGGTTTATTTTAAGATTTTGTAATAAAATCATGGAAAAGTATTAAACCAAATTTGATCATTTTAAAGTAAACAGAATAATATTAAAAACCCGATAAAAATATTTAAATAAAATAAGATCGGTAACCTTTTTACGTTTTTATTGTAATTGATATTTTTTTTGAATTCATGATATGAAAAATGAATTAATTTGTTTTATTTTTATTTTTATCCAATATAGAAAGACTTATATATGTCTAAATATGATCAACTGATTAATTAATTCAACAAAACTTTATTATTCCATTCAAGAGATTTCAATTGATGAAATCTTTATTTAATAATTTTTTACCTAACAATATTGAAAATTAAACTATTTAAAATTAGAATATCGGTTCATTATATTTTCTTAATATAGTTAGTTGCTTGATGATGTCAAAAAAAAAGTTAGTTGCTTGATAATTAATTTGTTAGTTTTCTATTTATATTGTTTCTTTCTCAATTTTGTTTTTGACTCAGACCATTATAAATTTTCATTTTCATTATTAGTTAGTTTTTTTTTAATTATTTTTCTAGTTTTTATATCTGTTTAACATTTTTCCAATTAACATGTCTTCACCGGATCAAATACATGTAACGACAATAATTTTGATTTCTATCCAACCGATATAGAGTTAGATACATGTATCGACAATAATTTTGATTTCTATCCAACTAATATAGAGTTAAATATTATTCATTGATACCATGAATTTTAAATACATGATTTTTTATGAGAGAAAAGATTATACAAAAGATAGAAGCACATAATTGAATCGCAATAGCTTATTATATATTGTTTTTTTTCCTGTTCATAATGGGAATATAAACACATATCGCAATTTTGTGAGTTATAAAAATCATGCGTATTGCTATCATGTTGTTTGCTTTGATGAGTTTGTAAATGAGAAAAAGACTACTTTAACTCTCTTTTTATAGGGGTTCATGTAACTTATTCCATGCAGTTATAGGAAATTTAGTTTACCTAACCTATTTCATGTACTAATAGGATTTTATTTATTTCATTAATTTGAATCTTATATGTGTTTGGATAATATAAATTTGATGAATGGGAAACCTTTTTCTATTAGGATATGACAAATATTTTTTTTTTCTTTTAACTATAAAAGATTAAAATTTCGTTTTTTTTCCTTTATCTATTTTTTTTTTAATTTTTTTTTCCTTTTTTCTAAGACACATGTCACGATCTTAACGGACATAACATTAAAAGTGACACATGTCGCAATCCTAAATTTTATAAAAATCCTACGTGTCGCAACCACGTCGCGCGCATCCAGCTTTATATAATAAGATATAAGGGAAAAAGTGGTTTTGTCTAGCTTACTTTTCCAATGGATATTTTTACTATGAGATCTCTCGTCACCTAACCGTATCAAATTATATGAGATTATTAGTCTTGATTACGATTTAAAAACAAATTTATGTAGTCTACTTGTTAATAAGAATTTGAAAGGACAAAAGAACATGCATAATTACTGGCATTTGTTATATAAAACGAATCACATCTCTACTTTACTTTTTGTTTTCCTTATAATAATTTGATTTTGTTACATGTGAATAATTAGTGGCATACTGGCATTATAGACGAAGACATACATTCTCGACAAAAGATAATAATGCAACAACTCCAACGAAATAACCTTTTATCAACCCAAACAAAAAAACTCCAACGAAATTGATACGACAGAATCGTAGCTTTGCGAAACCAAAATCATGTGATCACCTAACCAAATTAAAGATTATTTTTATTTTAGTAATATATATGTTGTTGATATAATCGCAGCTTCGGTAAACTAGATTAAATCACCTAACCAATTAAAGATTAATTATGGCGTTGATTGATTGTGGTTTTCTAAGAGATAAAAGTGAAAAACAATAAAATAAACTACAGAACATTGATTCACTAAAGATTTCAATGGAGTTGTTGGAAGCAAAAAAGCAAAAATGCACATGATGACACACTTGTTAGTGACGGTATTCTTTTTTTTAAGAGCGTACTAAAAGTTATACTCCTTTTGTTGGAGTATATGGCTCACGTCGTAACAACCCTTGCATAAAAGTGTAAAACTTTATCAAAAAAAAAAAGTGTAAAACTAAAAATATACAGTATGTTGTAACTAAGTATTATATTTATAAAATAACCCGATCGTTGTCTGCACACAGATCACTACTCATCTCCCTCACAAGAACTATCCACCACGCCTGCTCATCATACCCTGCTACCCTTTCTCTGTCTCCAATGGAATCAAAAACCCTAACCGACACAATCGTGCCAAAACAGGACGAGACCGAGACAGAGTTGAAGAAGAATCATGAATGGTACCAAGCCCTAATCTCCACTTTTCCTCACGTGGAAGGCTGGGGACCTGAAGATCCCCTGATTGAATACGGTGGTCACTGGTGGCTTCAGTTCTTCCTCGAAGGTTGTCTTTTCGCGCAAGACTTCTTTCAAGCCCGAGCCAACGACTTCCTCGTCTGTAGCTACCCAAAGACAGGTACAACTTGGCTCAAAGCACTGACTTTCGCCATCGCCAATCGATCACGCTTCGACGATGCCTCGAATCCTCTCCTAAAACGTAACCCTCACGAGTTTGTTCCTTACATCGAGATCGACTTCCCGTTCTTCCCTGAAGTAGATGTTCTCAACGACAAAGGAAACACTCTGTTTTCGACCCATGTGCCGCACGGGTCATTACCTGATTCGGTTGTGAAATCGGGCTGTAAGATGGTTTACATCTGGAGAGATCCAAAAGACACTTTCATCTCCATGTGGACTTTCATCCACAAGGAAAGCTCAGAGCTTGGACCGGTTCCTCTCAACAATCTTGAGGAGTGTTTTGACATGTTCTGTCGAGGTCTGTCCGCGTATGGTCCTTATTTTGATCATGTCCTGTCGTATTGGAAAGCTTACCAAGAGAATCCAGATCGGGTTTTGTTCCTCAAGTACGAGACTATGAGAGCTGATCCTTTGCCGTACGTGAAGAGTTTAGCTGAGTTCATGGGTTATGGATTCACCGCTGTGGAAACGAAGAAAGGGGTTGCTGAGAAAGTGGTTAATCTTTGCAGCTTCGAGACGTTGAAGAATCTTGAAGCTAACAAAGGAGATAAGGTGAGAGAGGATCATGCTGCTGTTTATGCGAATAGTGCGTATTTCAGGAAAGGTAAGGTTGGAGATTGGGAGAATTATCTGACTCCTGAGATGGCTGCTCGTGTCGATGGGTTAATGGAAGAGAAATTCAAGGGCACCGGTTTGCTTGAGCATGGTAAATGATGAGGTGTGGCTTTGGAACACACAAAAACAAAAAAAAACAAGAAATAATTTGCTGTAATTTGTCACCTTTTCTTTTTATTTTCTTTTATTTCATAAGCATAATAATAGGAGGGAAATTCCACAGTTCTGAGAGTTTGTGAACAGATCCCCTTACGGCCTTACTCGTCTTAATCACGTATATATGTATTTGCTTCCTTGTATTACGAACCGAATGGTTCCAAATGTTATTTAATAAATGAGAAATTATAAAGGTAAAACGAAAAAAGAAAAAGAAGTGTGTTTACTTTTTAGTTACTCCTTTGCCAGAAAATCATTTACATGACAGAAATAGATTTGTGTCAAAACTCAAAAGTTCATTAATGGAATATCTAGGGAGACAGTAAAAATTGTCAGCCACAAATATTTGCACATATATGGTGAAATTTTACAAGCGAAGAAACAATCTTTGGCCATGACATAATCAAGCGAATAAATTTTAAGCTTATATGTGTAGAAGAGAGAGAGAGAGCGAGCGACATAATTAAGAATAGACATTCAGTGATAAAATGTAAGTTTAGAGTAGTCTTTACCAATTGATATCAATCTTATACTGAATAGTATTGCCTTTTCAAAAAAGAAGAAGAAACTCAATTTGATTTAACACTCAAAGTTGCTAGTTTTCTTGAAGAATTCATAGTCAACTAGTGTCACTTCTCTTTATGAAATGTAAACTATGGTACACATTAATGATGCCAACTGCGATGGTACTCATCAATTGTTCTTTCTATTTTTACCAAAAAAATCAATTGATATTCTTTTTGTTCTCAGAAAACAAAAAACGTCACGCATGTTGTAACGCCACACAGAAAACGGAGTGTTTTTGGAAAGCCTTGGAAGTAGTCAAGTACCAAATAAAACGCTACCGGTTTTGAGGATACTGGATAGTACAAAAGCTCTTTTCTTTAGCCAAAATTTCAGCCATGGCGCTGTGTCATCAATTCCCAGTAAATCTCCACACTGTATCCTACTCTTCAGCATCTTCTTCCTTTCAATCTCATCGTCCTCAACCTCCAATCCCCAATCTAAAGTCTAGTTTTTGGATTCGTAGACTCAGATTTCACAGCTTCAATCTCGCCGTTAGGTTTCACACCCGCGAATTGAGTGCCATTGGAGCTCCAACTGACATCGACACTCACCAGAGGAAGAAGAAGAGAAAACCTAAACCGGGTTTCTTCGAAGAAATCAGCGATAAATGGTCTTCCCGTATCATCCCTGGAAACAACAATTTCCCATGGCAGAAGAAGCAGGAAGAGCAAATTCAAAATCAGGAAGAAGAAGATGATAAATCAGACGAAAACCCGTCTTCCGGGTATGAGAAAACCGATTCCAATCGCCGGTATTCAGCGAGCGACCCGCCGAGTTTCCCAAGGCCAATCGGATACATGTCTGCTCCATGGGTTAAATTTCCGTCTAGCTCCGAGCAGGAGGTTCAAAATTCGAGTTCCGATAATGGCTTTAGTTTAGATAGACATAGAACGGTTAACGTTTCTGGCGATAGAGCTGTAGATGAAGCTAGAGATTCAGATGGTGAAAGAGAGAAAGGGATATGGAGAAGTAAGAAGAGTAATACAGTAGAAGCCGAGAGGATTGTACCAGAACACGAGCTGATAAGGCTGAGGAAAATAGCTTTGAGGATGATAGAGAGGATAAAAGTAGGCTCTGCAGGAATCACGCAGTCCCTTGTAGAAGCCATTCACGAGAAATGGGAGGTTGATGAAGTTGTGAAGCTCAAATTCAAAGAGCCCTTTTCTCTTAACATGAAGAGAGCTCATGAAACTCTCGAGGTTAGATTCGAAATGCTGTCAATACAAAAAGGAATGATTTTTCTGCAGAATTGTGAATTAAGAATGTGTTTGTTGTTGTGGTGTTACAGAGGAAAACAGGAGGATTGGTGATATGGAGGTCAGGGAGCTCGCTTGTGCTATACAGAGGAATAAGTTATAAGCTAAAGTGTGTTCAGTCATTTATTGAGCAGAACGATCTTGATACAAGCCCTGAGGTCCGTCGAAGTGTAGTGGAGGCAGGTGGTTACGTGCCAGAGGATGTGAACTATCCTAAGAACGTACCTAAAGAACTATTATCCGAGCTATGCGAGCTGAATGATTTGCTGGACGAGCTTGGTCCAAGGTTTCATGATTGGCCAGGGTGTGCTCCGTTGCCTGTTGATGCAGATTTGCTTCCTACGATGGTTTTGGGATATAGGTGTCCGTTTAGGGTTCTTCCGCAAGCAGTGAAGCCTTGTTTGTCTAACAAAGAAATGACTGAAATGCGTCGCCTCGCTAGGACTAGCCCTCCACATTTCGCTTTGGGTAGGTATGCTTGAAATCATCAAGAACTTGCTTTCTTGTCTTCCCAAGTGATTTCTTGTTTCTTTATAGGGAGGAGCAGAGAGTTGCAAGGTCTGGCTGAGGCAATGGTAAAGCTATGGGGCAAAAGCGCGATCGCGAAGATAGCAATCAAACGCGGTGTGGAAAACACGAATAATGAGAGAATGGCGGAAGAACTTAAGGTTTGATGGTAACACAAACTCTCATATATATATATATATATATATGCATACATACCTCCGTGAGCTCACTTTGCGTTTCTTGCTCATTCTTGAAGAGACTTACACGAGGTGTGCTTGTTTCGAGAAACAAAGATTACATTGTCTTCTACAGAGGCAATGACTTCATGCCTCCTGCGGTTGCAGAGGCATTGACAGAGAGGCAGAAGGAGATAACGGAAGTGCTTCAAACGAAAGAGGATCAAGTCCGGGAAACGGCTTCAACAAGAGTCATACTCACGTCACAAGGCAAATCGTCTAAAACTCAGTTGCTCGCTGGGACGCTTGCTGAGACTATAGCTGCAAGTTCTCGGTGGGCACCAGAGGCAAGCAGCGTGGATATCGAGGAGTTGAAGAGAGAATCAGCTTCCATCAAAAGAGCTGCGTTGATTAGAGATCTCGAGATAAGACTTCGCTATGTGAGTATTGAGTATACTGTTACCCTTTTATTTTGGTCTCTGTTTGCAAACATTTGATCTGACTTAAGTTTGATGATCTCTCTAGGGAAAGCTAAAGTTGAGAAAAGCTGAGAGGGCTTTAGCTAAAGTGCAGAAGGATCTTGACCCATCGGAACTTCCAACTGATTCAGAAATAATCACAGAAGAAGAGAGACTTCTTTTCAGAAAAATGGGTTTGAGTATGGATCCGTTTCTTCTCGTAGGTAATGCACAAAGACTGTTCTCAACTCACAGTTCACATTTCAAGCCAAAACTATCTTTTGTGGTTTTTCATGTTGTTGATACGTTTGACAGGAAGACGAGAAGTGTATGATGGTACCATAGAGAACATGCATTTACACTGGAAACATCGTGAGCTCGTAAAAATAATCGTTAGAGGGAAGTCTCTGCCGCTAGTGAAGCACATTGCTATCTCTTTGGAGGCTGAGAGTGGAGGAGTATTGGTATCCGTTGATAAAACCATGAAAGGCTATGCGATAATACTCTATCGCGGCAAGAATTATCAGATGCCGTTTCGGCTTCGTCCTTCAAACTTATTGACAAGAAGAAAAGCTTTCGCTCGATCCATTGAGCTTCAGAGAAGAGAAGTAAATGATGATGATAGTTAAATTTACAATATAACTTGTGTGGGAAGATTCTGTTCTGTATCAAAGATTTGATCTCTTTTGTTTCGACAGGCACTGAAGTATCACGTTGCGGACTTAAAGGAACGGATTGATCTGTTGAAGACTGGACAGGTTTGATGAAAACTTTTTGATTGCTAAATAATGAAATGGATCAAATCTACTTTAATCACTGCTAAATGAACAAAATTTCGATCCAGGAGGAGGATAAGGAAGCTTGCAAGACTACTAATGGAGAGGAAGAGAACTTGTATCTGAGAGTTGATGAATCTGATTATTCTTCTGAGGAGGTAAAATGAAAATCTAATTTAAGATTTGAAATTTTTTTACTTAGAAGTATGGCATCTCTGAAATGGAAGTTTGTGAATCAGGATGAATCTCTGGAATGGGAGTCAGAAAATAATGAAACTTTCTTATCATTGGAAGAGGAAGAAGAAGAAGAAGAAGCTTGAAGCGGTAAAGATTGAAATAGATTAGTTCGATTCCGAGTAAAATATCAAAGAACCTGTAGGAGAAGGTAACTGAAATTGTATATTCTTTATCCTAAAGTTTGTATGGTAATAAGATCAATAATCAACGAGACAAACAGAGAAGAAAATTCACACTATTATGAGCATATTTTAAGCATCAATTTAGTCACCTTATGGTTCATGTTTCATTACATTAGCTTGGAGAAACATTCACCGCACACAAAGAAAATTCATTCAGGTGCCACTTAAATTAGTTAAAATGGCCAAAAACAAATTAGTTAGACTTCGGCCTAGATATTTAATATGGTGTGTTCGTAACCAACCAAAATTTAATACTTTCGAATGAGTCGGGGAATCAGTCTAATTAATTTCCGGATTAAAAAGGAACATAGACACATGCACTTTTAATAAGCCATGCAAATTGAAATGTGTCCTCTCCCTCTCATATAATAATGATAGGACCAGAGGAGTCTTACGCTTTTTTTTTTTTTGATAATAAAAATCGACGCAGTTCGAGGAAACATAAAATACTCGAGGACGAAAGAGATGCGGAATTGATGGATGCATAACTTCATGCAACTGGGACATTCGTCATCTTTGTCTCGTCATCTCATGCGTTTGTAATAGCAACTCTTGTCGTCTTTTCTTTTATTAATCGACTATCATGAAGTTGATGCGGATTACCTCTCGAGGAAACATGCACTTCATATACTGTATAATATAAGCCATGCAAATTGAAATGTGTCCGATTCTGCATGATTCTGTCGTCTCAATTAATCCAAGAATTTAAACACATGCAGATACAAATATGAAATATCATTCGTAAATGATGCTCATTTTTTGCGTTTAACCTTTTCAAAAGACCGAGGAATCATATTAAATTATTAATATGTTGATAACCAAATTTCCGGAGTTTTTCTAATACAAGTATTAAGCCAATTAATTGACCAATTAATCGCATCAAGGGGGTAACCATGGCGATTTTTTTGCTAATCGTGACACTATTTGATCAAACATTTATTAGTTCGAAAAAAACACAACAGAGGAAAGAGAAGCAGGAGAAAGAAGAAAAAGGAGAGTGTGGGGCGTGGGGTCAAAATGATAAGTATTTGTTGCAAATTGTTTTTTCCGGGGTACTAGCAAACCAAATACCCCTCAAAATTGGCTATTGAGCGCAAATTCTCTTATTTTTTTTTCTCTGCAATAAAGAAACGATCTACACTACCAAACTAAAATAATCTGCTTTCATCGACGTGACTTGAGTTTTTTTCTTTTTCGTTTTTGCTCGATCTCTCCGATCTCCTTTGCAATTCCTAACATGAACGGAAACGGCGGTTTTAGATCGTTCTCCACCATTATGTCGCCACCGTCCAAGGCCATAGTGTATGAACGGCATGGCTCTCCCGACTCAGTCACCAGGTCCGTATACTGTCGATCTGTTTGTTTGTTGGTCAGTATCATAAAAAGCTTGGTTTGAGACGTTGCATTAATCAGCGTTTGCTTCTTTCTAACCAAACTGCTGTTATCAAGTGTTTAAATTAAAACTTTTTATTTTAATGTGGTTAAATTCCAGATTTTCAACTTTTTGAGGTTTTCATAAATCATAACATGATTTCGCTACATTAATGGATGTTATATACAGATGATTATGGTTTATGACAAAACATTACGGATGTGTTAAAACATTACGAGAACAACTAAAACATGTTTATGGTTTCATGATTCATTTGTGGAAAATTTTATTTTATTGAATTTTTTTATGTTATTTATTCAGTTATTCAACTATTCAATTACTCCATTATTTTTTTTTTCTTTCTATTTATTGACGACAGGGTAGTGGACCTACCGCCAGTGGAAATAAGAGAAAATGATGTATGTGTTAAAATGATTGCCGCGCCGATAAACCCATCTGATATCAATCAAATTGAAGGTCTGCATGATTTTTTTTCAATATCACACGTAAAACGCTAACAAAAACGTATTGCGATTGAAAAATAATCCAAACTTACAAGGATACTAATTATCATATCGAATTTTTTAGGTGTTTACCCTGTGAGGCCACCAGTACCAGCAGTTGGTGGTCTAGAAGGTGTTGGGCAAGTGTATGCAGTTGGATCGAGGGTCAAGTCTCTTTCTCCTGGTGATTGGGTTATTCCATCTCCACTCTTTTCGGGTAAAATCTTAACTTGTTTCAAAGGGAAAGAAGAAAAAAATGTATTTAAAAAAAGATCTTCATTTCTTTTTATGTCATAAGTTAAACAAGAAAAGAGGGATAGTTTGATGATAATATGTCTCTGGAGAGGCTAGGTACATGGCAGACGTATGTAGTGAAGGAGGAAGGTGTGTGGCACAAAATTGACAAAAGGTGTCCAATAGAGTATGCAGCTACCATCACTGTTAACCCATTGACGGCTTTAATGATGCTCCAAGACTTTGTCGTCCTAAACTCTGGTTTGTCTCTTTACTTAGTTATGTTTCCTTTTCTCTTCCAGTACGATTATACTCTGATTGTTTTCTTTTAAACTCTAAACATAAGTATAGTATTTATAAAAACCATTAGAAACTAAAGCAATATATCTAGGAAGAATAATCATATGATGCATCGATCAACAAGTAATTAATCCTTGGTAGCAGGAGATTATGTGGTACAGAATGGCGCAACTAGTATGGTGGGTCAATGTATCATCCAGTTAGCACGACTCCGTGGCATAAGTACCATCAACATAATTCGTGACAGGTGTTATATATGGATAGTGATTCGAATTTGATAATGAATGGTGTGAGGTAAAGTAACTATGTCTTGAGACTTGAGTTATTATCGTCTTTTTAGGGTTGGGTCAGATGAAGCAAAAGAGAAGCTGAAAGCTTTAGGTGCGGATAAAGTGTTTTCAGAGAGTCAGCTAAATGTAAAGAACTTCAAAAGTCTTTTGGTAAGAATTTAATGTCTAGTGATTGTTCAAAAAGATATAAAAAAAATGTCTAGTGATAATCAAGTTTGCATTATATATCTATGCTTAACATGTGTGTGCATGCTTATGGTATAGGGAAATTTGCCTGAACCTGCTCTGGGATTCAACTGCATCGGTGGCAATGTTGCCTCTCTCGTGCTAAAAAGTATAAGGTGCAGTGGACATTTTCAATTCTATAGCAATTATAAGGTCTCGTTTCCTCTGTTTTTCTTTTAAATAACTACTTGAATGCACATAATAATAAATCTGTTAGGGAAGGAGGAACCATGGTAACATATGGTGCGATGTCTAAAAAGCCAATCACTGTGTCAACCACATCTTTCATCTTTAAGGTAATATCTTGATGATCATTAATAATTGACAATCCGATCGGCCTTTTTTTTTTTTTTTTTTTTCCTGTGACTCTAAAACGTTTTTGTGTTCAAGATTTCTAGCTTGTTTGAAGTTCTTAAAAGTTTGATCATCTTGCAGGATATTTCATTGAGAGGATTCTGGCTGCAGAGGTGGATGAATTTGGATAAAGTAAAAGAATGCAGAAAGATGATAGACTATCTCATTGGGCTTGCCCGGGACGGGAACCTAAAATACGAGTGAGTCCTTTTCTCAAATTAAGATTCTTTTGTTGCATTTACGTACGTTTGATTATATTTAGAAAATAAACCCACAAGGCCATTTAGAATGCATTTTTTTTGTTTGTCAAAAGAGAATCACTTGTTGATATTAAAACACAAACTCTAACCGTATATGGAGGGAAAAACTTATTAGGTACGTTTGAGCAGCTTAACGTTTGCAAAAAAAAAAAAAAAAAAAAATTTATATCTTAATAATGTAATTTTCTCTGCTTTACTTCATAAATGTAAACACAAACCGTCAGGATAATATTGTGTTTGAGATTTACATTTTTTTCAAAAAAAACAATTGACGCCAGAGTATGTATATTTGATTCAATCAAGGGTTGGTTGCTTATGACAGGACGGAATTGGTTCCTTTTGAAGACTTTGCTGATGCTCTCGATAAAGCTCTCGGGAAGCGGGGAAGCCATCCTAAACAAGTCCTCAGATTTTGATCTCCCTGTTTATTGTTCAAAAGATGTTGCGCAATAAGCTTTATAATAATCCTCGTCTCTTGACTCTCTTCTTCTCAAATGTATTAGAAATGTCACCAAATAAATAGATGCTAAAACAAGCAGTCAAGCACTACACTCTTTGTTGCTGCAACTGGTATTGGATTTAAGTCCCAAAACAATTTCTTGCTTCGTTCTTATACCTCTAGTTCCTTGTTTATGTTCAATCATGTGGAAAAAGAAAATATCAAGATAGCCCAAATAACTTCGTCTTATAACTTAGCTTACTGAGTCAATTCGTCTTAATGGTTCATTCTGTAATTTACCTGCGCTCCATTCCCGAACTCGAGCAAATCAGTAGTCAACCATTAATAGAAGGAAACACGAAATAAATGGCAATGAAAAGCACATGAGACGACAAGACGAGCATGACGAATGTCCCTGCTGCATGGTGTTCAACCTCCATCATTTATTTTTCTTTAAATATTGGATTAACGTAGAGAGATATACTCGAACTGCTTCATTGAACTTCTGGTCATGTGTCTATGTATAATTTATTGAAGGAGTGGACACGTTTTAACTTGCATGGCGCACTAAAATACACAATCAGCCAAAAGTTCCATATTTTATGATCTGTCTTAATTTATACAATATATAAACACCCAACCCAAGCTGTATCAGCAGAAGCCAGAATCAAATCAGCAAAATATGGATTTAATTCAGCTTTTTTTCTCTGCTCTCTCTATTTTCTCTGTTTCTTACTTCTTAATGAAGTCACTGCTTGGTCCCAAGAACAAGAAACGTATGGCGCCTATGGCCCCTGGAGCATGGCCATTGATAGGCCATTTAAGGGCCTTTGACAACGGAGAGCCGAGCCACGTTACGTTCGGGGCCATGGCGGACGTACTCGGACCGGTGTTCATGACCAAGCTTGGCTCTATTAACCTCATGATGATAAGCAGCCAAGAGGTTGCCAAAGAAATCTACACTGTCCATGACAAGGTCTTAAACCGACCAACCGTCACTGCGTCTAAGGTTCTGGGCTACAACGACTCGTTCTTGTCGTTCAGCCCTGAACGTTCTTACTGGAGAGAAATGCGCAAGATATCAGTATCGGAGATTCTATCCACCGCGGTCGTTGATATGCAGTGTAGTAGAGCCGGGGAGGTTGAAGTGACGTTGAGAGATTTATACCGGAAATGGGAGCAAAAGGGTGGGCCAAAAAATGGAGTCTTGGTGGATATGAGGCAAGAGTTTCATGATCTAATCCAGAACATCTCGCTGATGATGGTCGCGGGGAAGCGATACTTCGGAGGAAGCCCTAACTGCGACACCGGAGAGGCGAGGAGATGTAGGAAGCTGATACGAGAATTTCTTGATTCCTTCGGGGTCTTCTTGTTTACGGATCATGTACCGTGCCTTGGTTGGTTGGACTGGAGGACTAAGAAGGGCATGAAGAGAACGGCTAGTGAGTTAGATAAAATTGTTGAAGCTTGGGTTGAAGAACACAAGAAAAGGACGAATTCTGGTGGTGACATTAACAAGACTTTCTTGGGTCGACTCATCGAGATCTTTGAACAACACAAGAATCAGGGTCTTGGCGATGCTCATACAACAACCAAGGCCCTATGCCTCGTAAGATCTCACAAAACTTTTAACCTATAGCAAGTATAACAAAGGGTCATGTGTTTATGAGCTAATAATCTGTTATATGTGTTAACATTCTTGGAAACTAGAACTTGGTATTATCAGGGCCAGAAGCAGCCACTGTGGTTCTAATTTGGGCTGTTTCGCTACTCGTGAACGACCCACACGTGCTAAGCAAAGCTCAAGAAGAGCTCAACCGTAAAATTGGCAAAGACAGAGTTGTGGAAGAATCAGACCTTAAAGATTTGGTGTACATACAAGCAATTTTGAAGGAGACATTCCGTTTGTATCCACCACTAACTCTCACCGGTTATAGGGACGTGATGGAAGATTTCAACATTTCCAATGGGAACTTTCATGTTCCTGCAGGTAAACATCCGAAACTCAAACAAGTGATCCTTTCAAATGAAATAAACACTGATCAAACGATTTAGGCACTTAAAAGCTATTAGTCAACAAATATAATAAGGTCAAACTTATAAGATATTACACATATCAAAGGTCTTTTTATTTTTATTTTATTAATGATTTTATGTTAAAGAGCTGTGAGCTTCATGAATCATGATTCTAGTCTCTTTCTTTGAAGAGTTATATGATCTTATTTCATGTCGAATAATTAGGAACACAGTTGCTCGTAAATGCCTGGAAGATGCATAGGGATCCGAAACTTTGGTCTAACCCGGAAGAGTTTGAGCCAGAGAGATTCTTGACATTAAACAGAGAAGTGGATGTTAGTGGGCAGAGTTACAAGTTTTTCCCGTTTGGGTTGGGACGAAAGGCGTGCCCCGCGATCCCCCTTGGTATGAGGATGGTGCATTATGTTCTAGCAAGGTTCTTGCACAGCTTCGATGTGGCAAGACCATCGAGCCAAGAGGTGGACATGACCGGAAACAATGGGTTGGTCAATCTTAAAGCCACTCCTCTTGAAGTCTTCATCACTCCTAGGCTTAATAGATCTCTTTACCACATGGAATCCGATCAGGCTTGATTAGTCCTTTATAAATATTTTGCTGAGACTAAGTAGCCAAAATATTTCGGTATCGTTCCATGATTCCACATTTATCATGTTGTTTATGGAAGACTAATCCCGTGGAAATTATAAGATATTTGGAATATGTTTTTTGACATCAATTTTTGCCGCACCAGCCTGATCATAAGATAGCGTTAGACATAAGCTTGAGATCTCGGATAAACTTCTTTAGTAGCATGTAGCTGTACGAAGGCTCAGAATCGAATATTACTTAATGAAAATTGAAGGTTAGAAACTGTAGTAAATAATCAGAACACTTGTAGAAACTAAACCATGGTTTATAATATCATCCAAAAAAAGGCATCATCCGTAAAAGTTAAGCAGGAGAGAGGACTGGCTCTGAAATTTATAGAATTGAGGTTTGCAAGACAGATGATATAAATTATGGTTTGAGGTCCTCAATAAAGTATTTTGGTGAAATTGTTGGAAAAGAAGATGTCGTAAATAATACATTTCTACCTTTTACTAAAATAAACATGGGAAGTTATAATACAATCCGATAAGACTCTTGACATTTGGTTACAACACTTTACCAGGGCTTTATAGGTGCTGCTTTGTCGTGTCACAGTCTAAATTAAGATTCGGTCTTGTATATGTAAGTTGTAGATTTCCTTTGAAAAATTAATACATTTATAAGGGTGAAAAAAAAACAAAAAAAAAAACATCATAGGCAAGGGAACGAATCTTTTGTCCACACACTCCGTGTTGTCTAAAGAGTAAAGTACGTGATGCAACGGACTCATGCAATTTAAGGAGCCATGCAAATTGATGGAGCTTAAACATCATGCAGCCGGGACACTCGTTTCTTTTCTCTCGTCGGCGATCATGCGCATGCGTTTGTAATTACAGACATTCTTGTCGTCTATTCTTCTATTAATGGTCGACTATCATAAAGTCAACAAATGTACTTTCATAAGCCATGCAAATTGAAATGTGTCCGCTCCTTCATGATCCTAATACTTTTCGAGTAATATAAACAGCATAAGAAGGTCTTATACTAAACATACAAAACTTGGTAAGATGGCAAGCCAAACCAAACCAAGATCTTCTACATTACTCGAAAAGAAAGAAATCGAGTTTGTTAAACCCTTAAAACACACACCTTGTGGAAATCTCTCCCTTTCTAGTTTAGACAACAGCCTTGTCAACGAAGCTATGTACGCATTTATTTACGTTTTTAAGGCAAACCAAAGAAACAAAAATGATCCGGTCTCTTTGCTTAGGAAGGCTTTGTCCGAACTTCTTGTGTCCTATTATCCACTTTCAGGCAAGCTACTGAGACGAAAAATAGATCGAAAGTTGCAGCTAGTTTGTAACTTGGAAGGAGTCCCTTTCGCTGTTGCCACCGCAGATCGTGATCTCCGCTCTCTAAACTATATTGAAAACCTTTCTGATGAATTTGCATTGCAGCTTGTGCATGAGCTCGATGTCAACTATCAAAGTGAGATCGGTTGTCATCCTTTCTCTTTGCAGGTATCTTTATTTCTTTCTCATAAATCTAAACCGACCAAATGTAAATAGGATCTAACGAAAAATAATATATTAATTCCTTTGGATTTTAAAGGTGACCAAATTTCCTTGCGGTGGATTCACCATTGGCATAGCAGTGACACACGCGTTGTGTGATGGCTATGGTGTGGCTACGATCTTCAATGCTCTAACCGAGTTAGCCAGTGGAAAGAGCGAGCCATCGGTAGTGCCGGTATGGCAAAGAGAAAAAATGGTCGAGAAATTAGACGATGAACCGGCTAATGTACCCGGCGCTGATAAGGAATGTCTTTTGGCCATATCACCATATATGCCAAGCTCAAGCTGTGATATGGTATGTTTATTCAAATCAATTTAGATCACTAAACTTTTCAAGTTTATCAGACAAAAAGTGATATCTTCGAAAATTTTCCTTAATTTTCTTTGTTTTTGTAATTAAGTAGAAAAATTGGGTTTCAAGCAAATTTCTCACCTTTGTATATGTAATATTCCATAGGTTATAGAGACAATAGACATTACGGCTGAAAATATGAAAAAGCTTAAAGACAAAGTGGTACTTAAGGAGAGTTTCACTACTTTTGAAGTTCTTTGTGCTTACCTATGGAAATCAACTTCTCGGGCCCTAAAGCTAAACATAGACGGCATCACTGTCCTCAAAATATCTGTCGGAATTCGACATGTTCTAGACCCACCACTCCCCGAGGGATACTATGGTAACGCTTACGTAGACGTCTTTACTGAGATTACTGCGGGAGAGCTGGATGAATCATCGATCTCTGACATTGTAAAGCTCGTGAAGAGAGCCAAAAAGACAGCCCTAGACAAGAGGTTTATCGAGGAGCAGCTAAGGAACACGGAGAGACTGGTGAAAGAGGATGCGAAATTCAAAGGGGTAACCGATGGTATATTGTTAATGACAGATTTGAGAAATACCGGATTATTCAGACCAAATGATTTCGGTTGGAACGAGCCTGTGAATATATGGCCGTTGACGCCTCAGGAGATCCCAAGCAACATTGGAGTTATCATGAGACCTTCGAAGTTGGATCCATCAATGGAAGGTGGAGCTAAAGTTGTCATGACATTGCCAAGAGATGCAATGGCTGATTTCAAGAAAGAGACTAATAATATGAATAAACTTTCTTTTAGTAAGATTTAATCCAGCTGTTCCATGACTATGAGTGAAATTTTCTATATGCGAATGCTACATGCTTATGTAATGAACTAATGACTAATGAATAATAATTAAGTAAGGAATAAAATTGTTGAAGAAAAAATATCACATCACATCATGACCACTTAACGTTTTTAAAAAACTTTTGTCCGTCCACCAGAAACTCAAAAATAAATGATGAAAGTCGAAAATAAATTATTTTATTATTGTTATATATTTATATATATGTATATGATGTCTGTACTTAAAGTACACGATTCTTATCATATAGCTGATGTGTGGGAGACATGCACTGTCATAAGCCATGCAAGTGGAAATGTGTCAAATTAATAACTAGATATATATATATATATATATATATATATATATATATGCAAGCAAACAACTCTATAGATAAATCTGTTTTTATTTTTGTCCTATTGTTGTGTTTTAACATGAAGCCACAAATTATATCAAGTACTGTTAACTAATAATTTTTATGAAGGAAAAAAAAAGCTTGAAAACACTTCACTATATAAATAACATTAAGAGGTGTATACATTCATGAATCTGGTAAGATTAGAACCACAAAAAAAAAAAAAAAAAAAAACTTAGCAAGATGATAAACCAAATCAACCCGAGCCTTCCTCTATTACTCGAGAAGAAATCAGTTGAGCTTGTTAAACCTTCAAAACACACTCCTTCTGGAAATCTCTTCCTTTCTAGCTTAGACAACAACCCTCTCGACGAAATTAGGCATGCAATCGTTTACGTTTTCGAAGCAAATGAAAAGAATCAGAATGATCCGGTCTCTTTGCTAAGGAAGGCTTTGTCTGAACTTCTTGTGTATTACTATCCACTTTCAGGCAGGCTAGTGAGACGGAAAAGTGATCGAAGGTTTCAGCTGGTTTGTAATAGTGAGGGAGTCCATTTTGTGGTCGCTGAAGCAGCTCCTGATCTTCGCTCTCTAAACTATATAGAAAACTTTGTTGATGAAGTTGCATTAAAGCTTGTGCCTGAGTTCGAGCCTAACTACGAAAATGAGATGGCTTGTCATCCTCTCGCTATGCAGGTGTAGTTTTGCTTACAAAACATATATAAGGCTTTGAATGGTGATGATAGATAAAAGACAAGCTAAAATGTTTCTTTTCATAAATTATGCATGTCTTGGTTATAGTTTGGTCTAATTTTCTCTCTTATTTTTTTCTTGCATTAGACACTTTTTGAAATGGTAATATAATTCATATCAGATATTAGTGTGTAAACTAACTAGATCTAAATTCAGAAAATTAAGAATTGTTCCTTTTTATTTATTTGAAGGTAACCAAATTTCCTTGCGGTGGATTCACCATTGGCACAGCAATGTTACACGCGGT